ATGGATGTGGGGCATTTGAGACTCGCAGGTCGGTGGGCTAGTCCGCAGTCACTTGAGCATTACATTCAACAAGCAAAAGCACAGCAGCTTGTGTTACAGATCCCATTAAAGGTTAGTGAGCGCATTCGCACTTTGATCAGCAAAGGATATTTCCTGCTAGCTTTGCCAGACAAACTGGCTGAACCCTTGAATTTTGAATCACTTTTATCCCATGGACTTGGCTGCTTCCTCCGCGCAGAACCCCTCTGGAAAGTCTGCAGGAGGTGGGGAAGCCTTGCGGAAGAAGTTTAGAAAGATCTCCGTTGTCGGTGGAACTTTGAAAGGAGCACACTACGGTGACGTCTCGGAAACCGATCTGAGAAAAGCTGCTAAATCCTACAGAGGGGATCCCAGATTTGCCCAGTTTTGTAAACAGTGGGTGGCTGCCGAAACAGTGGCTCCGGATGACGAGCCCTCCTGCCTTGGACACCAGAGTGCCAATTCAGTCCCTACAACCTCTGTCAGCTTGACTTGGAAAGCTTGGGGCTACCAATTCGTCTGCAATTTTGGACGATGGACGTATGGTAAGTGCAAAGGACGTTGGATTTCGGCTTTTTTCGCCTTCAGTTTCTTCATGCTGGTGATTTCCCGACCAGCGTTTAGTCGGTTATGTGGTCGACTTTTGGGCATCACCATTAGGTTAGCTTTTCGAAGAGGTCTCTATCTGCTCACTGTTTTGGTAGACTCTATTTTAGATGAAGCCGCATACCAGATGGAAACAACACTTCTTCCAGTGCCGGAGCAGATTCCTGGGACTTTGTTCCCCAACCCTCAACAACACCAAGTTGCCGAACTCTCATACTCATCATGGTTTTGGCATTTCTTTTGTGTGGCCTTTGGCGCAGTTCTCGGGAGATATGGGCGAGGGGCTCAACCTTTTGTCCGCATTCACCCTTGACTGGAACAAGTTTGCGCTGGAAAGTTTGGTGGTTTTGGGGGTCTCTTGGTGCATCAGCACCATCGAAAATCAGCTGATTTTTGCAATCTCGATACCTGGCAGTTCGATCAGTTCGCATTGCTTGCTAGCCTTGGATTTGACAAGGCCACTTCACACTCATTTCAGGCGTGCCCCAGAGAAAAAGAGGGCGCGGTGAGCAGGCCACAGAGTGCAATCAACACATGAGCAGCATGTTTGAGTGACAATCATGTGGACCAGTCTCTAGGCTCGCCACCACCACCCCTCCACCACGGGTCTCTTGGTGCATCAGCACCATCGAAAATCAGCTGATTTTTGCAATCTCGATACCTGGCAGTTCGATCAGTTCGCATTGCTTGCTAGCCTTGGATTTGACAAGGCCACTTCACACTCATTTCAGGCGTGCCCCAGAGAAAAAGAGGGCGCGGTGAGCAGGCCACAGAGTGCAATCAACACATGTATATCAACATCTATTCTCAAACACGTGGTGATTTGATCGCATCCAGCATGAAACATAATTTATTCGAGCCCCCAACTTATGGAACTCCTATACAAAAGACCCCTCAGTCTCCATGGATGTTTGCCAAGCCCAACTATCCAAGCATGCTGAAAGCCACATGAATTAAAAGGCCAATGATGTCAAAGGGTACACCAATTTCAATGAGCGAATCAGCTCCCACATTAGCACAGCAAAGCACACCAAGATGGACGTTTCGCTTAGGTGGGTGCGAGGAACTGATCAATACATTGCCCCAGAGGAGTCCTTGAACCCAGTGACTCTCAGCGTCGCAATGTGTGACAAATATCGGTTCTGTGGCGCAAGGTGACATGTTAGGGGAACAACGCCCCGAGGTACAGTGGCGATTCCTCTCCTCAGTCAGACTTGCTTTGGACCCAGATTTTGTGCACATGTCATGACCCTTGTAGACTGATCATGACTGATCACTGATCGTGTTACTCATTTGTATGTCTTGTGCTCGCCAAGACCCACCAGCAAGGATCCACTGATTGGTTCACCCAAGGTTTTCAGCCGGAGTTGTCCTCTACAAGATGCTTTTCCAACGGTTTCCCTTCAAGGTGTCATCTTGAACCTTGCTGTGGGAGCGTTACTGGAAATGGCTCATGAACAAGTCACCCAAACGGAGCTCTGGGATTGGACTAGTTTGAACCAACAGATGTTGGTTGCTTTGTGAGGCTTTTATTTTTGACGCCCCAACCTCAGACAGCCTCAAATGTTGAGCAGTTTTTTGGATCACATTGCGATGTAGGATCAGCACCGGACCACGGGAGCCATCCGAGTAGAGTGGAAACATTGGAAATGTGATGGCCACTATGGTCAGTTTAACACATTTAACGGCCCTCTGTCCCAGCTTCACAATGCTCCTGAGTCCAACGCAGATCATGTAGATCCATGTAGATCCATGTAGATCCATAGCTTGCAGCGTTTCGCATCAGCCACAACTGATGCGATGCCAGGATCGGCCGGGCGAAAACTGGGTTGGAAGTCCGGCCATGGAGGCCATCCGGCAGCGGCTGGAAAGCGTCAGCGTCAACTGGAGCCAGCACCTCAGGATGGAAGATCTCCGAGGTTTTTCATTTTTTGCATTCTGCAATATTCTGCGTCAGGATGATTCAACCATATTCAACCTGGATCATCTTGGATCAAAACACTCAAACACATTCCAATGACTTAAGTTTTCTATAGTTTTCTTAGGTGCTGAGGCCGCAGATGCGAGGCAAGGTGAGACCAATTGAAACAGGTTGAAACAAGATTGATATATGTTGAAATTGATGGCCATGGCCATTGCCATTGCCATTCCAGGCCTGAAGCCATCAAGTTCTGCCAGAAGCTGATGGCACAGACCTCACTCCGATTCCACCCGTCCACCATCCAACTGGCCCCATGGGTCCATGTGGAGGCCGTCGATGCGAAAAGTCGCTTCTCATCGGCAAGCGAAGGCTGGCGAAACAAATCGAAACAAGACTCAAAGGGACAGTTTTTTTGTGTTTCCTTAGTGTTTCCTGGGGTGGAGCCTGAGTTTGACGCCGGAGCTGACCCAGACATGCACCACATGGCTGTTGGATTGCATTTCGTATCATTTCGTTGCTTCTAGCTGTTACATGCTGTTACAATCATTTGCTGCGTGTGCTGCCTCGCCGGAACCGTTGGCAGCTTTGGCGCACCCATGGCTCGACGGAGGGATGGAGGCAAAACGTCGGGACGTTATCGCGCAAGAAGCTCAGATCCAAAACCTACTCTGAAAGATGACACATATTATACATTATTATACTAGGATATACTAGGTATAAATCAATTTAACTCATATGTTCCCAATTTAACTCATATGTTCCCAATGAATAAACATATTCATCCAAAAGATGATTGAAGATCCTGAAGTGAAAGTCAGCCAGCCAACCTTCAAGGCCTGTGCGCAGCGTGCCACATCACCCCTTAGTTGAGGAACTTGAGGTGCTCGAGGCCTCATTCCCAGTGTCATGTGGGCATGTGCCACCTGTCCTTTGACATCTCTGTGTGGTTTAGTGGCCGCACCAAGGCCAAATTGCACTGCGACCCGAGAGATTTGGAGGAGAGATCGGGTCCTTTCAATCTGAGCCGGGACTGCTACCATTTTTGTATGCTTTTGTGCAAATCATTTTCTTCGGATCATCTCATTTTGTCTTGGAGAGTTGTCTTTCATGTGGATGTCGCGTTCAGGGCCTTTAGGGTGCATATGGGTACATGTTTGATATGCTTGGGAGGTGTTTGGTACTCGTATGTGGTCGTGTCTACGCCAGGAGAGTGTGACCAGAAACTCCACCCTTTCAACCCAGTCGCAGGGAGCCCAGCACTCCCTGGTGCCACAGGTCACGTGTCCGTCGTGACGGTGTCGTCACGTGCCCGTCGTGACGGTGTCGTCACATGCACCGCAGGCTGACGGAGCTGGAGAGGGAACTGACGCCGAGTGCACCAGATCTCTAGAGTGGCAGGACTTGCAATCCGTCAGATCTCCGCAAGCTCCTTTCAGAATTTTCAGACTTGGGAAGGTGGCTGTGTAAAAGCCAATGTTTAAAGTGTACAGTCTGCATGCGCCATCATGCGCAACTTAGCTGAGGTAAGAGATGTAGGAGCCGCGTTGTTGGCACATCTTTGCTCGCACAAATTCATCAGTCAATTTGTTTGGCATGTGATGCCAGGTCCCTGAAAATGCAATAATTGATCCCACTGCAGTTGGGTGAGTGGCAGCATGCTTTCTTGACATCATCAGGTTTCCTACTTCTATTGCACTGTTTTACTTACTGCTACGGCCACTTATGTTTTAGATTGTTTTAGCATCAGGAGATGATGTCAAGTCGCTGCCATTGGCGCATTGGGCCAAGAAGTCCCCTTGGGCCTTGGGGCTCTGAGTTCCATGTTTTCCACTTGGTGCCCCGCTGTACCATGTTTTTGAGTCACCTGCGTGACTTGTGCAAAAAGGCCCCGCACACAAACATGACAATGAGATCATGTTGTCAGTGAGACCTGTGGGGACAGATGCAGAGCCCATGAAAGGCATCAATGTCTCGTCGTGAGGAATGGCTCAAACAGGTCATTCAAACAGGTCTCCAGTTACGTGACCACCAAAGTCACGATTCGTCACGATTCGTCACGATTCGTCACGATGGTCCGCGGAGTCCGCTTCAGGCTGATTTACTTATACCTGCTGCAGGTGAGGGATGCAGCGAGGGATGCTGCAGCGCGATTTCCCAATATTTTCTTGCATAGAGACATCATAGAGATGCTTACAAACATTAACAGCGCGCAACCATCATTTTGCATCATGTACCCGTCAACTCAAGAGTTGGACTTAGGATGACTTAGGTTCAGTTTTGTCTTGATTTGCAAGGATCACAACACTCAGGGCAAGAGCTCTTAGAGTCGAAGATACCAATGAAGCAATGCAATGCCAGACGCATACTGTTCATGGCCGTTCGGGACATGCAGAAAGGATGGCCGTAGAGTCGACTCTCTGTTGACGTGCAGGAAGCGGTTGCCATACTCGAAGGTATGAGCTTGCACTTTGGCAGCAATTTTGGGGACTTCAGTGGACCTCATATAATTTAATAATACAATATTAATATTAATATTAATGTTAATGAATATATATATGTATATAGAGCTATACATCTTATGTTGGAGGAGGCTGTGAACAGGCTGCCAGACATTTGTTGATTCCGTTGATCAGGAATTACTACAACAGCCTCCCGGCCAAGAAGGTTCTCATTTGGGGAGCTGATGAAAGTGAAGGATTGGAAATGGCCAAGGCTGGAGTGGGACGGATTATTTGGCTACATCTTTTCATCTTATTTTTTTATGACCACGTTTAAGTCACTGGTGCAGTTCGTGCACTCTCGCTGCGCCCTGCTCCTTCTGGTCGGCAAAGATGCTCAGGCGGAACCGCCGCGTCCGGCAGGATGCTGCAAGATTGGCATTATCCAACCTGATCAACCTGGCTTCTTAGGATGTGCCAACATGTTCCAACTACATTCTAGAGTCTCTGTGGTTCAAGAATTGTTGGATAGGTGGAGGATGCCATGCCCACAATGAAAACATCATGTGCCACTGCCAAGGTTTTCATGCTTTCAACAATAATGCAAACAAGCTGCCAAGACACCTTTTGGCAAAGAAAAATCTGAGCACTGTAGCGCAACCTGATCGGAGATCACCGGAGATCACATGAGACGCAAGATCCTCGATCCTTCCCTCATCGTTACATGTCTTTCACAGATATGATCCCGATACGTATTTGTATAACATGTAGAATGCACACACACACACACATGCACGCACCTATATTCATTATACATAGCATACATATCTATGTGATTCACATGCAGATCATCGCAGATCTATACTATATCATGTTCTATCATGTTATATATCTATCATATCATCATATTGGATAATTGCAGATCACCCTGATTCAGCAATGCTTCGCCGCTTCGCCAGTCACGAATGCCAGGCCGCTGAGGCAGCTGCCACGGAGATTTCCTCGTCGCCGCCGAATGCGGGAACCTGCCCTCCAGGCTGGCGCTGGAGATTTCTTGAAATATCGGGTATATATACCGGATATATACCGGGTATATGTATTGAATTGTGTTGAAGATGATTGAAATAGATGATCTATATGTATTGAATTGTATTGAAGTAAATGTATAACATAACATGATGTATAACATGATGTAAACGGTTTACAGTCCCAAGTTCAGAAGATTATAACTTTGTGATGCCCCTTGAACATATCCATTGGTGGAAAGTATTTATGGAGATCAGACTTGCATAAGAATGTTGGAGCATCTAGAGCTTCAAGATTGGTTGAACAGTTGACCAGTTGAACAGTGGAACATGTTTGAGTAATTTCCCGTTTGGGCTGCATTGTCTTGAGTGAGGGAGTTCTAACCTGGGGAAAAATACCTGTTGCTCGGTCGAGAATCGGAAGAGTGTTAGGAATCCAGTTGGTCACTGCTTGCAGTAGTTGAGCCATGTTGAGCATCCTTTTTTGACCCTGAACTTGGCGTGGCCCTTCAATGCTCTTCATGCCCTTGCCCATTTGGAATGCCAAAGTGAGCCATGTTGAAACCGCTTTGGATCATGAGCGATCATGGATAGTTGGAAACCAGCACCTGAACCCTTCAATGGAGATGGATGAGATGGTTTTCCTGATTTTATTTTCCTATGTCTCAGCAAGGCAAGGGTTCGTTTCGGTTGCTTCTCCATACCTGCTCGTTTTGGTGTCATATGGTTTCATATATTCTGCTTCGGCCATTGAATTCTCTCCATCGGTAATCGGTATGACGAGTGCGTACCCAGACCATCAGCTGCCCTTCAGTTATGTCGCTCAGTTGAAACCTTCGCAGGTTCTTGAATGTTCTTGATGTTGTTACCTACCTTGGAACATTTTGCAGCTTTTGATTTTCGATGCCTTGTACTATACCGGCTGTTCGTTCTCCTCAACTCTGTTTTGTGGACTGGCAGCCATCGGCAGCCAGAAACTTTGCCTCGGGTTAGCCGAAGTCCAAAACATGATCCAAACAAGATAAAGAAGGCAAAGTTAACAAAGCAAGACAAACAAGGAGGTTCCGAAAAGATCCGGAGCTGTCGACGTGTTTTGAGGAGTTGATCCAGTTGTGCAGTGGGATGCTGGCGACATTCGAAATTCGTCGCCTCGGTCTCAGTGAAGGGAAAAACCTGGGAAACCGGAGAGGTATTTTCATGGAAGTTGGGGTAGCTGCGTAGCTGCCACAAGATGGGATAGGCAATGATGGGCAGATGTTCTCAATGACCAACATCAATAAATCATCCTCTACGTCTCAGGAAATCTCAGGAATCCTTTTGAAACACGTGGCAGTTAATAAACATGGGTAACATGGGTTGTCATCTTTGTGCATTTAATTAATCCAGGGTCCCCTGTGTTGGCTTTTAAACACGATTAGAGAGCAAGGGATCTCTGGAATCCTGGAAAGCACCTATGACTGAGGCTTAGTAAAAAACAAGTCACATCGATATCATCGATTCACATGTCAATGCTTGGCCGAGCTTTAGGCCTAGGACATCCTAGGACCAATTTTGGTGTCATTTCGATGCTGTGCAAACCATTCAAACCATGTTCTTGAATTCCATGATGCTCAGACCCATGGCCTGACGTTCGTTGTACCACCTATGTCATCAAGCCACATTTCTACGTTGACATCTCCAAATGAATGATCTAATTGAGTCTGATTTTGTATGATTCCGGATGATTCCGTGAGTCGCGCAGGTATGTCCTTTCTCTGACAGCCAGGAGAGCAGTGCAGAGTCTGGGGTGGGGATCGAAAACATTGTAAGTCACAGTTCAACATGGGAACATGGGCTCCTGTAAGAAAGACAATTCAGGGTGCAACCAGCAGAATCCTGAAATGTGAACCGACAGAAATCAACAGAAACCAGCAGAAGCCAACGGGAACCAACAGATAAAAAATTAGATTGAAGGTTCATTGAGGTCGTCGTTTCTTGCCAGGTACGAGTCAGTACTGGGCGGTCATCCTGAGATTGCTTGGAACTTCGCAACCTAGTGCGATGACTTCACCTTAGGTGATAGATCGATCTCCTAGTGCCTTACGTGGTAGTGGCCAAGGGTGCCACTCCGACCAGGTCAGGGTGACATTTGGATCTCTTCATTTCTGATGTATCCTTGTAACATCTTGTAACATTGATTTCTCTGAGGATCCAAGGAGGATTCAAGGCTGATCGGTTAGGACATTGTTGAAATATGTTGAAATCTCGACCGTCTTATCGTGGACGCAGCACTCTGATCCATCACCATCCTGGTGGTTCAGGTTTTCCGCTTCGGCCTGTGTAGCTGTGCAGCATTGCAAGACACTGCAATGCTCCAGGTCGACTTGGTTGGTAGCAAAGTAAGCCAGCCCGAAAAAGCAGAGAGTGGTCGCACTGCATATACACCCACCAAGAACATCCAAAAACAACTTTATCCTAGACACAGCTGTTCCATATCAAATGAAAGAACTTGTTTCCATGTGCAGTAGAAGGTGGATCGGTCAGGGAATCGCCGGTACGTGGCCAAACCCATTTCAAATAGAAGATTGTCACACACACACACACCCTGCATTTTTGTCGTCACACACACACACACACCCTGCATTTTTGTCGATTTGGACCAAAAATGCTGGAATCTCTTTGGTCTCTTCTATTAAAAAAAGGTAGTGCTGCATGAACCTAGACTGAGAAGCTTGTAGTGATACACGCCTTCGATCACTATTTCATCGGAGATGTGCTGGAAATGCGCCACCATCAATTCAGAAGTTGATATTTCAAAGACACAGTCAAAGCCCCCTAGTTTACCAACAGGTGAAGTTTATAAAACGCAGAAGTTCCAAAGACCAAAGGCTGCGTCGAAAAAATTGTTTTAAAAACCGTAGTTAGGGTAGTGTCCCAATTCATGTCAAACATATATATATATATATTATATTCAAAAAACCAAAGCTGGGACGGTAAAACGTAGAAAACAAAATTGAAAATTGTGGCAATGCGTGTCCGGACTTGCTTCGACGCTGTGATACCCTGAGGAACTGGTAAGGTTGCCAGGTAGCAAGGGTAATAGGATCATATGCTGATGCGCTGGTACGCTGGTTCGCTGAGAGGCTTAGATGCTCACACGCGGGTGCTCTGACACGCTGATGCGCTGATACGCTGTTTCGCTGGTACGCTGATACGCTGGCGCGCTGGTAAGCTAGTACTTATTGACGCAACCTGTACCGCTGTGTTCCACATTCGAACAGGGTTCGAATGTGGAACACATAATTTTTCACACATATCCTCTAAGAGATATACAAGAAAGGCATTCCGTGAGAGACACCAGAAAGGAACCACAAACAGTGAGGAAGAATAATGCGATATTACTGAACCATGCAACCACATGCATAGTCGCCTTCAACGAATGTGGCCTATGCTGTTCGGATTATGCCTCAATCAATTGGGATCGTGTGATTTTGCACATCTGTGTCCATGGTGGGAGACACAGCGGCACCAGCTTCTGCGTCCATGGTCGAAGACGCAGCGGCACCAGGTTTGGTTTGGGTGAGACGCTTCCCGATTTTCTGGCATGGAATTCCAGGTTTCAATCATGGCTGAGTGCGACCGATGGAACATTGGATGATGAGGTCTATGGGAGTGACTGTCCTGCAGTTAACAGTGTCACCAGTGTAGCCGGTGTATCCGGTGCAGCCAGTGTAGGTGTGTTCGGTGTAGCTGCAGCTCATGTATTTGTTGTAAGCTGGATTGTATATGCAACTGGTGATACAGATTGATGCGGGCAAAAAGGATTCAATGTTTGTTTTGGGAATGTAGTTGATCAAAAAGGGATGTGGACCTGGACATCAATTTCAAAACGTTGGTATCTCTGATGGTTTGAACGCAACTTTTTTGTGAGCTAAAATGTCATATCATGGGACGCAGCTGCCGGCTCTGATTCAAGATGTGCTTTCAAGAACTCACTAGAATTCCATGCTCGACTATCTTCCACACAACTCAGCAAACAGAGCCGCAACTCAGCATACAGAGCCTGGACCAAAAGGAAAACTTCGTACAGCTTCCACAGGCATGGGGCAAGAACAGTTGACGCAGTTGGCTGCTTGCTGGTTTGGAAGTCCTTTGCGGAAGATGGAGCACAGTGAGCCCAATGGCTGAGAGATCAAAGGAGCGCTGATGACCTGTACCCTGGTAACTGCCCTTGGTCATTATTGGGTTTCATCAGAACTCATTAACAGTACAGACATGTGGGCCCATAGTGACTCACATAGTATCGCAGAGCCGCCTTTTGTAGGCGATCTTCCCGGCAGATAACTGCAAGGTGGCCACAGTTTTTTTTTTTTGTGGCACCGTTGGCAGGAGGGTGAAAGACCTCAGAAGAAGGCGAAAACTTCCAAGGCAAGATGGGATGCCATCCTGTCAGCTGTGATAATCTCCGGTAATAGGCAAGTACAGGCAGAGTGAGGGAGGAGAGCTGTCATGAACAACAGAAAGCACAGATGTTCAAGACCTCCGATGCCATTTGAAAATAACATATCTAAGTTAGGTCACCAATAGGTTTTCAGACCCTGACATGACCTGACACTAAAAAAGGAATCCACCGCAATCCACCAATTCTGTCTTCTCAAAGGCTGGGCTTCCATGTGCGCTGCCCGTGTGCTTCAGCTGCTTCAGGGTGGTTACATCGATGGTGAGCGTGGCTTCCTAGTCACTGGCAGCACATGCCAGGAAGCCCTACGAGGCCGAGGGGAAGGACTTGAGAGATCCTGAGAGATCCTGAGAGATCCTGAGAGATCCTGAGAGATCCATGGCTTGTTAAGGCACAAGGACCTAAGATTTGGCCAAGGTGCTTCAGACATCAGACGTTAAGACGTTAAGATGAAGGTTGCTTTCGACACACTGGTGATGCAGCACAGGTCTTCAAGCATTCTCAGTATTCCTCAGTATTTCTCAGTATCACAGTGTTTGTCATCCGACTTACCATGACATACACGCGGCCTTTGGTCCATCTCTTGCAAGCAACTCCTCAGCCTGAAGGCCTTAAAGATTTGCGTTTGTGGCTAGAAGTGGAGGCATGCCATGTGGGCAGTGGCTGTTGGTCCAGCCATCACAAACCTACTGTAATGCACCAGATGGCATCAGGAATGTGCACCTGAGCTAGAATTATGTGTGAGATAACTCAAGTGGGTTTTAGGATGTTCATGGAATTTCATGGATGTTCTAAGCGTTTACCGTGCCAAGTGTCTTTTTGCCTTTCTGATCTTTCTGGCCTCAGGCTGAAGAAGTGAAAGCAAGCACTGGCTCCGTGTCTCAGAGTCCAATCCTCAGATTTCGAATCCGTCCAAGGCACACCATGGCACACCCGTCCAAAGATGTGAGCATCAAATTCAAAACCTGTATGAAACATAGATATACATAGATAACATAGCACATATAGCACCAAATCCCACCGGATTCCCACCGGTAATCAGCCTGTTGATCCTATTGATCCTATTGGCCTATTCTGCTTGTGACATAGGTCTGGATGCAGAACTTGCAGAGCTCCGGAGTGATCCCGCTGAAAGGTGAGGGGCTTAGAGCATCTTAGAGCACAAGAATGGCTCCAGTTCTTGAAACTAGTGACATCTGGTGACCCTGGCGACTATTGAAACAGCCCTGTTCACCCCTATGCATATGCAAATTCTTGCGGCGATTCCTGATGATTTCTCTAACTTAGGAGATTCCTGACTTATGGCATGGTTTGCAAGCAGGCAAGCAGCTGAAACAGAACCATGTTTGTTGAGTTACCTGCAGAAAAGTTGATCGCCGCGCCAGCCATCGTGGGAGGTAGCGTTTCTTCGCACTCAACATGACCAAGACGTTCCCTCAGCGTGCAGCCCTCAGGTTTGGTTTTGCATAGCGGAAACATCATTGCCATTGCCCTTTGGACATCTGACATTTGTTGATTGCGGAGGATTAATTATCACTGCATGGCAGCTTTGAGTGTCGCTATCCACCAGTGCAACCTGCTGTGCCATTCCTTGAGGTTGGTGTCCCGATTTCTGGCGCCAGAGGCTTCCAAGAGATTCGTGTCGCGCTTTGCCGATCGAGTCGAGACCTTATGCCAGTTGGTTCAAGTTAGTTTGAAGAATTAACCCGCCAACCCCTCTGATGACAACTCTGAAATATCTTGAACACACATATCAAATAATAATACAGTTTGATTCCATTTCTGGCATCTCCAGTTTCAAGATGTTGTCATCGTAGTGGACCTCCAAGATACTTCCGGTAGACTTGTCCTCGCAGCCCAAAGCTGAATCTTTTAGCCGTCAGGAGCCCAGTCCATCCGAGTCCATCCCTTCGGCTCGGCCACTGAGTCCACTGAGTCCACCAAGTTGGTCGCTAAGGTCTGGCCAAAGGCGCAGATGTGGTCGGATTGGATCGGATTCCTGTTCCACAATTGATTCGGCACCCTAGCCATCCCTAGCCTCATATCATCTCATATCCAATTCCAAAAGGGCATTTCCTCAAACATGTTTTGTCTTTTGCAGGGACTTTTAAGGTGTCCGGACATGTGTGACATTCAGTGCCCTGTGTTGCCTGGCAGATGTTCTGGCGGCTCATGCTGGGCGGCAGTGGCGGCTGCTGTACGAGCCCTTCCGCGGTGGCTGGAACACCATTTCAAGAGAGGCACCGCTGCACCGCTCCTTCACTTCAACAAAGCCTTGAACCCTCTAAACCACTGGACAATCCCAGCATCAGCACAAATATAAAAATATGTTGCCCAGTTTTTCCAAAAAAGTTCCAGGTGGGGTTGAAATATACAGTGTAGATAATGTGAATTCACCGGGCTCAAAGTGATTGTCCCTTCAAATTGGAGGGTTGAATCCGAGGCATAGACATATCATAGACATATATCATCATATATCTTTCTTCTCTAACCCATAGTACCCATAGGCTGGCCTAGCGGTCTAGCGGATCTTAGCAGCTTGGCCCTCTGTCGGAGAGGATGCCTTCGAAGCCTGCAAAGAGATTCTCGGAGCAGACAGCCAGTCTGCTCCGGCCTTGGCTCGGTGCTCCTCAAATTCGCTTTCATTTGGCTTGTCGGGAAATGCTTTGGAAATTTTTGGAACATGTTGGAACGCTTTTGCATGGATGCCGAATAGTTTTCTACTTTACACACTTTAATGTCGACAATTCCCACCGCAAGTGCAATTCTGGTAGTCTCGCATTTGTCCTTAGAGACTCATCATCAACTGCAGGTCGCTGATCCGGAGATTACCGTGGTTTGCACGGTGCAGCCCAGATTTGTAGGCAAACAATGGCAAACATGCTGCGAAGCAAATCATCCCTTTGTCCAATGGCCCATGGTCTTTTAGACACATTTCCAGTCCTGACCGATGTCCTACCGTTTGAAGATACTTAAGTTATCTTAAGTTGTACAAGTTCTGGGTTGATGATCTCTAGCAATAGCCGAGGCTTCCCCTGACTTGGTATTCCAGGCTTGGCTGTGGTGAACATTGACGTAGACTACTTGCGGGTCGAAGATGAGTGAAGCAAAGTACCTCCGGTGGTGCCGAAAAGATCTGCCTGCGAGGTGTGCTGCAGATCCACTAGAACAATGCGACGAAAAACTATGTGTATGTATGTATATATATATATTTATATGTATATATATATTCAATCATATGTATATATATATATGATATATGTATATAATAGAGGTGTTCCAGAATCATGCAAGCAGAAAGTGAAACAGCGCCAAGGAGTCATGGGCTTGGCTGTCGCCCGCAGCTTTGTTTGCTCACAAATGGTATGCCAAGGAAACAGCAAAATTGGGCGTCTATCCAATCCAGCTGTAAACAATCATGCATCCTTCGGTCAGGAAATTCACCAAAAAAAACGGTCGTCTGAACATGTAGCACAGGGCAAGCCACCATCAATAGCACATAGTTTCAAACTAGCGGTGGAAGATTTCCACGTGTTTCCACGAGGTTAGCTGATAGTAGCATCTCTTCTTTCGGAACCCTCTCCAACATCCTATACCAGTAGGGCAAAACCTCCACCATGCATTGGAATTTGGGCCATTCTCCCACTCCGTACAGCATGTCACAGAATGTCATGTCTACATACGTCCACATGTCACGTACATGTCACGTTCATGTCACGTACATTTCACAGCTCAAGTGAATCAAGGTGTGCATTCTTTTAGGGGGCTTCGACATGTCGCAGAAGCAGCTGCGGAAGCTCCGTGAGCTTCGAAAAGCGCCAGAGGATCCACCGGAGAATCAACAGGACGGAGGGCAATGGGCACAGGGACGACGGCTCGAGTCTAGAGAGATGGATCTGGGATCCGGAGGGATCCGGGTTTTCTTATGGATTTTCTGGCTTGCAAATCTTGCAATGCGACACAATCGAGGGGTGTTAGTGACCAAGGGGGTCTTAACTTTGTTGCCAACGTTTCCGTGTTGGGTCAAAGATCCCTCCGTCGAGTAGGTTGAGGCTGTGAACGAAGACTTGGAGTCCAGCGATGATCAAGTGACTCGACAGGTCCGACGATTTGGATGGAAACCGGACCTTGCAGTGTGAGGAAGTCTGTTGAAACATTTTTGGAACTCATGTAGCACCTCCACTGCGAGATGGTCCATGATTGTCCTCACTGCGCATGCTTGTGTCAGGTGCAGTGCTAGCAAATGCTAGAAATCCTAGTTGTGGCAGTTGTGGCATTCTGATGGTCCAATCAGTCCAACCAAATACATTCTGAGAAGAAGAGATATTATAGGAGCGGCGTTCTGCCGAATGGCGAGGGAATTGACGTCGCTCGGGTTTGTGTCAAGATTCAAGGCGACAGCTCCCATTCTCAAGGAATCTGACTTTTGTTCCCAACTCCGGAGACTGCTGGGCACTGCTGGGTCTTGATAGTAAGTGCAGATTCCCACTTTTTTAACAGCCCCTCCCTAGTGGTAAGCGCAGTGTCTCAGTTGTTAATAAACTGTCTCCGATAAATGCTGATACAGCGAGAGGGAGATATAGGCTAAGCCGGGAGTGTGGAGTCGCAGAATTGTCCGCATGAAGGGCGCAGAAGCAAAAGAGAGGGAGAGAGTGAGTTGTTCAAGGTCATGCCTAAGAGCAGACCAAGAGCACAAAAAATTGAATGCGTGCGATATATGTGCGGTTCAGGTGTTTTCTCTTTTTCGGATGTCTAACCTAGGCAGCATGAAGCTGTGTGCGGTGCTTCATGCTGTGAGGCTGCAGCGCTCACGATTTCTTCATATTTATGCATATGTTACATATGCTTACTTTCTCTAGGACTTTGCACACGCAATTGGACCTATACTTCCATAGCGACTTCCATAGTGACTTCCATAGCGACTTCCATAGCGACTTCCATAGCTGTCCATTCCCAAGGCAACTGGAGCTCACAAAGGCTTCCACGCTCTTGCGAGCTCCTCTAGTAGCTCTGAAGCTGGCGAGGTGCTGTCGTGGACATCAAAGGATACCAAGACAGATGACATCAGAAATGGCAGCAGGATGAAATTCCGATGGAAAAGCTTTGAATGCTTTGAATGCTTTGAAAAGCATGGAGAGACAGCTGAGATTGTGGAAAGATTCCTGCCATAATGTTTGATGACTCGGACTTGTCAGACTCTGATGACTTATTTGCCTTTACATGTTGCTAAGATTTGGTGACACACTCTGGAATTGTAATCTTGAGCATTTAATTACTGTATGAAAGTCACTTGCTCAACAGTCGGCAACCACAGGGTAGCTGCATCTCTTGTGTCTTGAAGCAGGTGCCATCCACCGAGACACTGACGCGGAAAGCCCGAAGAAAGAAACGTCGCGATATCACGAATGACAAGAGACCGCCGAAGATGAAATCTTCTGGAGATGATTCAGATGATTTTTTGGCCGGTCTAGAGGATACAGCGCCAAGCAATGAAGTGGAGAGTCAGCCGAATCAATCTACGGGAAGCCCCTTGAATCCACTGGCCATGAGGCACTTCTGTTGAAAGTGATCCGTCATATGCTGCCATGTGGTGTGTTGACACCAAAGCATTGTTCGATCCAGCGGCTACATTTTCATAGCACCAACATGTCAAATGAATACCAAAGAACACAGGGGCTACCCTCAGGTCATGTGAACGTGTTTATCTCTCAATAGGTAGATGAAAGATGACATATGAATGATGTTGATGATGATGATGATGACGACGATGATGTTGTTGATGTTGATGATGTTGATGATGTTGTTGATGATGATGAATTGATGAATTGATGATGTTGATGATGATGGTGATGATGTTGATGATGTTGTTGATGTTGATGATGGTGATGATGATGATGATGATGATGATGATGTTGATGTTGATGTTGATGATGTTGTTGATGTTGATGATGTTGATGATGATGATGATGAATTGATGAATTGATGAATTGATGATGTTGATGATGATGATGATGATGTTGATGATGTTGTTGATGTTGATGATGTTGATGCTGATGATGATGATGATGATGAATTCATGAATTGATGAAATGATGATGTTGATGATGATGATGATGTTGATGATGTTGTTGATGTTGATGATGTTGATGATGATGATGTTGATGATGTTGATGATGTTGTTGATGTTGATGATGTTGTTGATGTTGATGATGTTGTTGATGATGATGATGATGTTGATGTTGACGATGTTGTTGATGTTGATGATGTTGATGATGTTGATGATGATGATGATGTTGATGTTGATGTTGATGATGTTGATGATGATGATGATGATGTTGATGATGATGATGATGTTGATGTTGATGATGATGATGAATTGATGAATTGATGATGTTGATGATGTTGTTGATGATGATGATGTTGTTGATGTTGATGATGATGATGATGATGATGATGATGTTGATGTTGATGATGTTGTTGATGTTGATGATGTTGATGATGATGATGATGAATTGATGAATTGATGATGTTGATGATGTTGTTGATGATGATGATGTTGATAATGTTGTTGATGTTGATGTTGATGATGATGATGATGTTGATGATGATGATGTTGTTGATGATGATGATGATGTTGATGATGATGATGATGTTGATGATGATGATGATGATGATGATGCTGTTGTTGATGATGATGATGATGATGTTGATGATGATGATGATGTTGATGATGATGATGATGTTGATGATGATGATGATGTTGATGATGTTGTTGATGTTGATGATGATGATGATGTTGATGATGATGATGTTGATGATGATGATGATGTTGATGATGTTGTTGATGTTGATGATGATGATGATGATGTTGATGATGATGATGATGTTGATGATGATGATGATGAATTGATGAATTGATGAATTGATGAATTGATGAATTGATGAATTGATGAATTGATGAATTGATGATGACGACGACTTTCTCAGCTGTTTAGCATCGACGGCAGGCGCCAGGACTTCTCCGGTGAAGCGGAGCGGCTGCGCGTCTTCGGCCGCGTGGGGCTTCGCGACAGCCGCCGGAAGGGGCCTCGCCGCGCACGGGGTCAGGGAGAAGGCAAGACACTGCACCACCGGAGGCTGTTCCTGGTATCTTTAGAAGCGAATGAACCATGGCCCAAACCTGATGACACAAGTCAGATGGTGCTTGTTCTTTCGGAAGATGGAGCGGTGAGCTTTGACTTCAAGGAAAGTGATGCGTCAACGCGGAGTTTAGAGATGCTGCAATCGGTGGTGAGCCAGGAAGATCCAGAGTTGTTGCAGAGATATCTCCAACGTTCGCCCTTTTCTTTGGAGGGTTTGCTGGTGATGGCTGAGGATCATCGTCGTCAAGGGGGATATGATCAAGCCAGGGAACTCATTCGACGGGCCATCTACACAGTGGAATGTGCATTTGCTCCAGACTTTTCTCCCTTTGAAACTTTGGATGTTGGAAGTCAGTCCAGCAGGCCACGGGTGAGGCTTCAAATGCCAGACCGTTCTGCACCTTCTGCGCATTCTGCGCATTCTGCACTGGACTGGCCAGGTTGGAGTTGGTTACGGGCCCTGTGGATGCACATGCATTGTTTGGCAGGGCAAGGCATGCACCGAACCTCCTTGGAGGTTTGTAAGTTGCTGCTGGCTGCCACCTTACCTCAGGATCCGCTGCGAGCATTGCTGTGGCTGGATCATTTATGTTTGAGAAGTCGGCAGTACAACACCATCGCAGATTTGAGTGTCTCTTTAACTCGCATCTGTGGTCTCACTAGTCAGGGCTCTGAGGGCTCCGAGGGCTCCGAGGGCGCTGAAATGAAAGAGACATTGGAGTTGGCCTTTCCAAACTTTGCTTATTCAGTGGGCCTGGCTGGGATTCTGCAGCAAAGCCCAGATATGTCTTTGCTCAACCATCTCACATTGGAGAATATTCTGGATGCTGAGGGTGCAGAAGATTTGGAGGGGGACCTGCTCACCTTTGCCAGACTCATGCGTGCCCTTCTCTACTTTCCAGGGGCTGTCAGGCCTTTGTTGGAGGAGGTGGGGATTTCAGGAATGCATTGCAGTGCAGGTCATTTTTTTCTGAAGAATGGCCTGTGATATGCAGCATCTTGTCACACTCCTTTCCTATCTTTCCTCATACCTGGACATTTCTTTTAGTGTTCAATTGTTAGGTCGATCGAGTTGACTAATGCTTGTTGTGAGCTAGGTGAGGGGCTGGATCTCTTTCAGAAAGGAGCTTTTCAGACATTTTTTGTTTGCTTCTGACCACTGTCCCTCCAAACCGCAGATCACATTTGACCACAACGTGTCACGAGGGTCCGTTCCATTTTCAATGTTGAATGCCTTGATCCCTTGAAGGCAGCCGTGCAGTTGGACAGCCCCAAGGGCTCGGGCTCAGAGTGGATTTCGCTGTTGACGCAGCCGCCCTTTGTGGATGGCTTGACGTATCGCCACGCGCAGCATTCGGTGGCCCAGGGGCGGATCTGTGCGGCCTATGCAAAGCTCTGTGGGCCGCTGTGGAAAGACGAACCTGTGAAAGTGCTGCGCCTGGGTCCGAAATGGTCCGAAACGCTTGGAAATGCTTCGAACCGTTCATGGAGAGTATTGTAATTGTATTGTAATTGATGACTATTGATGCAATTGTGGCGGGGCTGTGTCTAGTTTTTAGGTTGTCGTGACCAAGAGCGCAAGTACAGTATACAGTATACGCATAGATATATAGTACTCAGTACTCTCTCTCTCTCTGTTTTTCTCTTTGCATTCATTTGCACATAGTGTAATCAGATAATCGGCTTTCTGTTTCGCATGGGTTGCAAGAACCTTCCACCAGGCATGCTTGCGCAGTGCGCTGGGTGAAACTGCACGAGAGTGCAATTTTTCAGAAGGACATCGTGGATGCTCGACTTCGTTGGGCCAATGCGACGTTTGCGTTCAGCGAGACGTTGCGTGACTATGCGGATGCATTGCCGGATGACGGTTTGGCAAATCCTCCTGTGCCCCTTTTATTAGAACATGCGCTGTCGGCACGGTTGCATCCAAAGATAGAGCAACAAATGGAAGACTTCGGTATGTTCCGGAGGATTGATACGGTCCCGAACATGTCAATTTATTCGCCTCCCCTGATCCTATTCTTTCAATCTCTGATGCCCTGGAGTGTTTTGGACCACAGTGGCGTCACTGCGACACCGCTGCTTTGGTCAGACATTGGTCGAGGGCTAGCAACGGCTTTGAAGGACACAGGGCTCTTTGCCGTGGAAGTTCTGCTGGGTGTTTCCCAACTTCTGAGTTCTGCTGGCGCCATGCTCCGGCAGCATTTCCGGCCTCGCAGGGCCACAGACTGATACAGAGACAGGCTGCGTTGCCAAGGGCTTCAAAGCCCTCGCGCTTTGTACAGAAAACACACGTGCAAAAAATAGGGCTCCCTCTGACAACTCTAGTATCTCCTCTACTTAGCCAAAGAAACCAATCTCCTGGGGGGTCCATTTTCCTCTCGCATGACTCCGCTCACTGTCCGGGAGACCAACACTGAGACGAGAGAACATTGAGACTCAATTGAGACATAAGAGGACTAGCTAGTGACTAGCGCGAAGAGCTTATTATATGATGGATTGATTCAGGGCGACTCTCGTGCATTCGTGCAGTCGAGACCACGTTGAAATAAGCTGAAATAAGGACATGGGCTGTAGGATGATATATATATATATAATATATATATACGCACAATGGATTGTTGCTTGCAAACCATTGCCTGTTTCCTGCTGTTGGTGGCTATACACCATTTGAATCCATTGGACTCTTGTGCTCAATACGGGCATGCCCATCCTTTGCCGTCTCAAATCTTTACCGCTTCTTCTATCTGTGCAGCATTATTTGGCTCCTCACCCCGGCGGGCTTGGTCGCACTTAATGGCCAATGACCCAAGTTGACCCAAGTTGGTGAGATTTTGTGATTTTTGTCTTGGGCTCCTTGCGTCACAAAGTTGTCATGTTCAGGACGGAACGGAACAAAGTTTGACCGTTGTTCATTTGTGAGATGCGCCTGCGGACTTTCAAAGGCTATCAACACACATATTCACATATCGTTCTAATATATCACAGTGGATGTGTATGTCCAGATTCTCAAGCAAAGCTGCAGATTGCCGTCCGCATTTGCAGGTGGAATGTTCGAGATAGGAGTGCGAGTGGTGTTTCTGCCTCAGAGGTGAGAGCATTGCAACTGCTGGCTCCAGGGCAGGGTCTTCCACCGAGGATTCATGGCATGGATGGAAAGGAGGGTGCTGAAGCAGTCTCTTGGCTGTCCATTAATTTTGCACCGCTGTGGGCCTCTGCACACTCTAAGGAGATTTCTGCGATTGACAGTGATTCAGCCACTTATGAGTGCAAACTCCTGGCTGATGACTTTGGGGGTGAGAAAGTCTATTGCAAGGCCAGCCGCAACTGATTTGGGATTTGATGCAATGAGCCAAAACACACCAGCAAATGATCGGTACAATGGGCCGAATGGCTTGCAGCAGTCAGTGCAACATTTCTCATGCTAGCCTTTGTTCCTCGACTGTGGCAAGGCAGCAAACCTGAAACTGGCCTCAGCAGAACACTCAGTTTGCGTCGCATGTTTTGCAACATGTCTTCTTTTCTTAGTGCTAAACTTGGGAGTTCTGTAGCGTCAAAAACAGCTTGCAGGATGCCGCTGCAGAAGACCCAGACAAGATACTTGCCAGCATTCAACTGAAAACTGTTGCGTTGCTTTGCAAAAATCACAATGTTTCACATCATCATTGGGAACCATAGGAAACCCATTCTTTCGTTGCAGGGTCGATGCGACTTTTGCATACAGCTGTGCCCATTTGAGGCGACTGGCCGATTTGGTGAAAGACAAGGGTGGAGACAGGACCTGATCGCAGCGCTTTGGCAAATTCGTCGGGACAAAACGGAGTGGCAAGTGTCGCGAGCACAGGAGTAGCTCAGAAAAGTCAAAGGGAAAAAGTTCCGCACCAAGAGCTCTTGCAGCTCTTGCAGCTTCAGCAACGTGCTCTGTAGCTGGTGCTGATGCGGTGATGCAAAGTCTAAGGTAAGAAGAAGAGTAAGAAAAAGAAAAAGAGGACGGAGCAGCCGAGCAGCATCATGCAACAATATGCAACAATATTAAAATAATCTAAACATATCTAAACATTTTTTCCTGGTATATTATGGTATATTCACACATATAAAAATACACACACGCACACACACACATAATAATCTTTCAAAATGATACCACAGTTTTCCTGGATTCCTCCAATCGCCCTGTGTAACAGTCCTACACTTGCTTGACAGGGTTTGGTGTCTTCCCATTGCGGTTTTTTGAGGAAGAGCAGCAGCAGCAGCAGCCCCAGCAGCAGCAGCCGAAGCAGCAGCACAAATGCGCCCAACCGAAAGAAGCGCGGCACCATGTTCAACAGAATCCTGGAAGCAGATGGGCATGGATGGTACTTTATGGACCTTGATGGCATGCTTATAAGTTCTACGTGTATATAATCGTGTTGGCATACATACATATATCATATATATATAGTACAATGTTGCTTAAACATCAATATATATATATAGATATGAATAATACATAAATACATAAATCAATATATAGAGAAATCAATAGCCATACACACGAATGCGCATGTAAATATAAATGTATCTATGAATGCAACTATAACTATATGAATTATAAATGCACACACAAAGGTATCAAACTCTGTGGTCTTTGTGGACGATGTTAGTTTTCTCGGATGATCGGATGGTCAATCTGAGGATCCACCTTGGAGGTTGCTGAAAAAGCGGTTGAGAGCCCCAGCACTGTTTCGAGACCGTGTTGAAAGATGTTGAAAGTGAATCGTTTTTCATCAATCGTTTTTTTTTGCCACGGATTTTCCAGTATCCATACCAAAACTTGACCAACCTTGATTTCTGAGGGCTTTTCGTGATGCGAATGACTGCAACCTGCCCGAGGCCAAACGGCACAAGAAAGACCGCGAAGGCTTTGGGCACGGCATGACTTACATTTTGCCAACCAAAAGGTCAAAAGGGAAACAGAATGGAAAAATGTAGAAACCATCTGAAACCATTAGAAAACTGTTTGCGCAGGTGGAGCTGCAGCTGCCGCGGCTCTCCTGGGGCTTAGAGCCTTGGCACACCATTTGGAGATGGCAGGTGATGAGATGGTTACGGGACATCCCAGTGAGATAAACCGGGATAAATCGCAGTTAAGGGACTCACTACAGTAACAAGGTTTACCAACCGGTTGTGTTTGACACAAGATGGACTATACCGCTATACTACCGCTATACCAATATATATATATACATATATGTATGTATAATATATATATATATGTGTATGCCCCTCACATCCAATGGTGAATCATCACACGCCCCCGTGAACAATGGACATAAAAGGAAGGCATTCCATTTTCTGACATGCCGACGCATTCAGATGGATAATCGACAAATATTGATCCCATTCCTCAGTGGAACCTCTCGAAACCATAACTTTAAATTCTACCAGTGACGAAGCATAGAAGCAGAATGAAGCAGATGAGATGGTGGGATTTGCTGGTCTTCCCACCAGCCATAGCCAAGGATGACACTGGAATACCCATGGTGCGCTATGACCAAAGGAGATTCGCGAAAAATCGGATCCTCAGATTGCCATGATTCTGCAGTTCTGAAGTTGGATTTGCCATGATTTACCTGGGCTGCTGCAGCAGTCTCTCACTTGCAATGTCTTGATTCTGTCAGAGGACCGCCGGTTTTGCCAAACGAATACTGTAACATGACTTGCAGATCAGTTTCCTTTGCAAGGTGCTTTACGGCTGTATCCTTACCACAGTTCCACATCTTCAGACGCTGGTGAATCACTGTTATCATGCACGGGTGTGGTGCCAAAGGCTCAAGCTGTAAATATGGCAGTTACACCACCAGCTACCTTTCCCTATTCCCCTACTCAGTCTCAAGTGTTAGATCATCGGCGCGACCCAGGAGTTACCAGAGTTTTTCTTCTTCAAGTTTTGCAAAAGTTAAGAACATGTAGTGCCAATTTTGATTTTTGGTCGTCTAAGACTTGGCCCCAGGCGGAGCTGGCATCTTAATGTCGTACCATGTATTTAGGGTCCCCAATATATTTGAGTCACGCATGTCCACGTAATCAACATCAGCACGCCTGAAGTCCAGAAGTCCAGACCAGCCGTGCCTTGTGCAATGGAATCTCGCCATGGTTCTTTTACTTCGTCCAGGTGGCATGAGATATCACCGTGTATTATACACATAATAATCATAATCATCATAATCATAATATACAACTCATGTAGAAACTGTTTTCATTGAGGCCAAGTCATAGTAGTCTCACGCTGAGGCTTGGGGCAATACCTTGGTGATGCTCTTGGTGACAATCAGAGCAGCACTTGCAACCGGGATGCCGATTGCTGCTTAGGCCGGGCCTTCAGCAGCCAGCGGGAGGCCCAGGTGGAGAGAAGTCGACATTTCGTTGCAGCGGCAGTGGCCGTCCTTAAGGTCCTTGAATTCATCCTTGGAGTCGCTGGTTTCTCAGTGACCTTTGAAGGACCTTGACTGATCTTGACTCAATTGCCATTGTCCACAACAATTTAGAAGTTGAGCAGTGTTGAGCAAGGGCGAAACACTTGGTCGTATCTAGTCGTATTCTGGCAGTGTTTGGCCAAGGCTTGCGTCTGAACTCGTGCCGGTGGCGGCCAGACACCCAGTGCTCTCCACTCATGGGCATAGCGTGGCTGGCGCTGACTTTTGTGGCTCAGGGGCGGGGACGTGGACGCAGACAACGAACGCCGGTACAGCAAGGGTCCAAGTTTCATCTTCCCCGACGGTTGAAATCTTGCAAGATTTTAAAGGATACAAACGGATTCCCCAAAGCTGCATATGCCAGGTTGGATTCATTAGTACCACACCAGTCTGAATTGGACCCCCAAAAGCCAATGTCACCAGGTTTGTCAGGGTGCCAGCCCCAGCTGAAAGCACTGCCCTGACCAAGTGGGAGGTGCTGGGCTGCTGTTGGGGATGCCACCATGCTATTTGCCAAATTTCGCCTTGCAAGCTACGAAGATCTGTATTCAAATCCGGATGAGTTTCTTTCGAAGTTGCGTGCTTGCATGCTTGACTCTCACTTTGTCACACATCAAAACCTGGCCCTTGGAAGGATGATGCCCTGGTGCCACACACTCCGGCAGATGGCATGCTGGTGCGACAGCAGGCAATAAAGTCTGACTCTACCAGGGCAGAGGGAGAGAGAGAGAGAGAGAACAATTCATCGAAAAACGACCGGCCGCCCCTGAAAAAAATAGTATTGGCAGCATTTGGAAGTCGCGAGTGAACCTGCCTTCTTGGATTGCCTTGGCGCAAGTCAGTTTAAAGAGAGCACTTGTCAGGATGCTTGGCATCAGCAGTGCCGCCGGCCATGTTTGGCTGCTTGCACCGGGCGCTTGGGGCTGGTTCTTAGATGGAAGGGTTCCTTGTCATCCACATAGACAACAAGAAAAAACACATTCATTGCAGCATTATAGATATGACAAACCATGTTTCCCCTACTATTTTTGAGCTGGGAATTTGTTTCATTTGATGTTGAAGCCATGCTTGGCCCATTGGCAGGTTGTCACAAGACAGAATCATGGAACTGCACAGCAGGCAGGAGATGGAGACTTCCGAGATGTGGGTGCAACATCGCTGTGGTTCCACCCGCTGTATCTCGAGGAAGTGCAAAATGATATTGCCCACCTGCTCACCTGCTTCCCACACTTTCCCACCTGTTAGTGGCCTTAAAGGCACCACATGGTTCGCAGTGTATTGCCTGAATTCAGGGTTGCCTATTTCTGAGGATAATGGCACGAAAAGCTTTCCTAAAGCAGGCTCCCATGCATCTGTGGATTCCGGTGTTGCCTTGACTGCTGCCTTCCTGCAATACCTTGAGTAATTTGGTTCAATGCCTAAACTTAGACCACCCACAGAAGAACGTGGAAAATTATGGGTTTGCTAGATGTTGATGGATGTCGATGGATGTCGGGCCCCTGAAGCACAATGAAACACACATGGGCCATTGGGCAACGACTGGGTTGAATGGAGGCCTTGGAGAAGCCAAAGCCACCAACCCCTGTGGTTGACACGCTCCCAGAAGAGGTTGTGCAGGACTCCCACGCCTAACGGGGCCTAACATCTCCATCATATCTCCGTCATATCTCCATCATCTCCCAACCTCGTGGTCCATGGTTCGGTCCATGGTTCGGTCCATGGTTTGATGTTTTGGGTTTGGCCGCTATTAAGCATTCTCTTCTTGTGGAACACGTTTGTTCGTGATCATCCCATGGAGGCCTGTCCCAACTCCGTTGCCAAATCAGATGGCTTTGAGATTCGGGATGCTTTGAGTTCTGTTTCATTCTGTTTCATTCTGTTTCATTCTGTTTCATTCTGTTTCATTCTGTTTCATTCTGTTTCATTCTGTGTCATTCTGTGTCATTCTGTTTCATTCTGTTTCATTCTGTGTCATTCTGTGTCATTCTGTGTCATTCTGTGTCATTCTGTTTCATTCTGTTTCATTCTGTTTCATTCTGTTTCATTCTGTGTCATTCTGTGTCATTCTGTGTCATTCTGTTTCATTCTGTTTCATTCTGTGTCATTCTGTTTCATTCTGTTTCATTCTGTGTTCATTCTGTGTCATTCTGTGTCATTCTGTGTCATTCTGTTTCATTCTGTTTCATTCTGTTTCATTCTGTTTCATTCTGTTTCATTCTGTTTCATTCTGTTTCATTCTGTTTCATTCTGTTTCATTCTGTTTCATTCTGTTTCATTCTGTTTCATTCTGTTTCATTCTGTTTCATTCTGTTTCATTCTGTGTCATTCTGTGTCATTCTGTTCATTCTGTTTCATTCTGTTTCATTCTGTTTCATTCTGTTTCATTCTGTTTCATTCTGTTTCATTCTGTTTCATTCTGTTTCATTCTGTTTCATTCTGTTTCATTCTGTTTCATTCTGTTCATTCTGTTTCATTCTGTTTCATTCTGTTTCATTCTGTTTCATTCTGTGTCATTCTGTGTCATTCTGTTTCATTCTGTTTCATTCTGGTCATTCTGTTTCATTCTTTCATTCTGTGTCATTCTGTGTCATTCTGTGTCATTCTGTGTCATTCTGTGTTTCATTCTGTTTCATTCTGTTTCATTCTGTTTCATTCTGTTTCATTCTGTTTCATTCTGTGTGTCATTCTGTTTCATTCTGTTTCATTCTGTTTCATTCTGTTTCATTCTGTGTCATTCTGTTTCATTCTGTTTCATTCTGTTTCATTCTGTTTCATTCTGTGTCATTCTGTGTCATTCTGTGTCATTCTGTTTCATTCTGTTTCATTCTGTTTCATTCTGTTTCATTCTGTTTCATTCTGTTTCATTCTGTTTCATTCTGTTTCATTCTGTGTGTCATTCTGTGTCATTCTGTGTCATTCTGTTTCATTCTGTTTCATTCTGTTTCATTCTGTTTCATTCATTCTGTTTCATTCTGTTTCATTCTGTTTCATTCTGTGTCATTCTGTTTCATTCTGTTTCATTCTGTTTCATTCTGTTTCATTCTGTGTCATTCTGTGTCATTCTGTTTCATTCATTCTGTGTGTCATTCTGTTTCATTCTTTCATTCTGTGTCATTCTGTGTCATTCTGTGTCATTCTGTTTCATTCTGTTTCATTCTGTTTCATTCTGTTTCATTCTGTTTCATTCTGTTTCATTCTGTTTCATTCTGTGTCATTCTGTTTCATTCCTGTGTCATTCTGTTTCATTCTGTCATTCTGTGTTTCATTCTGTTTCATTCTGTTTCATTCTGTTTCATTCTGTTTCATTCTGTTTCATTCTGTTTCCTTTCTGTTTCCTTCTGTTTCCTTCTGTTTCCTTCTGTTTCCTTCTGTTTCCTTCTGTTTCCTTCTGTTTCCTTCTGTTTCCTTCTGTTTCCTTCTGTTTCCTTCTGTTTCCTTCTGTTTCCTTCTGTTTCATTCTGTCACGAAAGCCAGCCGCTAGGCTAGGCGACGTTCTTTTTGCGAACAAAGTGAGTTAAGGGGGTCTGGGGGCAGAGCGCCCCCAACTGGCCAAAAATCGGGAAATTAGGTGGTAAAAAAGGTGGCCACAGGTAAAAATTTTTAGGGTTATGTACCAGGTGGCAATTGGGTGACGGTGGGGTATCGATTCCCCCCTGGTCCGCCCTCCGAGGTGGACTTGGGGAGATTGCAATGGAGGGGAAAATGATGAGAAAAACAATGGAAAAAATGAGGGAATATGATATAAAACAATGGGAAAAAAATGGGAAAGGAGGGGAAAATGATGGAAAATGATGAGAAAAACAATGGAAAAATGAGGGAATATGACATAAAACAATGGGAAAAAAATGGGAAAGGAGGGGAAAATGATGAGAAAAACAATGGAAAAAATGAGAGACTATGATATAAAACAATGGGAAAAAATGGGAAAGCAATGGAAAATTTGAGTAGAACGCTTGGAAAATTGATACGCGAGGAAAAACGGTGGAAAGAATAGGGAGAGGGTAAAATGATGCCAAGTAAAATTGAGGCTCCGATGTGGGACCATTATCGCGTAATGGAAAAGCAATGGAAAAATTGCAGTTTCGATATGAGGAGATGACACACATGTCATGTGATGTGCAGAAGTTCAGTTTTTGCCCAAATTTTGTAAGCAATGCAATCTTCATTCTGAAATTTGGGATAAACAATGAACAATGGGAAAAGAATGGGAAAGCAATGGCAAATTTGAGTAGAACGCTTGGAAAATTGATTACAACGGTGGAAACAATGAGGAGAGGGTAAAATGATGCCAAGTCACGTAAAGCACGCGTGAAACATTGGAAAAGCAATGGAAAAATGGCCGTTTTGATTAACACCATGTGATGTGCAGAAGTTCCATGATGGTACTTTTTAGCAAGATGGGCAGCATACCTTATTCGCTCAAGATTTAGTGCATTCTTATGGTCCTGTATCGCGTAATGGAAAAGCAATGGAAAAATTGCAGTTTCGATATGAGGAGATGACACACATGTGATGTGCAGAAGTTCAGTTTTTGCCCAAATTTTGTAAGCAATGCAATCTTCATGCCATATGTCTGAAATTTGGGATAAACAATGAACAAATGAGGGAATATGACGTAAAACAATGGGAAAAGAATGGGAAAGCAATGGCAAATTTGAGTAGAACGCTTGGAAAATTGATTACAACGGTGGAAACAATGAGGAGAGGGTAAAATGATGCCAAGTCACGTAAAGCACGCGTGAAACATTGGAAAAGCAATGGAAAAATGGCCGTTTTGATTAACACCATGTGATGTGCAGAAGTTCCATGATGGTACTTTTTAGCAAGATGGGCAGCATACCTTATTCGCTCAAGATTTAGTGCATTCTTATGGTCCTTTGCTGCCTCGCCGATTGACCTAACTTCAAATACTGAGAAATCATATTTTTGACCATCTATTATAAATCTCATTCTTTTAGTTTGTTGTGGTATCCAAGAAGAGATGACACACATGTGATGTGCAGAAGTTCAGTTTTTGCCACAATTTTGTAAGCAATGCAATCTTCATGCCATAATAAACAATGAACAAATGAGGGAATATGACGTAAAACAATGGGAACACGAAAGCCAGCCGCTAGGCTAGGCGAAGTTCTTTTTGCGAACAAAGTGAGTTAAGGGGGTCTGGGGGCAGAGCGCCCCCAACTGGCCAAAAATCGGGAAATTAGGTGGTAAAAAAGGTGGCCACAGGTAAAGTTTTTTAGGCTTATGTACCAGGTGGCAATTGGGTGACGGTGGGGTATCGATTCCCCCCTGGTCCGCCCTCCGAGGTGGACTTGGGGAGATTGCAATGGAGGGGAAAATGATGAGAAAAACAATGGAAAAAATGAGGGAATATGATATAAAACAATGGGAAAAAAATGGGAAAGGAGGGGAAAATGATGGAAAATGATGAGAAAAACAATGGAAAAATGAGGGAATATGACATAAAACAATGGGAAAAAAATGGGAAAGGAGGGGAAAATGATGAGAAAAACAATGGAAAAAATGAGAGACTATGATATAAAACAATGGAAAAAATGGGAAAGCAATGGAAAATTTGAGTAGAACGCTTGGAAAATTGATACGCGAGGAAAAACGGTGGAAAGAATAGGGAGAGGGTAAAATGATGCCAAGTAAAATTGAGGCTCCGATGTGGGACCATTATCGCGTAATGGAAAAGCAATGGAAAAATTGCAGTTTCGATATGAGGAGATGACACACATGTGATGTGCAGAAGTTCAGTTTTTGCCCAAATTTTGTAAGCAATGCAATCTTCATTCTGAAATTTGGGATAAACAATGAACAATGGGAAAAGAATGGGAAAGCAATGGCAAATTTGAGTAGAACGCTTGGAAAATTGATTACAACGGTGGAAACAATGAGGAGAGGGTAAAATGATGCCAAGTCACGTAAAGCACGCGTGAAACATTGGAAAAGCAATGGAAAAATGGCCGTTTTGATTAACACCATGTGATGTGCAGAAGTTCCATGATGGTACTTTTTAGCAAGATGGGCAGCATACCTTATTCGCTCAAGATTTAGTGCATTCTTATGGTCCTGTATCGCGTAATGGAAAAGCAATGGAAAAATTGCAGTTTCGATATGAGGAGATGACACACATGTGATGTGCAGAAGTTCAGTTTTTGCCCAAATTTTGTAAGCAATGCAATCTTCATGCCATATGTCTGAAATTTGGGATAAACAATGAACAAATGAGGGAATATGACGTAAAACAATGGGAAAAGAATGGGAAAGCAATGGCAAATTTGAGTAGAACGCTTGGAAAATTGATTACAACGGTGGAAACAATGAGGAGAGGGTAAAATGATGCCAAGTCACGTAAAGCACGCGTGAAACATTGGAAAAGCAATGGAAAAATGGCCGTTTTGATTAACACCATGTGATGTGCAGAAGTTCCATGATGGTACTTTTTAGCAAGATGGGCAGCATACCTTATTCGCTCAAAATTTAGTGCATTCTTATGGTCCTTTGCTGCCTCGCCGATTGACCTAACTTCAAATACTGAGAAATCATATTTTTGTTCTCCGGGTGAAAAGTATCTGGGTGAAAAATATGTGCAAGAAGAGTTTCTGGGTGAAGTCTCTGGGTAAAAAGTATATATGGGTGAAAAGTATGTGCAAGAAGAGTTTCTGGGTGAAGAGTCTCTGGGTGAAAAGTCTGTGCAAGAAGAGTTTCTGGGTGAAGAATCTCTGGGTGAAAAGTATATGGGCGAAAAGTATGTGCAAGAAAAACAATTGGGTGAAGAGTCTCTGGGTGAAAAGTATATGGGTGAAAAGTCTGTGCAAGAAGAGTTTCTGGGTGAAAAATCTCTGGGTGAAAAGTATATGGGTGAAATGTATTGAAGAGTCTCTGGGTGAAAAGTATGGTGGAAAATAGGGGTAGATGGGATGCTGGCTTTCGTTCCCCCCTTCTCAGGTTTCATTCTGTTTCATTCTGTTTCATTCTGTGTCATTCTGTGTCATTCTGTGTCATTCTGTTTCATTCTGTTTCATTCTGTTTCATTCTGTTTCATTCTGTTTCATTCTGTTTCATTCTGTTTCATTCTGTTTCATTCTGTTTCATTCTGTTTCATTCTGTTTCATTCTGTTTCATTCTGTTTCATTCTGTTTCATTCTGTTTCATTCTGTGTCATTCTGTTTCATTCTGTTTCATTCTGTTTCATTCTGTTTCATTCTGTTTCATTCTGTTTCATTCTGTTTCATTCTGTTTCATTCTGTTTCATTCTGTTTCATTCTGTTTCATTCTGTTTCATTCTGTTTCCATGGACCAATTTATTTCAATTTCCGATGACCTCATGACTCATGCCCTTGGTTTCCGGAAGGGTGACCCACAAACACTCGTAGCATTTCATAGCGTCTGAAGTCTGAAGACTTCAAGGTTTCCTCTACGGCCTCCAAGGGTTCTACGATTCTACGCCATCTCAGCTTCTCAGTTTCTCAGTTTGTTTTTCGAAGGACGTGTTCTCCTCGCTGGTGGTGGATCCTCAAGAGGAGCTCCGAGCTCGCAGGGACTTCCGACGAGCTGAGTCGTGCCTTGACATTTGAAGTGATCTGAAGTGGTTCTGGTGGGGACAGAAAAAGTAACATATCCAGGCGTTCTGCCAACAGAAACCTTTTTTTCCTCTTGTGACAACCCTCTGACATGGTCTTAAAGTGGTTGGGAGAGCTGTCAAGAAACAGTGGAAGCAAAAAAGGTAAAGAAGTGGAAACAACATGAAAAAGAAAGGGTTGTGTCACTCGCCGCTGCTCTGGACACAGCCTTTGCTTTCAACATTTCACGTCCCAGGTTGGCTCTACAGCTGCTCGGCAACGTGGAAGCAGCGCTTGATGCATGACATATGTTTATATGGTTTGAATCCTGGGAGTATCCCCCCTAGTGAAAATATGCGAAAATACGTGACATGCCTTGGCAAGCCTTAGTCATTTGTCAGATAACAGCTATAACCAAGCGACCATCACCGACCATCACCGACCATCACTCCAAACGGCATCAGGCTGGAGCACTTGCTGGCCTGTCCGCCGCAGCAGCTCCACAAGGCCTGGAGACTCATGGAGGACTTGACCCTGTAAAGGCACCCGGCACACCCCAACAAAGATCAGAACTCATGCAGACCGTATGAGAATAAAACATGCACATACAAACACCATACACAATCACACACATATATAATCATATATACACAGATACACATACATCATGTTTTATACAATGTGCAATAAAGACGGTGCCCGGCCCATGCCGGGGCAGAAGTTTCGAAGATCGAACCAACTATAGGAAGAAGAAGAAGCAGAAGAAGAAGAAGAAGGTCTATAGGAAAGCTTTTCAGAACTGTTGAAGTTGTGAGACGCACCAACGAATGAGCAAAAGGTGGTTGAGATGATAAAATGACATGAAAGATTCCGTGCACAACTGTCCGAATGAACCAGCGAATCACTGAATCAATGAATAGGTGGGTGAATTAGTGAGTCGACGAAGCAATGAATCAAATAATCCGTCGTTTAAAGTGAACCAGTTCAATGATTCAGCGAATGAATGACACAATTATGCAATGAATCAGTCAATCAATCAATGAGTAAAGTCTTGAGTCGATGAATCAATGAATCAGTGAATCAATGAACGACTGAATCAATGAGTTGACGCATCAATGAATCAATGAATCAGTTGTTCAAAGGTTCAGTCAATCAATAAATCAGTTCAATGATGCTGTGAATGAGTGAATCAGTGAACCAATGAAGCAATGAACTAGTGAACTAGTGAGTCGATGAATCAGTGAATCAATGAACTTCACATGAATCAATCAATCAGTGCATCAATGACTGACATGATGATTCAATGAAGCAATGAATCAATGAAGCAATGAAGCGATGGTTCAGTGAATCAGTGAATCAATGCATGAGTGAGTTAGTGAGTCGATGAGTCAGTGAATCAATGAATGAACGAATGCATGGATGGATCACTGAGTGGCCTCTTCGCCGAGGCACCTCTTCTCTCAGCTACTTCTTCTTTGAGCAGCCTCTGATCTGGGCTACTTCTTCTCTGACCCTGCTCGGGGCTGCCTCCCAGCTAGCCGCTACTAAGCCGTTCTGTAGCCAACTCTTTTCTTTGCGCAGCTGTTACGATGCGTTTAGCAGCTGCAAATCAGGAGCGCCGCGCCACATCGACCAACGTTCGCGCAGCGTGCGGACTCGAGCATGCAAATCCGGCGCGGCTCCGATCCCTCAATTTTTTGTGTTTTAAAATGTGCATGAAACCCAGCTTTGGCTACAATCTGGTGCACATTTTGCCGATCTCATTTTCCAAAACTGCTCTGTACATGACATTTTTTAAACATTTGAAGTGCAAATCGAACTCTCGCTACAGTTTGGCGCACATTTTGCCGACCTCATCTACCAAAAGTGCCACGCGCCTGCAGCGAGAAGCAAATTTTTGGCCAAGACTGAGCTCTCAGCTCTCGCTATAGTCTCGTGCGGTTTTTCGTTGACATCGAGGCCCGCAAGCGCGGAAACCCTACTTCGGCCACCGCTGAACCCAAATTATCCTAAAAAACAGAAATTTTCGTGCCCGAGAGGGTTTTCACCCGTGAGTGCACACGCCTCCGAACCGTACACTTCCCAAATGCTTGATGATGGGTGGTTGGCATGATGATGTAGTTGACATGGTGATGTGGTTGACATGATGGTGTGAATGCTCACCATGACCATCGTCCATAACTCGGAAGTTTTCTAAATCCCTTTGATAAGTATACATCTCGATACGAGTATTGTCCACTGGTTTTCATGTCTGTACCACTATAGCCATGAAGAAAAGATGCTCAGACGGAGGGTTGCCTTGGTTCTTGCAACCTGCTTGCGGCCCACAAAAGAATCAACATGTGAAACAGCTGACAGGTGCTGAAAAGCCAAGGAGTTCGGATTGCAAAGGTGCACGCTATGGCCAGATGCAAGTGTCCAAGTGTTAATTGTGGCTTCGAGAGTTCAAAGCTGCCATTGCTCAGAGATTCATCGGAAGCTGGCGCTCTTGAATCCTAACAGGTGGCTTCCTTCCCTCAAGATGCCGTGGCAGCATCAGATGTTCTCGTTGCCTGGTCGCACAAGGACAGGAACACCATGGCAGTCATGAATCCAGCCGATAGCTTGATCAGGTTTACTTTGAATGCGATGGAGACGAGCCCAAAGTGCAAAGAACATTGACGAAAGCCGCCCCAGCCATTCGCCAAGCTGAGATTAGGACAGTCGTTTGTTGAGGTGCTATTTCTTGACGCTGCTCCATCTTCCCGTTACAGCGCACCAAATTTTCTTGTTCCCCAAACAGTGTGTCCACACTGAGGGGTTCTTACGGTAGGAGTAAAAGGCCGGGGTTAGGTTTTGTGGGATATCTTGGGGCATTGGTTCAGGACAGACTTGCGGAAATGTGCAGTGTAACTTGGAGAGCTGTTCCGGCAGAGTTCAAAGCAGGGACGCGTGAGATGAAATCTTAGAGTCTGAGGTTTTGTGGGGTGTCTTGGGACATTGGTTTAGGACAGGTTTGCGGAAATGCGCAGTGTAACTTGGAGAGCTGTTCCGGTAAATGAAGCGGTGGAAAGAGATGAAATAGGAGAAAATGAAGGTAGAAATCGCTCACAGTGGCTGAAAACATGGGCATGAGGTTCGTGAAAGCTAAATGGTGAAGTGCTTGCACAGGCTGAAAACATGGGCCTGAGATTCATGAAAATTAAATGGTGACATGCTTGCACAGGCTGACAAGATTGGGCCTGAATTGCATGAAAATAAAATAGCGAAGTGCTTGCATAGGATGAAAACATTGGGCCTGAGATTCATGAAGCACAAAATGTGAAGTGCTTACACGCTGAGATGTTGGCGTCTGGGTTTCTATTTTGTTTTTTTTCCAAACCTGGGGTACCAGAAACGTCAAGCAAATGACTTTATTTTTTGCATTTGTACCTCACATACCATTTTTATTGATTTTTTTTAGCCCTGAGCCGGGGCTGAAACCATGTTGCATGTTGGAAACGTGCACCAGACGGGGATAAAAAAGTGGCTGGGACCTAGGCAAAACGATGCAAAACGTGTTTTTTTTAAAAGAAAACAATGTTCATTCTCGTGGTACGCGCAATGTCTTGTGAAAATCTATATAACATGTGCTCGCGCAACCCTCTCGTCACTTTGTGCGTGTCGAATCGCTATCGTGGCGGCGCGGTATACGAATTTTGGCATCGCTCGTGCTACCTTCTGCTGTCGTTGTGGTGCGGTGCGAAATTTGACATCGCTCGCGCAACCTTCTCGTCACTTTCGGGGTGTCGGATCGCTCTCGTTGTGGCGCTGTGCCGATTTTAGCTGATTCTCTGAGACCGTGGGGAAGAGATCTTATGAGTTCTCTGGCAGGTCCCTTTCTGACGATCTTACGAGAGTTTCATGGTGCAGTCTTCGAGGTCCGTGATGTATGAAGATCTTGGCCAAGGCCTTATAGAGGTGAGAAGATGTCATGAAGATCCTGGCGAAATCCTGTAAGAGGTCCTTGTATGATCTTGTACATGCCCTTATGAGAAGATCTTGTGAAGATCCTGCTGACATCCTCTAAGAGGTCCTGCGTGATCTTGCAGGTCCTTATGAGAAGATCTTGTGGACATCCTGGTGAAGTCCTCTCTAAGCTGTCCCCGCATGATTTTGTGCAGGTCCTTGTCAGAAGGTTTCGCGGAGATCCCCAAGAGGTCCTTGCATGATCGTGTGAGATTCTGGTACGAGGTCCTGGTGAAGAGACATCGCGTTGCTTCTTGTGCCAGCACAAGTTCTTGCTGCTGCAATTCTGATAATGTCTAACCTGACCTGTTGCTGTTCCATAGCTACTGTTGTTTGCATCTGGTACACTGGCCCCCTACCCTCCACACTGTTTGGGGTCTCTTGCCGGTGTATTTTTGGAACAGCTGGATTTCCAGGAGATCTATGGATATCTGATTATATATCTGATATCGTTTAAGGATATTTTTGGAATGCTCAGGCCTTAGCGACTGCATTGGCCAGACGCTTGCTCATCACTTCGGTGCCTTCATTGCGTTTTGTAGCTGCCTCAGAGGGGCAAAACATGGCCAGACGCAGCACAATGATGCACGATGTATGATGTTGAAAATGTATGAAGAGAACGTTGTTGAACAGTCCTGCTATTTCATTTGGTCAAACCTTGATGCAAACTGTGCGAGTAGGACAGGGCTAATACCAAGTCGCGATTTGATTTGTAATTTCTCATGTTATACTGCTCAAAGGCACCCGTGTCGGAGATGGACAGAGAAGGTGCCTCAATACCCATGACACAAGTTAGAAGAGAAAAACCGGACATGGTATTTCTTGGCCGGAAATCACGCACTTGGTTTCTTTTTTGTGGATGACCGGTGGCTGCGGCCAGGCAACACCAGGGAATTGACACCCTCGAACTGGAGATCTAAAAAGAGGTGGCCTTGCTGAAACTTGTCGTGGTGTGTGGTGCCGCCGAGAGTTCTGTTTTTTTTTGGCACTCAGGAGAATACTTGTGTACAAGGCCATGCAGTACAGCCTGACATGTTTGGAGATTGATGCAATGTCAATTTTGGAAACAGTTCCTCTGCAGATGTCAGTCGCAACAAACTGATTGCAAAATTAATCTTATGTAAAAGGTTATGCCTTGTGTCTTGTTTGAACCAGAATCCGGAACTTGAACTATAGATTCTCTAGAGAACTAGCATTTTGAGATCCTGATGTTTGTCAAAGTTGTAGCTCAAGCAACTCGTAGCAACTCGCCCCTTAGAGTTGAACATTTTGCACTCATGGCATCGCCTGTGCTTGGCTCAGTCTGCTTTGGTAGTTTTTTGATCGTGCATGTCCAAAATGGTTTCTGTGAGGCAGTTGAAAAAACTCAAAAGAGTGAACGGCAAGCGGGTTTTCAAGATTTTTCAAGTATCTTGAAAGGGTCTCCGCTCACGGCTCCTCTGGATGTGTAAGTTCAAGTCAACCGCAATCCAAGTTTGAGAAATGACAAGTGATGACAAAGATGCCGTGCACGAATTTGGTCCAAGTCGGGGTGCAGAGCACAGAGTCTGGCGGAGTCTGGTGTACTGCCAAGGTGCTCTTCCTTGCCTACGGCAACCGACGACTCGAAGTCCTCAGTGGTGCTGGCTTTGACTCAGTGTGCCACCAGGCCATTCCAAAGAAAGCAACATACAACTTCATAAAACAACGTAACAAAAATCAAACAACTTGAAATTTGAAAAGAAAAACGGAGATCACAAGATAGGTCCATCATGATGCATGCGTACTATGGTCTTTCATACTCTTTCCATCAGGACCCAGCATCAATGGGAATTTCAGGATCCTAAAATGGAGGTACTCTACTGTGGGTGTACCATATAAGTGCATATTTTCTACGTAGGGATATTCCCTTACATAGGCCTTATATAGGCCTTATATATGGTAGGTACCTCCAATTTAGGTTCCTGAAATGTCCGTTGACAGCAGGGATCCGCAACTTTGATTCCCCTAATCTCCGCATTTGAACCCTGTGGCTGATCAAATTTGCCTGAAGGCAGAAGCCACCCTGTCTTTGCACCCACAGTCCTACGAGATTCACGATGCCTGTGGCAAGGCAGTGACCAGTTCAATTGGAGGAAATGGGCAGTTGGATCGGAAGTGTTGTCAATTCTCAGCAGGATGACACACCAAACGGAAAGCATGAGACACATCCATGCAAAATAATGCAAACATTTGCAAATCAAAAAGCCTCACAAATTTTGTATCATTTTGTGAACAAAACGCTTGTGACATTTTTTGGATTTTGGCAGGTTGATGCTGATAGCTTTGATCGATCCCTTGCTTCCTCTCGCGGCCTCTGCGTCTTGGAGCTGCGTGCTCTGGCTGCCATGGCACTGCGTGTTTGCGGTGTGCTGCCCACAGGGTTACAGCCTTCTTCCAGCGCTTGACATCCCTTGACATAATCAAGGTAATAAAGAGCATGAACTAAAAATAGGCCATAGAGATACAAAAATGTGTGCGCGTTACAAGGCTTTGTCCCCCAAAGACTACACCCTGGTGACCTGGTGGTGTTGAACCTGAAATGATTCATGTTGCATCCTTCTTTGATTGGAAGTTATTGGAAGCCCGCCACGGCCGAGGCGAAAAACCGGAGTGGCAGAAGATGCGACAGATGGAGGTCCAGATCCAGCAGCTTCTGGAACGATCCAGTGAAGCTGAGATAAAGGCTGAAGTGGAGCGACAAGTGGCCGCACGTGTTGATGCAGCCATGGGAAGGCTGAAGGCAGGGATCAACTTCTGAACATTTTGAACGTTTCCATGGTTACTAATTTCCATAGTTACTGGCCAAGACATTTGAGTCCCAACGTTTCAGCAGACTTTAAAAGCTAAATCAATTTAGTAAGCCACGGCAGTTTGACATGTCCAAACGGGTTTGTATAACTACATATCATGTTGTCATTGGGTGTCACTGGTGTCGTGGGTGTGTCATGGCATATTGTTGCTGGTTGCTGGTAGTCTGTAAGACGGAGACTTGTTTATGCCTTTTTGGCTGTCAGGCGGAACTGCGAAAGGATTTGGACGGCGGAAAAATGGATGCTGGGCACGTGCGGCACGGGTTTGGATAATTTTGGATTATTTGCCATCAATTGTTCAACCTGAATGGTAAAATTTCAGCCAGGCTCAACCACCCACTCTTTGAGTGGCATGATGTTGCGCAGGCAATGTTTGCAAAGCTTATGTGGAAATATTTGGAATATGGAACTCTTGCGCCAGAAACCTCGTATATCCAAGTGGCCTCACATGGCATAAACTTGCATAAGCCTGAACAATCATATCACTGAAGCGTCACCCGTACTACAAGTTGTATCAAGTTGTAAGATCTTGTAAGGTTTGGTCAGATGTTGGGACACATGCCGTTTAATGGCCAAGAGTGACCGCGACACATTATATATAAATAATATGATATATATATATATTATTAATATGTTGCGAGAGATGACCCAGACCCAGGAGGAGTTGGAGGACGGCAACTCGTTGTTTTCGCGTGTGGCCATCCTCGAGACCGAGTTGGCTGAACACGTCATCGACAGCTCCGCAGATCTCGGGCGCCTGGAGGCGGGGCTCGTCACGGCACAACAGGAGTTGCAACAACTGCGCAGCTTCACCGCAGATCAGCTGAGTCACTTGGAGCAAAATGACCAAAACCTGGAGCAAAACTTGGAGAATATGGAGAACATCTCCAAGGATATCTCCAAGGCCATGAAGGCCATGAAGGACATGGAGGACATGGAGGATGTGAAGATGAAGATGTGTAACATGACACAAAGTGTAGATGAACTCTCTGAGAAGATGGCAGCTATGGAAATTGATCTCAATGAACAAGCGATCACAGCTTCAGCAGTGAATGGCCATTTGGAAAGTGGTGTTGCGACTGCTAAGCAGGACCGGGATAGCAGGCCTGTTGATGTTTTTTGCATCCATTGGATTTCTCTTGAATTTCTCTTACCACATTTTCCAGGGTAGTTTATTTTGTTGCTGTAGGATGGGTATAGGATGCTGTAGGCAGTTGAGATCTCAAATTCTGGCATGGCTCGCACGGAGTCATCAGAGATCACCACAAGTCGCAACACGTCGCGACCTTTTTTCTCACGCCAGGAGCTCGAATCCCTTCGCCATTGCATGGCTGAGCAATTGAACTTCGTGAATGCAAAGATGGAGCACTTCGTGCAAGAAAGGCCGTCCAAGGCTTTAGGTCCAGTTCCACAGGCCATTGCATGGTCGGATGGCTTCAAGTCCCATGAGCTATCTGTGCCAGCTGTGGATGGGACGCTCTACGGAAAGATGGGAAAGGCCTTGTGGAAAAGCGCGCCTGCACTGACCACGTTGAAACGAGCTTCGAAGTCTCTACCACAGCTGCCGCCATTGTGAAGTCGAACCGACACAGGAAGCTCGTGTCAGATGTGTCAGTGTAAGCTGTGTAAGCTGTGTAAGCTCCAAATTTCCATTCGTTGCGATTTCACCCGGCATGAAACCTTGGAACTGACCTTTGCAAAGCGATAAAAACAGGTGTGCAAAAATAACGAAGGCGCTTGAGGTTCTTGCGGCCTTTGAGCCCTTGAAGAGCCTGCCCTTGCGATTTCTATGGGACATCCCATGACATTCCTGTGTCTTGTAGTGTCTGCCAGGTCGTGGGCACACACCATGAACTGGTGCTGAGACGTGCTGAGTGCCTCCACCAAGTGGTTCGGCCCAGGACAAAATGCACTGGCCAAAATTGGCTGGAAAATCTGAGAAAGTCTCTGCAAAATCTTTGAAGCAAAACATGTCCGACATCACGTCCTTCCAAGATCTTTCAAGTCTTCTTCCAGCATGCTTCGCAGCAAAATGGCAGTTCCCCTTGAGAAGACTTGACATATCTTCACATGACACAGTCCACTCATTCTACTTGAGTCTACTGTAGTCTATATGATCATATATGCTCTATATGCTTGAACCGTTCATGAACCTACTTGTCTCATCTTGTCTCTGACGTGTCCGTTTCTTGCAGCTTTGGAGCAAGTACGTCCTATCCCAGGCCAGCCATCCACACTTCCGGATGTGTTCCACACGTTCTACCTTCATGTTCGCCTTGTTCGCCGTGCTGCTTGCTGTTGGCGCCGCAGCTCCCGCAGCTGACAGTGCCGCACCTGAGGACTACAGTGGCTCTGCCGACTACAGCGATTTGAACGACTACTGGCAGGGACCTGACGGAGCTGTGTGGCAAGATCTCCAGTTGTTGTTCTCCTTCCTCACAGGGATTCTCTTTGTCCGTTCTGCTGAGACCATCTTCGACGCTCGTGGTGCTAGTGGAGGGAACCTGAGGAAGTTGGAGCTCTACCCATTGCTCGCGTGAGTGTGAGGTGCGGGAGCATCATGGAGCATCGAAAGAGGTGCTGAAAGAGGTGTAGAAACCTCTTGCAATGAAAAAAGGCCGGAGGGCGCGCTGATGTTGGCTCTGATGTCATTTTGATCACAGCACATAATATATAAAACGAAAAGAAGCAGAGACAGCATAGATTTTCACAGGTCTTTGAAGCCTTGCCTCTTTGGACAAATCATCTGACTGACGATCAAATTCTCGGATGGCACCCCCATCCTCAAAACACGAGAAAAGTGACAAAGGATCGGTCAAGAGTTGAGAGGCTTCATGAGGATTCTGCCTCAGGGGTGTGCAAGGTCGGTTTGCTCTTTAATTTTCTAACATGTTCCACGGCATGTTCTAGCTCTAGCTGTTGGCAGAATGTCCAATGGATTCCGCATGGATACCCCATGGCTGTCATCTTCTGTCCGCAGTTTGCTAGATTTTGGCTCCTTGTGGCTGTCGCGTCATGGCTGACCTCTCGCATATTTTCGAGAGCCTCAAGGAGTTGAGTGCTGAGGATGGCACCGTGGGAGTTGAGCGTTTGAAGCACGTCCTGGTGAAAATTGGTATGCAAGATGCAGATGCCAAGTCGGTGATGAATGTCTTGCAGACTTCCGAAGGGCGGGTGAACTTGAATGACTTCGCAGCCTGGGTGTCCTTGAAGCCCCAGATGTCAGTAGCCTGGAATGATAATATCATCCTGGCCACTGATAGCTACAAGTTCAGCCATTGGAAGCAATACCCACCAGGCACAGAATATGTCTATAGCTACTTCGAGAGCCGTGGCTGTGAACGAAAAGAGTGGAACGAGGTGGCCTTCTTTGGATTGCAGTACTTCCTCAAGCGCTACTTGTTGGGTCAGGTCATCACCCAAGCGAAGATTGATGAGGCGGTGACCATGTGCTCAGAGCACTTCATCGGAGATGGACTTTTTTACAAAGAAGGCTTTCAGTACATCTTGGAGAAACATGGTGGTAAATTACCCATCTCCATTAAGGCTATCCCGGAGGGCATGGTGGTTCCCACCAAGACAGCCCTGTTCACCATGGTGAATACAGATCCCAAATGCTATTGGCTGACCAACTTCTTGGAGACCTTGCTGGTGCAGGTGAGGGGGGAAAATGGGGAAAAACAAATTGAATCACTGCTAGTTCCAACATGTTCCAACAGGGACCCGTGTTTTTTTCCAGTATTTTCCTCTGATAATGTCAATTGATGACATCACAAGAATGATGCCCACTCGTGCGTTTGAAATACGATTTGCCACCATTTGCTGAAAGGGTTTGTGGCCATTTGTGGCTACCGTTCAGGTGTGGTACCCCATGACCGTTTGCACAAACAGCCGCTACCAGAAGCTGTCCATCCACAAAGCTCTGGCAGAGACTGGCAACGAAGACTGGGGAATTCCAGGCAGGGATAGCAAGGTGATCACCATGAGCTGTTTAAATCACCAACCCATGGTCCAAACGAGCCGTTTAAAATCGTTTGAATTCATATGGCTTTTTCTTGGTAGGGTTACTATCTGGAAAAAGAGCGCGGATCGGAAGTCAATTCGGATAATAAACACAGTGTCCACGTAGCATGTTAGATTTTTGAGACTCGAGGCCCTTTCAGACAAATGTGAACCACCTCGAATGCAACATACCCATAGCCCAAAGCATAAGATGCAATATAACTTTAACCGCTAACATAAAACACACGTTGAGTATATCTGTAGAAGCTCATCTGAATCATGTCCACTTCTAGAGTCTACTATTTTTTCATAAAATCTTTTGTACTATTTCAATCTATTTCAATCTATTTCAATCTATTTCTACAATCTTCACAGATGTTGTTTTCAGCTCCGGTCCAGGTGGTTCGTGTTTTAAGCTCCACGACTTCGGTTTCCGCGGCGTGTCCTCCGTGGAGTCGGCGGCCTTGGGCGGCGCCGCGCACTTGGTGAACTTCCTCGGCACGGACACCGTGGCCGCTCTGCTGTGCTGCCGCCGCTACTACCACGCCACCAAGGCCGAAAACAAAACGAAATTGACAAACATAAACTGAACATGAGAAAATCTGAGAAAATCTCAGAAAACTTCATGTTCTTTTTGAAAGGTATTTATAATTGCATGATTTTTTATATGGAATTGATGGAAGTGGTTGGATGGAAGAGCTTTCCGAAGTTTCCTGGATTTGTTGATGATCTTTTAGCACTTTCCCATTGGTTCATCATGTTAATCCAGATTAATCCACCTATAACTGGGGAGTCGATGTGAGTCGATGTTCCACCAGATTCCACCAGATTCCACCAGGCAGCTGGGCATTCTATCCCGGCCTCGGAACATTCCACCATCACCAGTTGGGGAGTGGAACATGAAGTGGATGCCATGAAAAATATGTTGTTACAATATCCCAGTGGATTGGTGGCATGCGTCAGCGATTCCTTTGATGTCTTCAAGGCTTGCCGTGAATATTGGGGTGATGAGCTGAAGGAGTTGATCAAGGGCCGCATCTCGGGAGATAGCTGGGGCAGATTGGTGGTCCGGCCCGACAGTGGTGATCCCACCGAGACCTGTGTGCAGATCGTGACGATCTTGTGCCAGCAGTTTCAGGAAGATGTGATCACAACGAAGACAGGGCACAGGTTGCTTCCACCATATATTCGTGGCTGGTTGCGGTTTCATCATGGTTCAGCGTTTCTTTAAAACATTGCAACATTACAACATCACTAGTTGATCACTGGGTGATGCTTCCGATCAAGCGAATATACCATATAGTCTTGCAAAGATTGGCTCATGGTCTCAGGTGTCATTCAAGGCGATGGTGTGGACTATGAGTCCGTGCCAAAGATCTTGGGTGCGTTGAAGGATGCAGGCAGACCGTGTCAAGAGGGCGAGTTCGATGTCGCACAGTACAAAAACGTGTGAGATTGACTTAGTCTTAGTTCATCTTAGCTCCAATTCTGGACATGGGGGATTTTCAAACAAAGTTAGAAGGGCAAGGTGCTGGCAAGGTAATTTCCTGACGTTTCCTGTCTATCTGAAATGTTCTGTTACGACTTGGGTCTAGAAATGAACACGCCATGTTACCTTTGGGCCTTTGGGCATCTTTGGGCCTTTGGGCAGGCTTTGCGGCAGACAACATGGTCTTCGGTAGTGGTGGTGCTTTGCTGCAGAAACTCAATCGAGACACTTTCAAGTGCGCCTTCAAGTGCTCCGAGATCACAGTGAATGGCCAAGCCCGAGAGGTTTTCAAGGAACGGAGGGAACGATGATGAATGATGTGAGATGATGTGAGATGATGTGAGATGATGTGAGCCAAAAGTGAAATGACTGGAAGTGACTGACTGACTTTTTTCGACAGCTTCCGAACATTTCCGAACACTTGGATTTGTCACGTTTTCTGTCACGTTTTTTCACCCATCCGACGCTTTCATGTCGCTGCCTGCCGTGCTTGAACTCTCAGGACCCCATCACCGACAAAGGCAAGGCATCTAAGAAGGGCCGCCTGACGGTGCAGAGAGCAGAGGAAACGCAAGGCAGAGAAGAGGCCCGGGCGTTGCCAAGAAAGACAAACAAGGTGAATTTATCAAATAATCAAATAGATATAATAAGATATATAAGATTTTGATACCAACAGACATATAAGATTACACAAAATCGATGTGTATATATTTTATATACCTAAAGCTTCAAAGACCCTAAAAAAAGTGGACCCAGTCAAAAAAACCTACTTTTACAGAAGAAAACCGGGTTTTTTTAAAAAAAAACATATTGTGGAATTCCTGTTGTTTTGACAAATTTGATCATGCCAGGACAACATATGTTAAATTTCACTTTCACCACATGTGGCAGCCTCAACATGTCAATTTCCAAAACCAATCACGTTGAAAACATCATCAAAGCAAATCAACACAATAACACAGACACACACAGATGCGCGTACATCCCATACTAACTAACCCCTTGCAATGTTTCTCTTCACCTCGAGTGGAGGTAGCCGCACTTGACAAAATGGGCAAAGGATGCATGGAGCGTCCTTTGCAATACCCTTTTAATTACTTGCATGGGTGAAACTCGTCGCGACACACGCGACACTCGGCCAACCATGTCCTCGTCTATCTGGACAGCATGGCATAACGGTGAAATTATGTGTGGGGCCTCGCAGAACTCAAGTTCAGACCAGATGTGATCACAAATGTGAGCTTTGGGCATAAAAGGCCACAGGGCCTGCCCTTGGCGGAAGCAGATAGTGGCCATTTCCTGGTATAGTTCCATGTGGCGTCGTCCAAGTCTCCCAACCTGATTTGCTACCAGTCTGGGCAACCACACATCATTGCTGTACAAAATGGTCATGGCTTCGTTCATTGCCCTTGCTGCTTCTAAAATCTTGACCAACATAGCATCCAACGCATAATTGCGAGTTTCCAAAAACCACACCACGAATCTCATGAGGGTTGTGGTCACATGCCCCTTGTGCCAGCTTCCGTTAGGGTACGACTTTTTGTCTGGCCATTGAATCCCTTCTTTCGTCAGTATGGTGATATAAGGAGTGGTCTTCGAATCTTCTGCCCATTGGAGGAAAACAGTTGTCAAATTTTGGAAACGAAGGTCAATGTTCGAGCCAGGCATGTATTCTGAAATAACTGCAAGCGCTGATCCCAGGAAACACTTCCCCAGACCAAGGTGGTAGGCGTGCCAAAGGTCAAATGAGAAAAACTGCGAAGGTTTGTCTGCTTCATGTGGAAGTCGAAGCAACGAAGGGACAGAGGTGAATGGGCAGTCGTCAAGTTGAAATTGCGTCGACCTCCACGCAGCTTGCAACCTGAAGTCCTCGAATGGGACATTTACCTGCCCGGCACGACACAGGTGGCATATCCCTCTTGGTCGGGCAGTGGGTGCTCGAGGCCTCTTCTCGCAGTTAGCATAACTGCGAGCAAGGCAGCCTGCCTTGACCAGCCACTGCCAGTCGCCGGAGCACTGTAAAACAACCATATGATATTTGGTTCCTGTCGAATCCACCACCCCATTGTTGATGAGGTCCAAGGCATCTTCGGTCATGAAGTCACAAATTGCTTGGAATGCTGCTTCATCTTTGTTCATCTTCGGGAGGCAGGCAGTGACAAATCGATGGGACCAACTATTCCCTCCGTAGTTGAGTTTCATCGAAACATATGGTTTTGCAGTCCTTGTGGAATTCGCCAGGTCTGTGCCCCGCCCGATGTAACTGTGATAAGCACAAAGCAAAAACGCTGACTTTTTGAAGCCTCGGCCTTCATCGCCGTGTAAAACCATTGGTGCCGTGCGCGAAAGGTCAATGTTTTTGGAATCAACAAGCTTCCAGAGGTCATGGTTCGGCCTCCAAAGCCGGTAACGCCGCCAAAACTCTTGAAGTATCGCACGTTCTCGGGGAGGGTTCGGCTGGACCAGGCCACACAAGACATGCCAGCAAGAGTATGTCACAAGAAACTTGCACCAATTCCTGAGACTGATTGCATGGAAGTCTCCAGCATATCGCATTCCAGGAGGTTTCGGAATGGTTGACAAGGGAATTGGCAGTGACAGCAAAATTTTTTTGCTGGTAACGTTCTGCAAATCTCTTTCCGAATTCTTTTCGCTACACCTGGCCAACTCGTTCAAGCCTGGAGATTTGGCCGCGCTTTCCTTCCCAATGTCCCGAACAACGCCTTTGGCTGTCCTGATAGCGCTTCGGCATGTGGAGACCTCAGCGAGCAAGGTACCAGTCTGTACCAGGGTTGTGGATTGTTGGGGTAAAGATTGGTAAGGGAGCTGCAAGCGTCCAATGCTTGTGCGCACACTCACAAACCCAGCACCAGCAGCAACTCAAAACGTGGTTGCGTTCGGCTGTTGTGCACGATTCATTTTTCACGCGCGCAAAGATCGAACATGGATAAGTAAGGGGATGCTCCTAAAAAAACAGCCCCATGCAGCGTGCTACCCCGTGGCCAGAGAAAATTTCCTGGCTAGCACGCACCATGCATTGTTTCTCAAACAAAGCTCCTGGCATGTATAGCAGAACGTCAAGTTGGTTTGAATTTAAAACTTCGGTAAACCACATAGCAGAACCAATTCCCTTTCAGATCTGTGTTGACCCTGTCACCTCCCAGACGCACGTTCCGGCAGCCGGGCTTACCTGAGAACAGCAAAAAATATGCAGAGAGAGAGAGAGAGAAACTAAGCAAGGCAGGACATTCTACACAAACACACACACACACACATATATATATACATATATATATATACATTACATATATATATATATATGTATACATATATTTATATATATATACACACATATATATATATATCCATTTATTTTTATGTGCATACAGACTGAATATCAACACACACTCACACCTTCCATGGGCATCAGATATTATATGGTAGTTATTCACAAGACCATCACAAAGACTAGATCCTACAATCATCATTGCCATAGTCAAAGCCGTCACCATCCTCATCGCCCTCTTCCTCTCCCACATCATCATCATCACCACCACCACCATCATGATCATCATCTTCATCATCAGCAACATCACCCTCATTGTCATCATCAGCAGCAGCAGCAGCATCGTCAGCATCAGCATCAACATCAGCATCATCATCATCAGCATCATCATCCTCATTCTCCTCATTCTCCTCATCATCATCATCACCACCATCATCACCACCATCATCGTCATCATCCTCGTCATCATCGTCGTCGTCGTCGTCGTCGTCGTCATCCTCGTCGTCATCCTCAATCTCATCCTCATCATCATCATCAACAACGTCATCATCATCATCATCATCATCAACATCATCATCATCATCATCAACATCAAAATCATCATCCACATCCACCACCACCACCACCACCCCACCACCATCACACCCCATCGCCGCTGCTGCTGTGCTACAAGCCGCCGCCGCCTCCCGCCGCCCAGCCGCCCGCCGCGGCCCCGCCGCGGGCCGCTGCGCTTGCCGCTTCCCGACCCCGAAGCCGCCGTGTACATCTTCCCGCCCTCCGACTCCGGCCCTTGGCCTCCGTTGCTTGCCTGCCGCCCGCTGCTGCCGCTGCCGCTTGCCTTCACCACCACCACCACCACCACCAAAACCACCACCACCACCATCACCGGGACCATCATCAGCACAACCGTCATGATCACCTTCACCATGACCGTCGCACACACACACACATCACCATCACCATCATCATCATCATCATCATTATCATCACAATCATCATCATGGTTTTGGCAATCGCTGCCACAAAAATAATTGTCAACATCATCATGCATCGCCATTATCATGAACATATTCGCCGACACCAGCAAAGTCATCATCGACACCATCATCGGGACCACCAGCACAGCAAAAAAAATCGGAATCACACATTTATTTTACAATCTCGGGAAGGGAAAAAAACGAAAATGTTTCAGTGAAGTGGATCGACAAGACACCTTTGTATTTGTCAATGAGGGCCGCTTCGAGCATTGAGGGTCCATATGGCTCAGGGCTACAATGAAAAACCATCATATTGGACCATTTGTCACGGGCAGCAACATACCCATAAATTGGGTTGCACCAGCGCCAAACAGGACTGTGTGTAACACCCACCTTATAGATAAGGGGCTCATGCTTCCTAAACAGGGATTCTATCACTTGCACAGCATGGTCAAGAACTCTTCCCGCCAATGCGTTCCATGCCGGTAGCTTGAAAGCTATGCAGCCAACTGCAGCTGCTTCCTCCTGCGCCTGTTTCAGGCTAGCTTGGGCTGTTTGATCATCCAGCGTAAAACAATTTGGGGGACCCATAGCAGGAAGACTCACATTTGTAACACCAGGTGTGTCAGCAGGAACCGGCTTTGGATTGAATGGTCCATCTAAGGTAGTCGTGCGTCTCCACGGAAAGGGCCCTTCATCCTCCTTAGTTGGCCATAAGGGTTTCAGAGGCATAACCCCCGCACACTGTTTAGGACCCAATGTGCAACATTGACACGCGCTAAGAAGCAGATCGATGGCAAGATAGTAAGTCAATGAGTTCTTCCTCTGCAGTCTCATGGAAGCCATTGCTCGACATGTAGCAGTGCAATGCGCGCCCCCTCAAACATGTTTATTAATATATATGTGTAAATTATAAATATTATATATAGATGTAAGGTTCCCTAGCCAAACTTTCACAAGGGTTGTTTTTTCTTTTCGATGGGGGCGCCCAAAAAATGGAACAACTTGTTTGTATACCAGTAACATCGGAGGATATAAAAAAAACAATTGTTCATCTTATACTTATATGTGGTTTACAGTAAAGCTGATGATAATTTTCTGTTGATTGTTGCTTTGCAGCGGTAACCATGCAACATGATAGCTGAAAATATCGCATGGCAGATTCTCAAAAGAATTCAAGCCTCGCTGGTAGAACGCACATGGAAACGAAATCTGGGATGCGTTCACATCCCCACTTGTTGAGGCCCCTGCACCTTCGGCAACGTCACCGGCTATGACACGAAGTGCCTGGCCAGCACCTGGCCCGGACATGCAGGGATGCCTGGATAATCAAGCCCTTTAAAAAGCATTGGCTTTTGAAAATCAAAAAAAATCATTGCAGGTACAATACTGCCGATTTTCCCGCACGCGCACTGCTCAATCCACATGTGCGAATGGCACGTGTCTCTGCCAAACTCGTCAAACGATCAACCTCCCAGAATGTAAACCAAGTGATTTGGGTCACAGCTACATTTTTTTCACGCTTCTTTTTTTTGCTGATCCAGTGAGGTTGAACTTAGATAAGTACTGGAATGTGCAACACGTCGCCGAACTCTGAAGATTAGACAGTGTGCCGCTGCAGGTTCCACACTGCATGTTGTATGCGCGTCTCCCGCAGCACCCCTGGCATGTACATCCATGCTCACCCAAGTAAACCTAGTTTCACTTCTTGGCCTTGCTCTTACTCTTCTTCTTAGGCGCCGAAACCGTGTCGGTCGTCTCGGAAGCAGGTCTCTTGCCAGAACCGGAGGGCTTGGCACTGGAAACTTTCGGGGCAGCCAGCGCTTTCGGGGTAGCCGGCTTTGAATCCTTCTTCTCATATTTCTTGGCATTCCTGGGACTTGAGGGGCCCCCACAGCACTCTGAATGGAAACCAAAGTAAGGGCACGAGGCAAAGGTGACAACATCTTGTTTGTGATTTTCCAGAGGGAGAGAGAGAGAGAGAGAGAGAGGCAGGCAAGAGTCCTGATTTTGTTCTCCGCTGCAATGGCCGCACTGCACCTGCCAAGAATGAGATCACATGATTGAAATAGAAACAGGATCAAATAGTTTCCATTGGTGCAAACTTTCCATCAAAACGGGCGAAGCAAATGCTCGCTATGAAACTTTGTGCTCCTAAGGTAGAACGCGATGTATCCATAAACTGGCATGGAGGACGCAAAAGTCGCCGCTTTCATGGCAGCAGTTCCTTCGGCAACAAACCTTGGGGCCAGAAGCGGGCCGAGATTTCAACATATCCCAGATGCCACCGGGTAAAGAAAACTGACTGAACGGGGGTGTCAAAAATGCCACACCGGTTCATGCACATGCAATTAATATTTGGTATGGACGTCTCTTTGCAATATAGAGGCTTTGAGTTGTAACCGTTGACCTCGCCATTTGCGCAAACCATGTTGCACTTGTCATACTCGGCATCCATGTTCTTCAGCAACTTTGTCAACTCGTCGACATGCCTGGGAGTTTTTGAGATGGCCAACGAACCTAGATAGATAGATAGATAGATAGACAGATAGATAGATAGATAGGTAGATTTGAATTTGGGTGGATGCCTTGCGATGCTGTGATAAAGAAAATGGATTTGCACTGGCTGATAGTCTCACTGAGGATCTTTGGAAGCCTGCAGATTCCAAAACAAAACATGACTATCGTAAAACCCCCATCACTGTGAAAGACTGGATGGTTTCTGACCAAGTCACGTAGTCATTGAGCTGCTTTGAGAATAGTTCTGCTTCAGGTCTCGGATCAAGGAACGAACTTTCCCAGCCTTTTGAAGCATGCTGTCCATAAACGTCTTCAGCTTTGTCTTCATCTGCAAGGCAAACAGCTGAATGATGAGAAATCATGCATGTGTATGCAAAGGGTCTAGGAAGGCCAGACTGGCACGTGCAATGTCTTGGTTTTTGTTTCACGCCCTAAAGATATATAAAAGAAGATTGCCATGTATATATATACCCCAGCCAATTGACGCAGCTAGCCTCCTCTTCCTGGGTGGGCGGCTTGGGTTTCTGCGACGGGGCTGAATCCTCAATTGCCATCCGCTCTTTCATCTTGTCCAGGTTATCGAAAGCACTCGCTGGAAAGCTTGGTGCCTGGGACGCCTGAAAGGATGGGCCGGCTGTGTGAGCACATAGAGATAGGTTGGAAGCAAAAATAATTCAACCATTCAAAGCACTCTCAATGTTTCCGATCTGTTTGTCATGTGTGACCCATGGAGACCAAACCAAATTTTCCACGCAATGTGCCTCAAGCTTGGTGGATGAAGTTCTTTTCTCCTCATGTGTCTCTTCCGCCTCCCGCGACCCCTTCTCTCGGATCATCACATGATACTCCTCAACGCCGTCATAGATGTTCTTCCTGCAAACTCGATGGTGGAAGTGGCAAAAACGCTGTAGGTGAGTAGGTGGAATCAACTTTGAATGGGGTGTTGGAAAATCAGGACTAAGGGGTTCAAAGGCTCCTGCAGTGGGAATTGTTCACATTCTTGGCCTCGCAGTCCTTCTTGGCGCCGTTGATCCGGGCCCTGAGTAGGTTGGCGAAGATCCATATATATATATATGCACATAAATATATATATATATACCATGTTTTGTGTTAGATCTATTTACTTAAACATGCCTCCTATCTATCTATCTATCTATCTATCTATCTATATATATAGCATACTGTGATCTGCATGTAAATGCATGTATATGTATGTATATGTATGTGCGTATGTAAATATATTTATTTATATATATAAAGAACATCTAACAACCTTGAATGTAAGACCTGGGCCTGTAAATGCAATCAAAATTCGCTGTCCATTTCAAATCTTCACGCATCTCCTTTTCGGAGTACCACCCACCATCAATGGTGACCTTGTTGGAAGCCTTCTTAGTCACCACGACTTCTAGGCGAGCCATGAATTTGTCCTGACAGAAGTGTGTGTGTGTGTGGGAAAAGTTTCAGCCTGTAAAAACATGCCAGAAATTAACACAGACTCCCACGCACACACACACATATATATAATGACTTCCTAAAAGCAATGTTTCCGTTAAAAAATGGGCGTCTCTTTCGGTTTCCCAACAGCTCACAAAAACCCAATCCTTGTCGAAATTGGCGTCTACCAACATCTGCGCCAGTTCGGTCTTGTCTCTTTTGTTATAGGCTTCAACAAGCCAGTCAGTCAGGGGGGTTAAGGGCCTTTCTCTTCTTTTTCAAAGTGCAAAGCCTTCTGATCTGCTGTTTGGCAGCCAACCGAAGTCGCTCCTCCGGGGTGCCAGGATATAAACACTGTCCAAACAGATGGTTTTTTTTTCGTTTTTATACACCTGCACAAACCAAGTATATTGCAAAAGAACCACGCCACCAAGTTTAACTACTGACTATATACATCTGGGGATATGAATTCCCACACTAGATGAACCAACACATCCCAAAATGAATGCCGAGGTTGGAATCACGTGACCCATATCCTTCCGAGTCTTGGGCGCAGGAGCCGCTGGCACCCGGGGGCTCTGATTGGATTCAGCCGGGGTTGGAACTGCCATCTCAACACTGGGGGTCTGAGGTGTCTCAACAGGTGTCCCTGGCGCGACGGAAGTAGGGGACGACCCGCCACAAAGATTGCCAGCGTAATTCCCACCCAAAACATCAGCGGGAGCGCCATTCCCACGAGCTGCCGTGGCAATAGGGCGAGCGTCCTGGAAGTAAAGGGGATTGGTTCAACTTGGGTTTAAACCCAGCTCACTATACAGGGGTCTATGTATATGAACAGTATCAACATTTTTTTAATGCAAATTCCAAAAGTATTCCATAAATATGTGGGTGACTTGGAAACGGTTGTTCACACAGAAACCCATTGGCCCAGCCTGATAGGTCGGGCCAGCACTTGGAAGACCTTTCTGTTGAAGCTCTTCAGATGTAGCCTCATGTCCGGGAAGTAGCTGAGATTGTTTGATTGAGATTGTTATAAAGCTATATTGTCACAAGATGTCACATATATCATTGCTATCTACACACACATATATATATTATACATACACACATACATGTTTTTTCACCCCCGCCCACCATGAGGAATTGCAGCCAGCAACAGGGATGGTGTCAGTGGTTGCTATGTCCTCGGAAGCTGCGCCACCAGGAAGAGCTGCAGTTGCAGAGGGAGCACCTCCACTTGCATCTGGATCCTCGGCCTGGGCGTGGGAAAGTGAATCGGGAAATCATGGAAATCTGTTGGGCCCAAAGTGAATGGTGGGGCATCTGATCGGGTTTGGGAAAAAATAAACCAGTGAAAACCAGCTATATATATTTGGAGGAAGCATTCTTTAGATGTCATGCTGAAATCCCCCCACAATTTCACATCCGCTCCGCTATATGAAGATCCATGAATCCACGTGGAACTTCTGAGAAAAAGGAAATCCCACACCAGCCACCTGCTAACCTATATGTTGAGATGAGGCACCGCTGACGCCACTGGTTGTTGCTTCTGAATATCCTGCCGAAAAAACGGATGTAATGAAGTATATATATATATATACTGGAAGCAAACCCTTGTCAGAAAGTCTTGATACATGTGTTGAACCGATCATGACAAGACCAAAGCATTTATTGTATGGGTCCTCAATCAGCTGTAGAAGGTTTTCCTCCTCTGCGTCAGCTTGTCGGGCTTCTGACAGCAACATATCTACACCATCATGAAGCGTGCTGCAACTCCAATGGCGGCTGCTCTTAACAGTCCCCTCAGATTTGATACGAAGGGCCATTCCCTTGACACCGGATGTACACCTCCAAACTTGACCAAGAATGCTGCAACATATTTTATAATAGAAATTGTATGCGTTTGCGGGTCTGAATCGGGTTTCCAACTGTCGGTTCGATCACCGGTTCTAAAAAAATGTATGGTTTTCAGGTCTGAATCGGGTTTCAAACTGTCGGTTCGATCACCGGCCCTGGAAAAATGTATGGTTTGCAGGTCTGAATCGGGTTTCCAACTGTCGGTTCGATCACCGGTTTTAAAAAAATGTATGGTTTTCAGGTCTGAATCGGGTTTCAAACTGTCGGCTCGATCACCGGCCCTGGAAAAATGTATGGTTTGCAGGTCTGAATCGGGTTGCAAACTGTCGGTTCGATCACCGGTTCTGAAAAAAATGTATGGTTTTCAGGTCTGAATCGGGTTTCAAACTGTCGGTTCGATCACCGGCCCTGGAAAAATGTATGGTTTTCAGGTCTGAATCGGGTTTCAGACTGTCGGTCGGTCACCGGTTCTGGAAAAATTTATGGTTTTCAGATCTGAATCGGGTTTCAAACTGTCGGTTCGATCACCGGTTCTGGAAAAATGTATGGTTTTCAACCATGGATCGGGATGCAAACTGCCGGTTCGATCACCGATCCATTTTCCCGGTTTTCGAGTCGCAAATTGTCGGTTCAATCTTGCAAGAGGACAGATCGAGCCTAAAAACTCGACGTCGCAGCCGTCCATTCCCAGAGGCGAAAAACCCATATTTTGAGTACGGGTTAGTATGGGTTAATTATGGGTTTAATATGGTTTAAATATGGGTTCCCAAAAACCGGGTTTTTTTTACTATATCAGAATATGGGTTTAGTACGGGTAAAATATGGGTTTAGTACGGCTTAGTACGGTTTAAATATGGGTTTTTGGATGCGACCCCTAAAATCGCTATCAAAAATGAGGAAAAATTGATCTTTTCCATGATTTTTTTGGTGATTTTCCAAATTTCTGACAATTTTGTTCCAAATTGGTCGGCTTTGGAAATCCAAAATCTGATATTTTCCCATTGACAAAGCTATGGTCACGCTTTAAGTTTCTGCCTCCAGGGGTGGCTGTTTCGGAAGGAATTTCTTCCATGGCGCTGGGATTTGCAGGCGCTTCCCATGTCTTAAATATGAATAGACTTCCCCCAGCTTGGCCCACTTTAGGCCGGAAATCTGCTTCTCGCTCTTCTGCATGGCTTGGAACGTTTCCATGCAGCTTGGTAACTTGGCTGGGAGCGGTTTCTGGCCAGCCGCGGAGTCAGTAAGCTCATCATACAAATCCACGAGGGACCAAGCAAATCGAACTGGATACTCCCTTAGTGGCGTCACAGGATATAGGAGAACCAGGGAAGACCATCAACATCCGTCAACCCTCCAGAATCTGCGTCTGTGTTGTTCAATTGGCCGTTGGCATGGTAGCAACCAATTTAAGGCTACACACACACATATATATACATCTGCATGTAGATACTTAGATACATGTGCATAGATTCTTCTTTATCTTGGCCTGTATCGAAATGAGGAGTGCCCCAAACCTTGGAAGATAAGCTCATTTTTTTGTAGCTTGGGGCACTATCTTCTTTGAGATATTCCCATCTTTCATTCTGTGTATTCCTAGAGAAGGAAAGATTTGTAAATGGGTTGCAATCCAAGCCCAGTACAAACAAAGATATGTATATGCACATGTGTTCATAAAAGCCGTACAAACACACTATGTTGTCGAGGATCTCGGTTTTTTTCAAGAACTTTGTGCCCTTGTAGCACTTTGCTCCCTTGGAGTTGACATATTGCTCACAAGTCTTTGGCATGGGACGTCCCTCCTCAAGACTTTTACGTTTCCAGTCCTTCAAAGGGCCTTTGTCAAGAAGTGAGATCCATGGGCTATTTCCATAGCCCCAGTGGGGCTTCGGGGTGTAGCCGCCATAGTGCCACATTTTCCAAGACACCCTCGTCACCTAAGCTGGCAACACATACGACTAAACACCATAGACTACAGAATGGGAAGGCATTCCATAAACATTGGCATATATATATATATGTGTGTATACATACTTAGGCATGGACTGCCGTATTGCCACTCGCTTCAAACATTCGCAGGAGAAGGTCCACAAAAGGTGGGAAATAGTCATAGCAGGAGCCATTCGGCTGTTCCAGGAACCACGTCCCACCAAGCGCTGTTGTGACCATGGCCAAGTAAGTTGTCCTGGGACGCGCAGCAAAAATTATCAAGAATACATGGTCGAGTCATTAAAGAATTTCCCCTTGAATGGTGGTTTCAACATTAGTGGGTGTTCCAAACTCTTTTTCGTGACCCTGTATTTTTTGCGCTAACAATTATCCCGCTGACCCGCAGAGAAGCTGCCACCAAGGAAAAATTGCAAAAAGGAACCCCCGAGGGAGGGGTTCCTTTTTTCTAGTTTTAGCTCATTTGGCAATGGCACACCAACCGGAAAATTACAATGTTGTGATATCTATCTATCTATTTAGCTATCTAACCTATCTCTCTATCCATCTATTTCTCTCTCTCTCTCTTTATCTCTATCTATCTCTTTCTATCTCTGTCAATCTATGTCTATCTCTGTCTATCTCTTACTATCTGTGTCTGTCTATCTATCTCTGTCTATTTCTGTCTATCTCTATCTTTCTATTTATCCATCTATCGTTTTGTTTATCTATCTTTCTTTCTGTCTTTCTGTCTATCTGTATAAATATATTATATGTTATATACTTATATATATATTTCTATATCTATACACCTATTTCTGTTTTTTTAATGTCGGCATTTACAGTTATATCTACACACATATATATAGATATGTTTATATATCTATATATATATATATTTATTTATTTAAATAAGGGTATACCTGGTTCCCCGGACAAAGGCTTAAACACATTAATCAATAAACAGCCAGTTATGATCAAGACTCCGTGTCCCCATGCAATTGGCAGAAGATACTGAACGATAGTCTTCCACACCAATGCTGGAACATGCGGAGCGACCACTTGTCCCGGCATTTACAGGTGTCCACGACGAGCACTTCAATGCCAGCGTCGCCAAGAACTTGCCGAGGCGAGCTTTCAGGAGGGCCACCAAGCAGAGACTCAGTGACCCACGAAGGGCAGTTTCAGGGATGATTTAAAGGCCCAAGGAAATGGGAAGTTCGGCCATAACACCTTTCAGAATATAGACAGGCTTGTGGACACATTCTTCAGTGGATTTACGCACCTGAATCAACTACACATGTGGGACACCAACCCCTTCATTTGATGTCCCGACCATGGCTTTGGCTATATGTCACGGATATCTCTTGTCTCAAGCTCACACATTGAAGAACCCTGCCTGCTTTTGAACTTATTCAGTGACCCAGGGGAAAAAATTAAAGTTTAGGTGTTGGCCTAAGTAAGTGAAAAATGAAGCACCCTTGGACTTCAATTCCAGGAGGCATGTATGAAAAGCCATGCAAGGCATTACACTTTCAACTTAACAGCCCCTATATGTACCCTCAATCATACCAACCCGTTTTTTGTCCATGAACCACTTCCTAAATTCAAAGCTCAATCTCAACTAGGGAGCCAGAACCCAGATGGCGAATTGATGTCCATAGCATTGGACCGATAGGTCCGGTTCTTACGAGACGCAGGGTATAGAAGGTCCATTTTGCCAGATTTCATCCCTGTGGACCTCATGCACCGCGTCAGGTTTGCCCGTCCTGCAAAGAATTCCAACATCTCGAATTCGAACTCCTGCAGTCAGAGGCGTATAAGGGCCAGGAAAGGGCACAGGAAAGAGTAAAGGGCAACGGATCCAACACAATGGATTGGCATATGCTGCTCAAACATATGTTTTTGTGAGGGAAACTCGCATCAAATATGTGTATATATATATATATATACAGATAGACAGACAGACAGACAGACAGACAGACAGATAGATAAATAGATAGATAGCTAGCTAGCTAGATAGATAGAGAGATAGATAGATCGATAGATATATAGATAGATAGATAGATAGATAGATAGATACATAGATAGACAGATAGATAGATAGATAGATAGGTAGATAGATAGATAGATATAGGTAGATATAGGTAGATAGGTAGATAGATAGATAGATAGATAGATAGATCGATCAATAGATCGATAGATCGATAGATCGATAGATAGATAGATAGGTAGATACATAGACAGATAGATAGATAGATTGGACCTTTTGCTAAAGGGGAGTGTGTGTTTCCCATTCCGGCCCTTTCCTGTTACCTTTCCCACAATAGGTTGGGCCCCGAGAGCTTTGGCCCTTCGAATGTATTTTTCCCTTGAAAGGGGTCCTCGGGGTGAAAGGCAGGACACCTTTTACCCGGAGGATCCCTTTCAAAGGAAATTGTGTTATTAGCTGAACTGTTTCCATGCCCCGGAAACGCAGTGCAAAACGGATTGTGTACTCTCCTCGTCGATGTCCAATGATGGCGTCCAAATAATCATCAAAATGATGAGGGCCAGAATCTCAGCCACAAGTTCTGTTAAAACCGTCATGAAATATATATTGATATATAAATATATAAGGATTTGCGCTAAGATAGGTTGAAGGGCTGCATTGCAGGATCACCCCAACATTTTTTTCATGGATTCAAAGTTCGCTTTGGGCCTTTCAACAGTCTCGGCTTGGTGGATACCTGTTGACACGTGCGCCATAGATTCTAGCACTGGAATGAAAAGGATCTAAGCCACTGGCGGGTGGGCATCCCAAATGGTATAGCTGGAAGAAAATGGCATCCAACTGTTCGGATTCCATGGCTCAGCACCCAGTTTCCCTAAGCCTTGACTGGCCAAAAGTCACTGCAGTTTTTTGCACATGCAAAAATGAAGCTGAGCGGCTCATGCTGAAAGAGATTTCAGATTCCTCTGTACAAGATTGTGAAATTCAAACCTGTTTGTGAAAACCTTTGAAAGAATCACCCCATGGCCACATAACAGAATACCCATAAAACTTAGCCAGAAGCACCACCCTTTTTCTTCTGGAACTTGGACCGGACCCTCCACACGTTGCCACGGAGGCTTGGCATCCCAGAGGATGATCAAAGGCCTGCCAGATCGGCGGAGCTGGGAGAGTCAGCATTTGATTACAAACATTTGTGGGGTTGCTTATCAAAGCAGTCATCTTGAAAGCATAAAGGTGGAATTAGCCTGGTTCTTTGTGTTCACCATATCTGCCATATAAATATGATAAACTAGAGAGAGAGAGAGAACAGGAGAATATATATATATATATATATATAAACATATATATTTATATATATATAAACACATTTATATATATATAGAGTTTCTATGTTGGTCGTGCCTCAAGATTCACAAATCGGGAGTGCATGGGAACAATCTGTTGTGAAAGTCCCCAGGCATGTGCGTGGCATTCAGCATCCCAAAGTCTGAGTGGCAAGCTCCCTAAAGCTTCCTTTTGCCCTCATGCGCAGCTGTTGCGGCGGATGAGACCCCCTACTTTGAAAATGGCATGAGTTGCCACGGACACCACCGTATGTACTCCTGCTTGCAGGACCCCCCGCCAGTTTCTACAAAACAGGTCTGCTGTTTACAGGCAGGTGAAAACAAAAGCTGCCAGTAAGGGTTTTTGGTGCATGCGTATAGCTTCAAATTCCTTGTCTCAGGCTTTGGAAACAATTGCTCATGCAGGGTTTCTTGTAAGCAAGCATTGAGTACAACCCGAAAACGCAAAGCTTTGAACATAAATATTTGGTATGTACGGCGAAAGTTTTCAAAAACAGCACTGTCCGGCTGACCTTATGCCGGGCTTGCTGTCACGATCCAGCCATCATGGATGTAAAAGTTGGATGGTCAGTCAACATCAGCAGCCAACTGGGACAACGCAATGCCACCATTGTACTTCAATTTCATGATTTCTTGGCCATCGCCCTCGTAGCCGGGCAAGTTGGCTTCCAAGCCAAGTGCCTTAGCAAACCAGGTGGAAGAGTTAGACAATGTCACTTTTCTTGATACGACAAAAAAACATCCAAAAACAAAAGTCTATAGCTGTGCACCTGCACATGAATGTAAAACATCTAGATCCACCAGTTTCAACTGTTGAAACGCAACCTGTTTTTGAATTTTGGTGAGACAGAGAATGGGCCTCATCAAAGCCAGGTTTTCCCAATTTAGTCTCATGCGAGAGTCTTGGTGAAAGCTGTTCTGGGGCGGTGCAAAATGGAAAACTGAAATCCTGAAAATGCTGAAGTGTGCAACCAACACCCAAGAGAAGAGATAGTGTTACACACAAACAAGTTGCTGCCAGCTCAGCGCATTTGGTTGCCACAGCAACACGGTATGGTGCGCAAGCATGCGAAGAATTGAAGGAGAAATGGTGCATATCCTTGCTCAACTCGAAGACATGCACACCAGCTGTCGTACGTGCCCAGTAGATATTCAGGCGCGACAAAGACAGGTTACTGACCTTACTGCGCACAACTGCTTTGAATGCAGCGTTGGTCACAGAGTCCCAATCATCGCCAATCTCAGTGGCAAAGCCAATGAGTGTGTCAATCTGTTCCTGGGAGCGGAGACTTTCATCCATGACTGCTTCTCCTCCTCGGTTTGGTCGTGCTGCGCTTGCCTTTGCCCTACCTTTAGCTTTCGCTGCGGCCTTAGCCTTAGGCCTGGGAGAGTCAGCAGCTGCAACTGGAACCTTGTTGTCTTTCTTCTTGCTTACCTTACAAACCTTTGAAGTTGCGTGTGCTTTTGCCTTTGCCTTGCTGGCATGACGCTCGGCCTGCGCAGGCTGCATGTCTGTTTCACCCTGATGTTGATTTTTCTTTGTTTTCTTGACCTTGCTGGCTGCTGCTGCTTCGGAGTGGCCAGTGGGAACGCTCTCCTTCATGGTGCGGGGTTTCTTTTTGTTTTGGGGGTGGTTTTCAACCCACCAATCAGCAAGTTCTTGGTTTCTTTTTCTCAAGATCTTGATGTTACGCTTGGAAGGGGACAGGGTGCTGTCAACATCAGGGATGACTTCCTTCATGCCTTTTTTGCCACGCTTTCCCTTCTTACCCTTTCTGCTCTTCTTTCCTTTGTTCGCCTTGCTGCCCTTTGCTGAATTTTCTTTGTTGGTACGAACTTTCTGGCGTCTAGCCTCTTTGTTGGCGGATTTGAGTGACAGTTGGGCATTACGTGTCACCACATCAGAATCTCCGGCACCACTCTCGCAAGCACCAGGATCGACCTGGAAACGGGCAACTTGCCATGCATGCACGGAATGGTTGAAAACTGCCCCAAACTGGACAACAACTGATTGCTTGACCAGCCAGACAAACAGCTTCTATGACACCCCATAAGCTTAAACATGCCTGTAACCAACAGCCACCAGACAAGAACCTCAACGAGAGGTCACCGGCTGGCCTGATCCTGTTTCAGGCCATGCTCCTCATGGTGCTCTGTGGCCAATCCAGTCAACTCCTCAGCTTCCTTGCCGGTCTCAGTGGCCTCGAAGCTGGACGGGACGGCAGGGCCATGAGGAGGGGAAACACCTTGATACTTCTTTCTCAGAACTGAGGTTGGTAGAGACGGGGATGTTGAAGCAATTGGAGATGGAGCTACTTCTTGGGCCATGATGTCAATGGCCTGTGTCTCGACATTGTCAACGGTTTCCGGAGCCGTAGGTTTGTGCTTCTTACCTGTTCAGCATTCCGGTAGATATCCAACACCAGATAACACCAGAAATTTGAAAAACGACATTCAGTTCACACATCAGGTTCAGTGAGATAAGATATCAACCTAACGTACAGCACACATTGAATCCAATCCATTGAGACATCAACAAAAAATACTTTGCCTCGTAGCTCACGTGCGTGTTCGGGTTTCATGTCCTGCTTCTTGAGCTCAGAAATTTGCGTGGCCAAATGCTTCTTGCGTTCCCGAATCCTCAGAGAGGTTGGGGCGTATAAATGTCTATCAATGCAAAGCACCATATAGCACTAATATATATATATATACAATTGCGAAATTTCGGATATTATATATATATGTGTGTGTGTGAATACATGTTTTTATATCTCTATATATATATATACTTCTTGCTTATGCTGAGATCAGTCAGTCGAGCTATTTTTTGAAACACATCATCGACATTTGAGTTTTGGCAATGAGCACGCGCAGCTGTTCATAAGGGTCGTGCTCTTCTAAACGCTTCTTCGCTTCAGCCAATGTGGTTGCCATGTCTTGGCCTGACTGGACAATAGATGACAGGAATCAAGAAGATAATGGCCAGGCCCCATAACGCAAGCTTTTTGGATTGCATATAACCTCTTCTGACTTAAATCGCCATCTTGCAACCATGGTGATTACGTTGCAGTTTGCGTATATATATATATTTATTTATTTATATTTATATTTACATGTATGTAAGTATGTATGCATGTAAGTATGTAAGTATGTAAGTATGTAAGTATGTAAGTATGTAAGTATGTAAGTATGTAAGTATGTATGTAAGTATGTATGTATGTAAGTATGTATGTATGTATGTATGTATGTATGTATGTATGTATATATGGATGGATGGATGGATGGATGGATGGATGGATGGATGGATGGATGGATGGATGGATGGATGTATATATATATATGTATGTGTATGTGTATATATATATATGTATATGTGGGTGTGTGTATTGAAGCACTTGATCCCCACCTCTTGCTTCAGCCTTCTGGACAAGGTCTAGGGCTCTGGGAGCTGCCGACGAGCTTGGCTCAGGACTTTCGACGGGCGGGCTGGGCAAGGCAGGCACAGCAGCCCCAACAGGTTGAACATGTGGTTTGCTCTCAGATGGGGCATCGGGAATGTCCTTCCCAACAATTTCCTTGTCACCATCAAAATCGGAACCATTATCCGACGACTCATTTTCGGAAGAATCATAGGCGTCCTCATCGCCCATGGTTTGCGTGGAAACCTGCATCAGGGGACAATCAATAACGATCAAAAACAAGGTCACCCACCAACAGATTTTCAAGATAATACAGAAACAAAATCAATAGAAAACGTCCCATACAAGTAAACATTCCAAACTCCCAAACACACACCGCACCGGTGTACGACGTTCCTCAACTCGCTGTCTTGCTTCCCGAACTGCATCCTGCAAAGAAGCTGGGTTGATTCTTTTGTACCGTTTTGAAAACATGTCACAGGGTCGCAGTCCAAGATGGGTATGAATAGATAGGGATAGAGGGCAGATATCAAAACAGAGCAATATAGATTATGACGATATATGAAAACATATCTGTATACAACTTTGTAGATGCAGGTCATTAGACAGGTATACATAGATACGCGGGCACATAGGGACGCACATAGAGAATACAAATAATATATAGACAAGTAGGTGTAGGTATGTAGAGGTATCTGGGTAGAGGCAGATACAGATGGATAGACGGATAGAATGGATCAATATCGGGATAGTAAATACCTATCTGAGACCTACGTGCGGATAGATTTAAACAACCAAACATTCATAGATCAAACCGATTTTAAACAGACACACACACACATACCACACACACACATATATATATCTAGAGAGAGAGAGAGAGAGAGAGGGAGAGAGAGAGAGAGAGAGAGAGAGACCGATATAGATGGATGGGTGCTTCAATTGTTGCACAAACTCAATTGGAGCCACCCCTTCACGAAAACAAGTCGCACGTCCTCCAAGAAAGGATTCAGAATAAGGCAAAGCTCTTGGAAACGGTATACCTTGGAGAGCCACATGGAGACTTTCATGCTGAGTAACGGCAATATATTTGTAAACCAACATCCAATCATTGATTGAAAATGGACAAATGAAATTGGATGAGTGTGTTTGTTTGTTTTGCTGCCCCCGTGCCAGGCATGCATATATTCTTGCTTCATATTCACATGCGCGCCATGGATTGCAAAACTTTCTTTGAAACCTCACCAGCGACAAAAGACCATCACTTTAGATGAGTTACAGTGCTCACCTTTGCCCTCCTCACCTTCATTTTTACGAAGGAAACGATCTTGCGGACAAACCATGCATCAGTGTGGACAGTGGAGTCATCCGTCACAACGCTGCAGTTCTGGTAGAGCGTGGCCAACTCCGAACGTAGCGCTTTGACACCAGAGGATGGGTGCCCTTCTGCGATGGCAACTCTGCCAAGGATAACCTTCATGATATCGTAGGCATGATCTTTTTCAACTCTGCGAATGGATTCGGGGTTCTCGTCTGGGTCAAACAAGGGCCCTTTGGTTTCCCTCAAGTGGGTACGTACTGACTCCAACTGTTCCAACTCCGATGCTAAACCTGCCAGATCAACCTTAGGTTTCCCTGACTCTGGCTCCGGCTCCTCTACAACTTCAACTGGTGGATCTTGCTCTGGGCCCGCCATGGCCGTGGCCAAAACCGGGGGCGCAAAAAGATGGTTTGATCTCACAAATCGGGCTCCATAAAAAGAAAATGAACAAATGAGCGCTTCGTGTTTCTGTCGCCCACTCGACCCTAAAAGAATGAACATCTTGAATCCACATGCATGTGCGGCTTCAGTTTTGGTGCTATTCAACTTCAAAGCTGCCCCAAAAGAAGGGTTAACCACTTACTGTATACAGATTGAACTACTCCCATGACCGCGCTCTGGAAGGACCGCGCCTTCTTCATCGGTCTTCTGCTTTCACCATGGCTATGGCCAAAGGGCCACGGGATCCGACAGCGCAGTTTCGCAGACCAAAACGTACCAAGTGTTGCAACTTGAGGGTGCCAAAAAATCTTTTAAACCCTATATGGTGGCAATTTAAATTTTGGAGTTACATCCTTTATCATCCTGTGCCTTACAGCTATAGTCCCTTGATTTGGCATTTCAAAACGTCTATCTTGTTGATTTTTTGCAGATCATAATTTCTATCTTTGCTTGGTTTGCATATCCATACCTTGAATTTCCGGTTTCTCCCACCATCATTGGTTCCTTCCTGATGAGCCTTGCCAGCAAGGCCGGCTGGGTGGAAGGAATGAACCTGAGAGGTAGCGATAGGGATATATTCCATGCAACTATCAATATATCGGGAGGTGAATAGTATAACAGAATGGATCATAAGGTATCACATGGTATCATCATATCCAATTTTAAGGTCTTTTCCAAAAACCCAGTTTTTTTGATAAAAACCATGTTTTTTTTCCCCAAATTAAAAAAAACCGGGTTTTTGGAAAAAGACCTACAAATTTCTGGGTTCATGTTGCGCTAGGTAATATAATATAATATAATATAATATGATATAATATAATATAATATAATATAATATAATATATTTAAGATATTGCCAGGTTTCATTCAGCATCACCTGATTTTTTGCTGAGCATTTGGGTTTTTGGCAGCTCCTTGCCAGGACCGGTACAAACCCCGGCAAGATGAGAACGGCATTGCGGGTGGTGAAGGATTCTTGCACTACAGCGCTGATGGCAAGTTCGTCACAGTCGCCAGTGGTCAAGGCGATCCTTCCAAGGCCCGCGGCAGAACCGGTTGAGTTTTACTGACATACTATGTGCAATCTTATCTAATTATCTATCTATCTGTCTGTTTGTTTGTCTATCTAATCTAAATGGAAACATCATGAAATATATATATATTATTTGTACATACATATACACATATCATTATATATATATATATCTCTCTCTCTCTCTCCCTCTCTCTCTCTCTCTCCCCCATCACTTTTGCACAGGTTTAGCTACAATGTTCGTGCTGCATTGATTGGGTCGGCACGAAGCCTTGAGATGCCCCAGCAAGAAATATCCCAGAAAGAAATGGCATTCATCATGTGCCCATGAAATTTAATGTGGAATTCCTGTAGCATCGTGTTCCTGAGGCAGTTGTTTCTTTCTTAGTTGATACCCCCAATGCTACTTGCTATAGGATAGTGAGCACCTTGACTATCAAATGATGGGAAGACCGGACCTATGAAATCCATCGGTACGTTGCGGGGTGCCCAGCAGTCCAATGGGATAACCCTTTCGGCTATACCGGAACCATCTGAATCACCCGAAGCTTGAAATTTTAAATCGGGTGAAATCGGAATCGGACGATCTCGAAAGTGCCAGGACCTTTTGGTCGAAGTTTTCCGCGATGGCGTTCTGCTGAAGGATTGGACATTGCAGGAGATACGGGCGCGAGCTGACATTGCAAACGGCCCTTTCTCCCAGGGCTAGCCCGCTCCTGGATTGAGCAGTGGTCAAAATCCGGTCCCTTATTGTGGCTTAGGGGCTCGTTTGAGAACTTTTCGGAGAAGTATCGACAAGTACTACTGGTAGTAATTTCTGCACATTGTGCTTTGTTGACAAGTGAAGTCTGTATTTATCAACCAGAATCGCTTGTTCGCTGGGTTTTGCAGACGCTGCACCATTGGTTTCACTGGATAATTGCCAGCTACACAGCCGGAAACCGGCTCTGTGGCTAAGTCATGTGAATGGCTCAGATAGTGGAGGCCACATGGCGCTCCTGTTGGATCAAAGAAAGCTGCATGGGTTGAGAGATGTTGAGAGACTGACTATGAGAAACTTCAAACATTTTCCTTCGCCTATGCTCTTGTGGGGTAAATCTGCAGTGGTGGCTGTTGGATGCCATTGCAGATCGTTGTGGTATGTATCAAGGGTCCACAGATTGGACGTTCGTTTAGAGTCTAGAGATTTCTGTGTCGTTGGGCTTTGGAAGTAGATGGAAGTAGATGGAAGTAGATGGAAGGTAAATTGAGAGGATTTGGCAGCTGAAATGCACGGCCTCGGTAGCATTTTTGGCTCCAGCAGAAGGGCTCGAGACCTTTCACGGCCCCTGAGCTTGATAAATCTTTACAATCTTTTTCTGAATTGGAACAGTGCCACTCGCATATGCGTCAGACGCGTTTATGTCTTATGATTGATTCATGAAGCGGTGGGCTTGAAGAATTCCAGAAGTTTTGGCGGTTGCAACCATGGAAACCACGGGTTTTGAAACGCTTTGAACTCTAGCTCTTGTCAAGTGGCCGTGAGCCATCGCACGCTTGCTGAGGAAATATGACGACCCGCGTGGTACTTAGAGGATCTTCCAGGCATTGTGACTGCAATGGGTAGAGCCCGAACTCACGTCAAGGCTTGGAGGTTGGCTCCCCCAAGAAGCAAGAGAAGGATCTCAAGGAGCACAAGGCCTTGAGCTTTGGCTTGAGCTTGATGAGGTGATGATGATAATTACTCTGCCAAGCTTTGCTAAGCTTTCCTAAGGCTTAGTGATCAAGTCACTAGTCGACAACAAAATGCATGTGCGAAAGCCGAAAGGCATCGCAAAGTCAGCACATTTTCAACTGTCCAGTCCGCAAGATTCTGGTTTGCTGAAGGTGCACGTCAAACATAACCATCACCATCATCACCACCATCATCATCGGTCCGACCCTGCCCACTTCAAATTGGGCCAGAAGCACTCAACGCCTCCGGTGTCTGCTGGCGCCTGAGATAGCTGTGTGGTGCATGGGAATGCATGGGAATGCATGGGAATGCATGGGAATGCATGGGAATGCATGGGAATGCCTGGGGCTGCTTGCACTGCAGGATCCCACGCGGGTGTTCTACGAGTCCCTGTTGGACGAGAAGCCAGATAGTCCTATCGCTATCAAGTGCGCATGCAAGATCTCAAGAGATTCTCAAGAGATTCTCAAGAGCGCCAAGTGTCAGGGGCAAAGTGTCAGACTTTGGTCAGCGGGTCGCTTTGTTTTGCTTTTCACCAAGTGCCTGAGAGATTGCTTGGCAGGTACTGTGTTGAGCATGGCACCCTCACGCCCGAGCTTCACAAGCCTACCGTGAAGAAGTATGTCAGCCTGTTGAAGAAGGCATGGGCTGACAAGATTTTGTGTACTTCCAACGGGGATATGTCTTGGATGGGAGCTTCAAGTCAAATGTCGTCCACAGGAGGGACACTCAGGGTGACGTGGGCATTGTGTCTCCTTCAAACTCATTGTCAAATTGCATTCTCATTACCATTGCGGTGATCAGAACGTTTGCCATGTCAGGGCGTGATCTCGACTGGGAAGAAGATGCCTGTGCCAAAGGCTCGCTGATGCTGTTGCAAGCGACATGTACAAAGAGATCCGTGTCTTGGCCATTTTTTGTTCCGTACCGTCTTGGGGTTGCTTCTTTGACCATCTTTGACCAGTTGTTAATGTTTTTCAAAAGCGCCCTTCGAAGACTTTACAAGAAAGTAACATATAGTAACATCCCTGCGTCCGCGCAGCTGAACTCAGCCGTAGGGCACTTAGCAGAAACCATCAGCCGTTTTCCCTTCTGAGGTTTGAATCGGCACAGAAGCCAAACCCAGGCGTTGGCTGATGAGAGTCCATGAGCACGAGTTGCAGCTTGCATCTGCATCGACAAAACTCATTTAGATATATACATATACATATATAATTATATATATATACTAGATCGGATATGATCGGATCAATATATGATAATATATGTAGCACTGTCCGTCAATCGTGGATAGGCTGTCCATGACAAGTCCATGACATCAACTGGTTCAACTCATTTCAACTCCCCAAAACAAATGCAAACCGTGCCCCTGACTTCGCAGTTCTACCTTGACAGTTTCCGGGATTGGTCAGCTGGGGCATTTGCTCCCAGTACAGAGTGGCCAAGTCCATTGTACAAAGTCCGTCCTGGTTTGATCCGGTTTGTATGTTTAGCATTTTGTATCACAATTGCTCATCGAGAAGAAATCATCGTGCATCAGATGGGAGTTACAGTGACGCACAGCAGCGCCCAGAGAGTTAACTCACAGAGGAATTCACATGGCCAGGATAACTCAGTAGAAATACAGAAATAATTCAAGCTCAGGAAATGTATTAGACAGGGATAAAGAGTGATAAACAGAGTGTAGTTGAAGTCAGCCATGGAACATTCAACTCCCAACTGAGAAGCCTTAAGGGATGCGGCACGGCATGGCTGGCCGTGCTGCACGAAGATGAGAGCGGCTGCAGGTTTTGGCACTCCAAGCTGTCCAATACATCCGATATCGGTCCGATATCATCCGATACACAGGTAACCTGTACAGGAAGGAGTCGGCCTGAGTGGAGGGAACCGAAGAGAAAAGAAACCGGAGCGAACCGCCCAGAAGTCCCTGGAGCTATACAGAGTACAATGCATTGTGAAGCACCACTACATGTATGCATTATTTGGATTTACTTGGCATATATGATGATATATGATGATAGATCATGTTTGAATCACTTTGATTTTTCAAATTTGACCAATGAGTAGGTACCAAGAATTACCAATAGGTCACAGCATGTCACTTCAATGTGCCACCCGGAGCTGCTTTGCTTCATCGAGCACGCCTCAAGCTTTGTGCCAATCTACAATACACATAACGCGTATTGCACCTACGTCTAGACAGGGAGGACAACAAAATTCCGCAAAGACGTTCCCCATCGTTCCCCAGTCCAAGTCCTATTTGGAACGCTTTTATGGAATTGGGGTTCCCTTGCCCATGTCATCCAAAACAGGGTGCAGCCCATGGATGTCAACCCAACTCTAGTGCATTTGCATGTGCCAGACCATGGAAGTATGTGGAAGCACAAAACGCACAGCATTGTTTGGTCTTATGAGATTTATGAGCCAACAAGATGCATCCAATGAGCAGGCGAGCCATGAAGCCTTGGTATGAGCGCGTCTAATTTGGTTTGGATCCTCATCCAAAAAACGATTACTTCAGGACATGTCTTCCAAATCTGCTCTTTCACGATCGACATGAGACTAATTGGAGGAAATTGATGGAGCTTGCCAGGTGACAGCTTCAGATGGAGCTGGTCGTGACAGTGGGACTTCAATGAGAAAGAAACGACCAGGTGCAACTGGTGCAACACAAGAATGCGCACAGTCCGGGCCCGACAACTCCGTGTAGGTGTTGCTTCCTCGCAGTAGAGATCTGAGCGAAATTTTGACTTAAGATGCTTGAAGATACTTAAGCCATCTTAAGCCAGAAGTAGAACAGGTTTGACAGTGCTTTGGACAATCTTGTAATTTTCGTTCATTGGAGGCAGCGACATCCAGGCAGAGCCAAAGGCCTGGCAGATTGGACATATCCTCTAGACCACATCTCGCCACCGAGTTGTGCTATATTGTTCCATGTCCATGTGGTGCTAATATGTGCTAATTGCATCTAATTGCTCGATTTGGCGCTGTGTAAGCCGAGAGCGGAGCTGCACAGGCGGCCCAGGCGGCCCAGGATGGCAATGCCCTTGCAGCTGCCATGATCCGCGCTGCCGCTTGGCATGTGGGGCATGGGCGAACTGCCCAGGTTCTTAACGTTTCTCAAAGAAATGGGCTACAGGCGGTTTTGGGCGGCCTAGATGGCCTAGATGGCCTATTTACATCTATTTGCTTCGGAAAGCTTTGGACAAAGCATGGTATGATGGGTTCATATGGGTGCATATTGTCATGTGACAATACCTTGGTTGATCTTGGTTGATCTTGGTTGATCTTGGTTGGACTGCTGTCATTCCAACTTGCTTTTCCGCTTGGGAACTGGGATGGACTGGAATGGAGTGGATGTCGTAAGATCTTGAGAAAGCAGCTTCGTGACTGGGAGGACCAGACCTACAATCGCAGCATCATTCGAATCTCGCGCCTTGGCGAAACAGCGCGAAAGCATCCAATGAGAACACCGATGTCCATCCAATGTCCATCCAATGTCCATCCGGCCATCCGTCCATCCGACCATCCGTAAGCCATCTGAAGCCATGTCCGATGTCCGCGAGGCAGCAGGTCACCGAGCTGTCACGGAAGGTGAGCCGGCTTCGAACGCTTCAATCGCTCAAAGAAAGCGTGGCCGAAAGTGCCGAAAGCGATGCAGAAAAGCCAAGTCAAAGACGAAAAGCATCGAAAGAGATCCAAAAAAAACAATGAAAACAACGATTTTTTAATTGGGAGAAATGTCTTGAGAACTTCTGCTTTTTCTAAAGGTCAGGATAGACACTTCCTTGCTTGACCGAACTGCGACCAATGACAAGGAACATGATATCAATCGGCTTCTGCTGAATCAGCAGCCAGGCATACATACATACATACATACATACATCCATACATCCATCCATCCATCCATCCACCCATCCATACATACACAGACATACAGACATACAGACATACAGACATACAGACATACAGACATACAGACATACAGACAGACAGACAGACAGACATACATACATACATACACACACACATACATACATACATACATACATACATACATACATACATACATACATACATACATACATACATACATACATACATACATACATACATACATACATACATACATACACACATACATATATACATATGCATGTGCATATATATATATATTATACATATATTACATAGAACCATATATAGCCAGTATCAGTATCAGTTTGTCGCCTGCTGTGGGTCATGAATGGCAATCCTGTCCCTGATCGCGGCTACAGGTTTTGAAATCTACTGGACCCATGAGTCTTATGGCGAAAGCGCCAAGTTGGCAACTGAATCCCCATGACAAACTGAAAAGCGGATGCATCGTAAGTTGTTGCAGGGTGTTCCGACAGGTTGGAGAAATCAGCAACGAGCTTATGACTTGCCCTGCTTATGACTAAGCACAGTTCAAATGTCATTGTAGTTGGACGTGAGTTCCAAAAAGCAGAGTCGTAGTACCACATCAAGACGCAACCATGGCATATGCGGCATGTTTCCTCAGAAAAGGCTACGACATAATACTACGACAACTAAGTGACTACGTCACGTCCCAACAGTTGCCATAGCTGCCATAGCTGCCATAGCTGCCATAGCTGCCATAGCTGCCATAGCTGCCATAGCTCCATCGCTGCATCTTGCGCCATCTCCAGAGGTCGCAATGCGTCTCTTGGCAGTGATGAGATTTTCAATCAGTGATGGTCATCATTGATTTTTCATACGGCAGTCTCTGTTTCGCGTTTTTCGCGTGGTTTTGTCATGTTTTGTATAAATCTATTTTGTCTTTGATGGCTTTGTGACCCGAATGTGCCCCGCAGCTGCCTTGCACCGCAGGATGCAGTTTCTCAGCCACGTCTTCTTGGCCAATGTGGCACTCTGGGACAGGAATACCATCGGGCATAGTCCAGTGTCGGCCCAGCCCATGCCCGACAAGGCAAGCTCAGCGCAAGCCGACTAATCCAGTCAGTCATACATCACGATGAAATTGCACACACAGACACACAATACATCACTTATACTGTAATACTATAATACTATATAAACATAATATGACATATATAGAATGATATATATATATATACATACATATGCACTTATATATGTTATATATAATACTATCTCTCTCTCTATATGTAATACAGAGTAATATATGTTCAGAATCTATTTCAAGAACGACTTGAACGGAAAACGGATGGCTTTCGAAATTGGTCCAAGTCTCCAGGCTTCCAAGCCGATGCGATCAAGTCCATCTCAGTTGCAGCAGATCTGGGACACACAAACGAGCCTTGCCGATCCCCTTTTTGAAGACGAGGATAGCAATGATTTGGAATGATTTTACTATGATTACCATGATTTTACCATGTGAAATTAATTGAAATCAGAAATCTGTTGCCCTTCTGTTCCTTATAGGTTTGTCCTGTAGAGCAAAAAACAGTTGGAGTTGTATTGGGGTTGGGTATGTTGGGTTTTTGGTTGCAGAGCCTTACCTAAAGGAAAGGGCCATGGCAAATCCATGATGGACGTTGTGATTTCGTGTTGCCGACTGAGAGCTTTTCCAGCCATGTGAAACCAGAAACAGTGAGGCCTTTTGGGAGTACACCGGTGTATCAACACTTTGGTGAATCACACTGCGCCATTTATCCGATTAGCACTGCGTTGCCCCTGCATGCCCCCGCATTGCCTTGCATGGCCATGGCCCCGTGTTTTTCAAGGCTTGCATCCTTCTCTGTCTCGCAACTTGACGCCTTCTCCGCGCTTTACTGGGGTGACTGCCCCTACCTATCCAGAGCCATTCGGCTACTTGGCTGACTGGCTGATGTACCATGTGTATACAATGGGTTGCATCATGTGTTTCTCCATGCGGTGCTTCGCGGCTTGGAATTCATTTCTGCCAGGTGCGGCCGGCACCGCATCTTGGCTGCGCTGGCTGCAGAGCTGTGAGTTTGGTCTCGGAGGTTCTTTTTGTTTTTAATCTGCCCGCACCGACAAAACAGAAAAATGCGATGAAACGCGTCGTTCCAGTCAGGACGAGGCGAGATGGGTACGGTGAGTTTTTCCAGATTGCAGCGGCTGGTGTCTGCCTACCTGGATGAAGAAGCAGCTCTTGCACAGCGCCAGGCGCTGGCAACGTCCCATTCACAACTGGGTAGGCCTTGTCACCTTGTCAATCCTTGTCATAAGTCCAATATCACCATCAGAGACCCCACAATCAAAAGAAACTCGTTGTTTGTTGGAGGTGCTGCTTTGTATAGCTTTGTGTTGCTTTGTATTGCCGAGCCTACCAAATGCGTCCAAATCTGACTGAGAGGCTGTGAGCATGATGCGACATGTTTGGACGAACTACGAAGAGCGGGCCTTTGGCAAAGATGAACTGAGGCCTGAAACATGCCTTGCTGCTGCCCTTTGTTTTTCTTTCATTGATTCTTATGTGTTGCTTCTATTGCCCCCTATATTCCCCCTATATTATCATGAATCATAACTATAATAAATACACACACACATATACTGTATATATATATATATATATGTATAGATAGAATATGTGTCTACAATCTATTTTATTCCGTATTTCACAGTGATGAAAGACTTGCCAGTGTTTCGTTGCAGCATGCAGTGTCAGGCCGGTGTCTGGAATTGGTCGCAACAACTGGGGTGGCATTGGTCAAACCTTGGTGGATGCACTGGACACACTGTGGCTGATGGATTTCAAGGAGGCGTGGAAGTATTGGAATGGTGATGAATGATATGAATGGTGGGCCTGCCCCAATGATTCCCAATGATTCCCAATGATTCCCAATGATCATAATTTCATACAAAATTTCATACGTACAAAATCACACGCAATGTAACATCATATAAGCTCATGTAAACTCATGACCAACCGTGTGTCGTGAAGCTATCTCGTGACCTCATGCTCTACAAAAGGATTGAAGCAGCTCACACATCCCAAGCGGTGCATGACTTCCTCGGGTTTGTCACGGCCATGAAATGGCCATGCAATGGCCATGCAATGGCCATGCAATCCACAGTTTTTGATGGCAGGAATTTGATCGTGCAGCGCTGTGGGTGGAGCAATCCTTAAGCCCCTTGGGGAGCATTTGCACTTCCAGTGTGCTTGTTTCCCACAAGACATGCCCAGACGTTCTCTGTTTCTCGTTTCTGCTTGGCATCCATCGGCGTGTACGGTTCATATGGTTCACGAGATTTCACCTCAACGCTCCACATGTCTCCGTGTGCGTCGTCGGGAGGTTTCTCGAAGGATCTGAACGTGAATCTCTTCGAGACGTCCATCCGACACCTCGGAGGCCTCCTCTCCGCCTTCGCGCCACTCGGATCGAGATCACAGTGACAGCTCTAACAGCCGTGACAGCCGCGACAGCTGTGACAGCTGTGACCACCTGCCACCACCTTCCGAGGCTCAGCAGAAGATCAGGATTGCTGGCCAAAGCCCAAGAGTTCCTACAGAATTAACAGATATCCACAGCATTCACAGCATTCACCTTGCTGAAGCAACTTGCTTCACGATTGAGTTCCTACTTGCTTCAGCGATCTTCAGCGTATTTGCCTGTCTGAGTTTGTCCTTTCACTGCACGATTGTAATGATTAGGACGTGGCCAAAGACTTGGGTGATCGCCTGTCATTTGGATGCATCTAGGTCATTTGGCGTTGGCGAGTTCAGCCAGAGATTTCATGAGATTTCAGATGTCTATAGATGTCTATAGATGTCTAATTTTACGTCTACTTAGTGTCTACTTTCGCATGCTCAAACGTAGCTGAGGATCAAAGCCTTTCCACCTCCTCGGACTGCGAATCGTGGCCGGTCCTAAATTCATCGCTTTCTGCTGCCTGTTGCAGCACTGTTGCATGATGCATGTTGGCGTTGGCTCCAATTGGCTGACCATTGCTGACCATGGATCAATTGGTATTCAATTGGTCATGCGTCCCTAAAGCCCTTAAGGATCCCGCGACACCTCCAAGGGCCTCGGCGCAGAGTTTAAGAAACTGCTCCACCACGTGGGGCTCCCCACTGAAGCGTTGGACTCCGTTCTGGGAAACGGAAAGAACAGCGAGGTGGTGATCAGCGCCCGTCTCAGAGCGCTGCGACATAGCTGTCAAGTTTGGGTGACACAAAGATGATCAAACATGTCTGAAGTCCTTCGAACCCAGTTTGCCTTACTCGCTCTTATTTTTGAGGCTTGCCATCTTCGGACATCAATTTGGGAAGTGGTGCCGCTTGGTTGCAGTCATGCCGTACTGCAGTACTGGCATCAATCACCATTCTTCATTTCGAATCATTCTGTGCCAGAAAGACCTATGCAGTGCTCATGAATCATTGAACTTTGGTAATTACAGTGTAAGGAAACCAAGAATCTCGCTGGCTTCATTTCGCTGGCTGAAGCCTATGTGCCGATAGAACCTTGGATTTAATGATGCCCATAGGCTTCGATAGGTCTGACTTTAGTTGCCACTCTGACAAAGCTGAACTTGGAAGCTCCAATGAGTTTGATATACTGAGTATGAGTACCCAGTATGCACATCATTGAATGATATTGAATGTAGGTAACATGCGGAGACCTTCCTTGGGATACATGCTCCATCCAACTAGCAGGTAATGTGCAGTTTCCTGGGTATTTCCTGCCTGGATAGGAGTGGAAGTACCTGGCTGCACTGACGACCAACTGCCTCTCAGTTGAGCTTGGATCATGGATGATCATAGCATCGCGATGCATCGCGAACCTTTGAACATCTTTGAACACATATATTTTTTGTTCATGGCCTTGGGATGATAGTAACATCAGATTTAAGTCCTGCGAGGTTCATATTCCGCTGCTCAAGATCGAGTTCTTCACGCCATCAATCGTTCCCTCAATTTGGAGGAAAATGGACTGGGCATGATAATGCTGAAGCTTAGCTTCACTGGCTGTCTTTCCGTTGTTTTATGGCATTTCCGTGCTTGTCCATGCTTGCCTCACGGTGACGGTGATTCTAGCTAAGGAAACAAGATGGCAAAGCCTTCCCGTCTGCGCAGAACCGACTGTCACTAGGCAGTCGCGGAGATTCCTTCTACGAATACCTGCTGAAAGACTTGATCTTCTCTGCAGACGTGGCCGAGGTCGGCATGTGTACCGTGCAGTTGATGCAGTTGACGCTGTTGTCAAGTTGTGTCGAATGATTCGAACTCCCAACGTGCCACCCAAGGATAAATTGACCAAAAAGCTGTGGTCGTCATTCAGGCCCGAAAAGATTCAATAATTCAAATGATTTCAATGACTCAGAATGGCTCAGAATGGCATTTCGGACATATATAACACACCCACACACATACACACATACACAAATACACACATACACACATGCATGCATGCATACATCCATGCATGCATGCATACATACATACATTCATGCATGCATGCGTGCATGCATGCATGCATGCATAAATACATACATACATACGTACGTACGTACGTACGTACGTACATACATGCATACAGACATACAGACATACAGACATAAAGACATACAGACATACAGACAGGCATACAGACATACAGACATACAGACATACAGACATACAGACATACAGACATACAGACATAAAGACATACAGACATACAGACAGACATACAGACATACAGACATACAGACATACAGACATATGTACATATGTACATATGTACAGACATACAGACACAGACACACACAGACATACATACATACATACATAGATACATACATAGATACATACATAGATACATACATAGATACATACATAGATACATACATAGATACATACATAGATACATACATAGATACATACATAGATACATACATAGATACATACATAGATACATAGATAGATAGATAGATAGATAGATGCATAGATGCATAGATGCATAGATGCATAGATGCATAGATGCATGCATGCATGCATGCATGCATGCATGCACGCATGCACGCATGCACGCATGCATACATTCATACATACATACATACATACACACACACGCGTATATATATATATATATGTATATGTATATTTCAGACAGCAGCCGGCATCTCGTTCAGTGCAAAAACAACAAACGCCCCTGGTGCGGCCTAGGGCGAAGCTTCCAGGGTTGTTCGCCGAAGGGCATCAGGTAGCGACTTGGCCACACGATGCGTCAAGATCTCCAGTTCTGCCAAATGTCTTCTGCAAGAACAAGTGCTCTTATTGGAAGCCATTCCACCAAAACAAACAACATAACAAAAAATAATAAAAAATAATTTCCTATAAATTATGTTCTCCATTTTGAGACCTAAAACTGGGGTTCTAAGCCTATATCAATTGGATAGCTCTGAGGAACAAGAAGGTGGCAAAATTCCTGACAATGTCATGCAGGAATTGTATCAATACATTTCCACCTTGCCAGAGAAGAAGAAACCAAAGCGAGGCTAGTGAACTGAAAAAAGAGTGCTGGGTTCTCTCATTTGGGCCTGCTTGTGTTGTGACATTCCTGACCACCATTTTATGTTTTTCCTTATTTGTAATTATTTGTTCTTATGTGTTTTTATGTTTTATTATTATTATTTATATTGTTTATATATTGTTTTTTATTTTTTCATATTTTTTCATATTTTTTCATATATTTTTATATTTTTTCATTATGTTTTGTTATTTTTTCCTATGTTGGAACCTGCTGTGGTGAGCATACTTCTGGTGAGGGTGCTAGCCCTGACAAATGAAAATGGCTTCAACATGTCTCAAGACATGTCATTTCATGTTTTTTTCTTTTTATTGTTTTTCAAACCATGTCTCAAAAGCTTGTTTCGGCTGAGTTGACGCAAGGATCGCACTCCGGGTTCCAGCTGGCCGCACAGGAGCCCCAAGGAGGTGAGGGACCCCCGTTGGGCGGCAGAGTGCTGCCTGAAACAGAGAGAGAGAGAGAGAGGAGTAAACAGGGACCGCCTAGATCCGCCTAGAGCATCCCTGACCTACAACTGGCCTGAAGTATCATTAAGATTTAATTAAAATCATCAAGTAATCTCAAGCACGACTGAATATGGCGGAGCATGATGCTAGCTGTTGCTAGCTCTAGAAAAAAAAATCATTTTTCAATGCGCCTTGCGCCTGGCCGAACTTTGGAGGTACCCAGGGGTCGTGGTGGTGCACTGGGCGGCTGGCATGAGTCTTGGAAGGATGCGCCATCCCCATGGCTGTTGGGGTCTTAACATGTCTCACAACACATGGATATGCTGTGGATGTGTGGATGGATGCAGCTGCAATTCAGATTTTCAGCCGTCTGTCGATTGAACCTTTGCCAGAACTCAAAACCGACTTGTTGTCTTCAGGTTTTTGAAGGAAATCACTCCTCACCACACAGTGCCCAAGATGGATCATTTGCTGCTTGGACTGCAGTAGCCAACCATTTGTCAAAGCCATTTGTGTGCCGTTTTTCCATCTTTCTCCATCTTTCTCCATCACTTTCATGACTTCTCAACCGTTTTGCTTCGTTTTGCCATTTGTGTTCACTATGTTCACTGAGGGTTTGCTTTTTGCCGGGAGCAATTGCACTCGAAATCTTCCACAGTGAGAAGAAGAGTGAGGTGGAACTCCTGGAGCGGAGCTGCCCTGGGGACATGGAAAGACCAGTCGCGCAGGGCTGGATATATCCTTGGGATGTAGCATGATGATCATGATGTAGCAGTAGCGAGATACTGTACCACTGTACACTAGACATGGCTAGACTACAGGATGTCTACCTAGAACCCCAGAATGTCCCAAAATAGAAGGTACACAGGATTTTTCCATCCGAAAAGGTAACAAACATGATAGAAAAGGAATATTTCCTCAAAAAAGGGTCAAAAGCGTTATTGCTGTTCTTTCACATCCTCATGACTCAAGCTCTCTCCTGGCAAAACGAGCAGTGAAGGTGAAGGACCTAAATATGAAAACAGTCCCAACATTCCTTGTCTTTTCGCTCTCAAGATGAACAATAACACAAAAAGAAATAAACAGGTCATTCTGAATCGTTCCGGATTTTTCCTGCACAATTCCCAGAATTTTCGGAAGCGAAACTTTGGCCAAAATATGCAACCGCAAATCCAAGAATGTAGATTCATTGAACATTTGTTGAAACCCAGGAATTTGCACTCCATTTCTCAACTCCCGTCAAGTGTTCTCTATCTCACTCATAAGCTCAATCAGTTCCAACATACACGAAGAATTGCCCAATTCAATATTGCCCATATGATGCCCATATGCCAAATTTCCATAAAAAGGAACCAATTTCAAAAGACACAAATCTTCCATAGGTTTTTGATCTCCATTTTGTACTTTTAATGTGTAGACGCATTTGCCTCTCGCCTCCTTCGGCAGGTGGACCTGCAGCTGGCCCACAGGCTCGCGCAGACCTGCGTTCACATGTGCCATGGCAGCCTGGGCAACTCCGAGTAACTCCGAGTAACTCTGAACTTTAGAACTTTGGAACTGGGACGTCTCGCCAGCCCGTCATCCAGCGATATCTAGCTAGATCTAGCTAGCTGTTAGCTTGCATCCATGAGATATACTGAGATGCAATGCCGTGAGGTATTGGCGCACCGTCTCTGATTTGGCGCCGGAAATCACACGGTTCACGCAGAATGGGCTGGTAGACGACAAGGGGTCTATGCACAACATCCTTCGGCCGGAGACGACGCCGAGCTGCAGATGGCTAGGAAACTCCATCGCAACATTGTCACAACATGTCATATAGATTCATAATTATATAGTCTCAGTCTCAATCTTGGAACATGGGAACATGGCCAAAGTGACACACAGTTCTGTTTGGCCTCTGTCAAATAGTCGCATCACATGGATTTGCCAAAATGGTGCCAGAGGCAAGCACACCATCCCGTCAAGGTCCACAGTTGTCGTGATCTGCCACTTCTGCCACTCAGGATTGAGAGTTTGTTTCTCTTGTGGCGGCGCTGGGCTTAAGGGTCTTTAGACTTCTTTAGACATTTTTGGACATCTTTAGACATCTTTAGGCCTTGAGTATAGGATGAAAAGCTGCCTTGTGGACCGTGCCAGTTGGCTGCAAGAGTCTCAGTCGACTGACTCTGACTGCATTCTGTCACCTCCTCTGGAACAGTGTCCCGAGGACCTCCAAAAAACAAATCTATCGGAACTGGGGCCAGCGCATGTTGGCAGCCTTCTATCGAACCAAGACTCGGCACCTTGGCAGCACATTGTCAAGTTTGATGCCGCTCCCATGAAGCAAATCGAAAGCCACAAACTGTAGTTATGCAATTTTGTGCCTGCATGAGACATCTTCATACATTTTCAAAACGATCGAAATGGACACGAGTTTCCAGTGAAAGCATGTGAAAGCATGTGAAAGCATGTGAAAGCATGTGAAAGCATGTGAAAGCATGTGAAAGCATGTGAAAGCATGTGAAAGCCAGAAAATCTCAGAAGACTGAGCCATGGGATGCTCCACACAGCGAAGTTGCTGCCATGTGGTGTCCATGTGATGTTTATTGATCATCATTGATCAACATTGATCATTTATCATTCATTGATCATTGATTGCCTAGGTTTGGCTTTGCGAGTCTCCACAACGTGAACCAACCATCCAAGCGACGTGATGACATGCCGTCGTTCTTTGTAGCAGCTCCTGGGCTGGAAGATGCTGGACTTTTCTGGTTCAGAAGTGTGGCAATGGGTCGCAGGGAAACATTCCAAAACGTGATACAGTGATAACATTGGTTTAACGCGTTCTATAATTTTGTTTGTTCATAGTTTTGCTGAGGGGTGAGTTTTGCGCCGTACTCACATCGATGCGATTTTCAGGAAACTTTGAAGTATTTGTTCCTGTGACTTGGCTCAATGCATGCCTACTGAAGAGGAGTGAGGAAGGGTCCAGTGGAGAAAGGGGCTGTGTCGAATGGTCGGATCTGTGATGAGTGAGGCTCTTTTCGCCGGACACAGTGCTTCCTTTGGACCAATATGTTCTCAGCACTGAAGCGCATCCCGTCCCTATACTTGGCAAGGCACATTCAGGACCGTTAAACGGTTGCCTGCTAATTAAACACGACCAGAGCAGGGAGGTAAAGCATGCCCCGAGCAGCAAACAAATCTGTCGCGATCAATTCAGATGCTTTAGTTTGGTCCTTTTAGGTCTTGAAGTTTGATATGTTGACCTGGGAGGGCGCTGTACATCACACATTTCTATCATGCTTTGGAGTTGTCCTGTGACTTCATAAATGATCATGAATGCGTGTGTCATCATGTCCTAGATGTGTCCATCAGGGTACTCGGTATTGTGGCACTGCCAGGACTAAAGTGGCCCTGCCATCCAAAGCAGACTTCACAGGCCAAGGCGGAGAAACCAGAAGATCCTAAGGCGAATGGACCCGAATGGAATGCTTGCAATGCTTGCCTTGATTTTGGAAACAAACCATGTGACCATGTTTGTTTGTGGCTTAGATAACGCCCACTTTGAACAGGGGTGACGGGGTGAAGCTATATAATATAAATGAAACTAGATGAAACAAAATGAAACATGATGTGCTGCAAGGATGGTGACCAAGCTACGAAGGAGTCAACGCCAAAATCAACTCAGGCCGTAGCGGCAGATTGCGGTCGGATTAGTTCACTTGGCATCACTCGGCATCACTTGGCATCACTTGGCCACTCAAATAGTTGCGTTTGGGTCACGAGTTACAACCTGCATTAAGATGCATTAAGCATATTCAACATGGTAGTGATAGGAAGCGTTCATTTGAAATAAAACTTATGAACCGCTGACATTTTCACTGGATTTCGATTACTGTGGGCTGTTTGCTAGAAGGTCAACCACTTGTTTGCATTTGTTTGCATACGTCTCACTCTAGGTGTGCGATCCACAGCGAGTTCAACAGCTGGAGGAGCAAATGAAGGAGCGATGGACACCGTTAACAAAGCATTGCTCACCTGTATGCTATTGTCAATTGTGTCTTGGGCTCCACTGTCCAGGAAGGGGAGCGGCAACTCCAAAAGATTCGACGAGAGTACGGCATGTGCGTTTCGTGACTCCTCTGAATGATTCTGCCATTGCTCTGTGCGGATCAGTACTGATCGGATCAGAACGGATCAAAACCGATCACAATAAATCAAATTTTAAAATTATTTAAATAATTCACTCATCTCAGCTCAACTCAGCGCAGCTCAACTCAGCTCAGCACTTACACCTTTGGCGTTTCACATCGTTTCACGTTTTTGTTCTCAGGGATCCGATTTGTTGGGCCAGCGGCTACACATACGAGGAGCTTGAACATGGCATATGTTGGCAAATGTTTTGAGATGTGAGATGATGTGAGATAAGCCATGATAAGCCTGACAGGTCATTTGTTTGCTATACAGCTAAACGGCTAAACGTGTCTAATGTTTGTATTTTGAAGATATTGAATCTGAGCTCGCACCGATAGGACTGCTGTTTCCCTGTGCCAGTGGGGAACACGGCGTGCTGGGATGCAGAATTTACATACAGTCGATGCTGCGGGTGCCATGTCAATCATGGTTACAGCCACAGATCAATAATAGTCATTAATGTTCAGTATGTTCAATGATTGCCTTTGTTATTTTTTCTTGCTCTATGCTCTTCTCAACTGACCCCGCCCAAGCCAGAAATGAATGGAATAACTTTAGGAATGTGACATTTTTGAGCTTTCAAGTTGAAGACAGTGCATCGCAAATACATCCGTGAGTCTTGCAACCTCGCCTGGAGAAGAGGGATGTTTTTGAGGTAATGCCGGGACTACCGCCGTGACGTGAGGATGGAGAATTTTGGCCACGGAGGTCTGAAGTAGTCAGGTCCTCTGTTGTTACAATGTAACAAGCACCTATGTCGAGCAACCCCGCAGTGAAACTCCGGAGGGGCTCGATGTTGCTGTGTGTCCCAAATCACGAATTCACAACGGCACAAAAGTGAAGCAACGTGCGTTGCCCCCTGAATTTTGGGATATGCGGTCACCGATTTTCTAGCTCAGCGGGGTGCAACCGGTGAGGCTGCACCCACTGTGTCAGACAGTCGAAGCAATGCCATGCGGGTGGCACAGCAAAGAACGCGAGCTGTGATGGACATCATCAATGTCATAAACTGCTAACTGCTAACCCATCAAGTCCGGAAAGACATTGAACATCATTGAACAACATGTTTCGAAATGTTTCAATATGTTTCACATATGTTTCGCATATGTTTCGCATATGTTTCACACGTTACGCATGTTCATTTCATTTTGTTGAATCTTTGACCTGTTGCATCATTCGCATCTCCATGGCTCTTGGCTTCAAGACCTTGGTTGAAGAGTTCGTTCAGTTCGTTGAACCAACGGCATATGATCTCCGTTCAGGCGCTCCATCTCCGGCAGATCCACAGCCCATGGCGACCGCGGTCCTCGTTCCCGCATCGCCCGTTGGAGCCCAGAGGCGCCCAGAGATCTGCAGTGTGCTGTGCCATGGCCATGGCAGCCATGGGACGTGGCCAGCCCAAAGAGGCTGACACAGAAACAGATCGTGTAGATCGAGATCTCCGAGACGACCGTGATGATTTGGCTCACGATCTGCCGGGTTTTGCGAGACAACTCTGTAGAGAGCTACAACAGAAGAGACCGCAGTGACTTGGTCTTCCTTCGATGTTTCACTGAGTTTTTCAGTGATTTCCTGAGGCCAAAATTGCTGCTCTGCCCACGTTTTGTTGGGACGTTTGGCATCAATGTGTGAATTCCATTGAATTCCTCATAAAGTGATGCTGGAACAGTTACAAGCATGTGATGGAACGGTGGTCGGAGCATTCCAATGCCATCTTGAAACCCTTGCAACCCTAACGAACCCTCAGAATCATCTGGAACTACAGTCTGCAGTCATACGTTTGAAGGCGGAACAGCCGGTTTGGTGTTGTTTTTTTTCGCGGTTGGAATGGTCTTTGCTGATCTTTGGTGGCTAGCCCCAATGCCCAAGGAAACATGATCAGATTCACGATCATGAGCTGGCACCTTTGATCCGAAAGAAGTGGTGGACACAGCTGGGGCGGCTCCTGAACCTCAGCTCGATGGCTGTGCATTGAAATTCTACTAGTCTCGATATGTCTCGATATGTCTCGATCCATCGATCCGGCTCTAAACAATTTATTGTATAGTTGGGGACGTGTACTTAGAACATCATTTGGAAAAAAATAAGCCTTCACAGCGGGGATGTTCTAAGTACTGTATCACTTAGAACATCAGGAAAAAACGCATATTTAGACCATATCCAACATATATACTTAGAACATCCCAGAGGGAACCATAACTGACCATAACATATTTAGCACCTCCAAAACATTCAAAATTATATAGACCATTTTAGTTCGTGTTAGTATTGAGACCTGTGCTTTTTGACTACCCCCAGTAGGAAACCTACAAATTACCGGAGACATTTCCCATTGCAGCAAAGACTGCTTGGGATATTGTTCCGGAAGAAAAGGCAATGTTTTTCAGCAGCAGTGAGGGGAGAAAGTGTTCTAAGTGTGGTGTTCACAAAGGTATTTGTGTGTATATATATATATACACGTATATATACATGCAGATTTGCATAGATTTGCCAAAGTCAATGGAAATGTTCTAAGTATATGGTCTGTTTATGTTCTAAGTATGCAAAAATAAATGGAGACATTCTAAGTATATGTTCTCTGGATGTTTTAAGTTCGCACTTAGAACATTTTCCCATGTTCTAAGTATAGTGTCCGTTAATGTTCTAAGTAAGGGGTTGGATATTTTGGAAAAATATGTTCTAAATAGTTGTCCCAACCATACGGTATAATAGACATATTATGGACATTTATTTCGTCGTCGTCGTCGTCGTCATCATCATCATCATCACCATCATCATGATCATCATCATCATTCATCATTCATCATTCATCATTCATCATTCATCATTCATCATTCATCATTCATCATTCATCATCATCATCATCATCATCATACTATATATACACTGTATGCGCGCGTGTGCATACACTCTTGTGTGTGCGTGTGTGCCGGGCCTGCTTGCCTGAGGAAAGCTCATGAGGAATACCCTCACGGACTTCCGGATGACGCCTGGATATCCCTTCGATTAGATGGCTGCTGCACCTAGCCTGTGATAGTACGACAACCTTTTGGGGATCAGGTTATGAGTGCCCATTATGAGCAAGCTGTTGGGGATGACATTTGGTTCCTGGTCCCGGTTCTTGCTAGGAGACTGCATCTTTGTTGCGATCAATTGATGGCATTTTCTTCCTTCTGGTTGTCATGATTTGTGAATTTATACTGTAGTTGGATTGTTGAGTGGAACCATTTGAATTTAAACATATCGCATTCCTTTCCCCAGAGCCAAATGCTTGGCTTGGGGATTCTTTGCTTTTTCTGCCATTGCCAAGTCTCCGAACAGATCCCGAGTACTTGACATCAGGGTTTGTCGGGGTGCTTTGGGTCCTTTTGCTGGGCACGACGTCCCTTCCACACTGCTTTCTTTGGCCATCTCATTGAGAAGTTGCCAAGACTGAATGGAAGCGGTGATTGATCACGCCGGGTTCTCCGGTGCTTTTGATCCGTGCCCCCTGCTTGCAATTTCTTCCTCCATGATATGGGCAAACAAAGCATCGTGGGTTGTCGCTTTGTTTCTATATGCTCACTTTGCTCCTGATTTTTTTAAAGATGCATTTTTTGCTTCGGAATCGGTGATATAGTTTCGATGGAGCGCGCCCCTGACGCTTGTTGGCTTCTTTCCTTGGCCCAGGGCAAACGTCAGAAAATGTCGGAACCACAGGTTGAAAAACAACGTGTCTTGCTACATGTGCAAAAACACGGGGATTGTCTCGGGTTTATTGAGCGCAATGTTCGCTTTCAAGCGGAGTTTATTTTTGTTTGATGAAGCACAGAGCCTTGGCTTGCTCTCTGGTATTTGTGGTGTGTTCCTATTTACCTTTGGTGGGCCAAGTTCCCCGCTAGAATCAGCTAGAATCGCTAGAAGGTTGAACACAACACTGTTTTGTTTTGGATGTAGGTCCCTGCAAACAGCTACAATCCTGACTGCATTTCGCTTCATTTTTTTTCCATGGTTCGTTTATTGCTGAGGAGTTGGTCAGTTTTTTGCTCTTTAAATAAATGGTCGACAGACAAGCGGAGATACTCTTGTAACTTGTAAGGGCAGATACTGCATGATGTTGTCATCTGATCAAAGAACCACCCCAGAAAACCTGTTGAAAGGAAACACATACCACCCAAGGTTTGAAAGAAAAACAAGTTTGCGGATAGCGGTTTTGAAGCGGAAACCTATCAGGAAGCAAGTTGAAAGGAACAACTTCTTTCAAAACGCTTGAGTCACGATTTGGCTGTGTTGATATCGCTTCATTACAACGGAAGTGACATTCAAGTTTGAGACGTGAATTTCCTCATTTGAGTCTTGTCCTGCCTTCTTACGACCCAAGTTGTAGGAGACTTGTATCTTGGAAGGGTGGTATCTTCCCAGACTTGTATCTTAGGAGACTTGCACCTTTGGAGACTTGTACCCCCCCGGGTGAATTTATAGTGCGCAGGGCCTTTTTTTTCTCCATATAAACCTTTCGAGCACAAATCTTCCAAGATGCACTTTCCATGCGCATAGTTCCCAAGATAAACTATCCCCGCATTGTCTCAGTAGTGAGCCCGCCATGTTGATACAACCACCATAGCCGCAGCAGCAACAGGAGGATCAAAGCCATACCAGCATCATACAATGATCACCTGCTCGATAGCTCTGACAAACTGCCCCGATCCAACTTTGCTTTTCTGTTTGCTAGTGAATAAATGATTGAACTATATGTTTGAACTATTGTTTGAAAATATTTGCATGGTTGATTCCGGTTGATGTTTCTCGCACGGTGCTCGTCAAGATATTGTTTCTTTTTCATTCTCGTCATTTCTCGTCCATCTGTAAAATAATAATCAGTTCTCAGGAGTTGACGACCTTTTTCCGAAACCTTGCATTGCTATGCAGTATTTCGATGTATTTCGTTGACTTTGCAAGATACCGAAATTTGATTCTATGTTTCGGAAGTCCCGTAAATTTGGCAAGGATAAACCAAAAGTTTGGAGTTTGCTTGGTTGTTTAGATTGTGGGCAACTTGCTGGTGCCTCTCAAGCTTTTTGTTGAAATCCTGCACGCTTCTTTTGAAGACGAGGGTGTCATATCATGGTGTCTATGTAAAAATCAGGACTGAGGAGATTCGCGATGGTTAGCAACCTTGAATCTTGAAGGTTATATCATTGTTGAATATTGTTGATAGCTTTCTTCCACTGCTTGTCAGGGATCTCATTTGTTGGACAGCAGGCAGCAGGGGATAGGCGTCTCTCTTGTTGGAGCGGCTGTTATATGATATTGCCATGAAACATACTTTCTGTGGTGCTATTTTTGCCGCTACAGTGGTTGCGTTTCGTGTCCCAACACGTCTCCACAGACCAGGTTTCCAACAATTAAAGACAAGATTCCCCAGGACGCAAGGTTACCAAGGACAGGAGGTTGCGAAAAACACAGCAATCTCCACCAAGAAAGATCCTCTGGCAAGGGGCTTCAAAGACCGCATTCTAAAAGGGCAAGGTTAGCAGCTTGCGTCTTCTGCGGGGGTATGGTCTTTGGCCCTTTGGCCTTGATGGGTGGTTGATTCCGCCGACTCATGTGGTTTCAGCAGAACTTCAGCAGTTTTCCCGTGTGGTGACAGATGCGATGAGGCTGGGGCACCCTCATGTCTCGTTTGAAGTCTTCTGGCGTGCTGAACTATGGCTTTCGGGAGGAGATCGCAGAGACCATGGTGGCCAGTTGTCGAGCCGTTGCTTGTCCATGCAATATGGATGTGGATGGATGTGGATGGATGTGGATGGATGTGGATGAAAGACTCGGCCGCAGCTGAGGTGATGTGTGAATTTGGAGGGGTCGTGGGCTACACCCACAGCCGCTTGCCATGCATTCAGCTTGGACACGAAGCTTTGGAAGGAAGGGGAATCCAAATTGGTCCAACTTCAAAAGTGGTTCGGCTCGGCATTTGCTTCATATTTTTTTCATATCTGTTGAACATTTTGTTTGTTTGTTTGTTTTTTTTTGTTGTTGTTGTTTTTTTTTTGTTGTTGTTGTTGTTTCGCATTGCCACCTCCGAGGTGATGAGATGACCATTCTGGTCCCACCAGGTCCACGCTTGTTCGATGGACGCCTGTCTTCCTGGATTAGCTTGGCTGCCAGCCGCTTGGCAACGGAAGTTGGATGATGTCGGATGATGTCGGTCTGTTGCTTTTCATCTGTTTTTGTTATTTTTTGTTTGTGTTTCTGTGGCTAAGGCATCGCCACTGCCACCTGCAACCGAGTTTTGGTGAATCTTGCGGCCAAGAAAGGTCACTTAGGCATTGTCAGTCCGGTCAGTGCTGTCAGTATTCAGCAGCATCCAGATACTTTGAGATAGCTTGAGATAGCCCATCTTGGAGCCACAGATCTATTGCATCCATCTGTGCTTGTGCCATCATGACCTCATTTCCTTGGAGGATTGCATTCATTTCATTCAATCCTGTACGGATCTTGGGGGTCTTCATTATCTTCATTGTGTCACTTTAAGATCTGTAAGCTTTGGCCAAGGGTGCCATGAATGAGCGCTGAGGCTTGGTTCTAGAAGACACCATTGTGGCACACTTCGACTGCCGAGCTGGAATTTTTCCCTCCGCATTTGAGGCTGAAAGCTTGCTGTTATGGCGCGCTTCAGATCCCTGGCAAAGTCTTCAGCCAAACCCGGCATTTTGACCCCTTGGAGCCTTGAGGATGTGGTGGATCTATTCGAAATCTTGAAATCTTGCCCAACTCCAAGGATTGCAACGTCAATTCTGCATCTGACGCCATCAAATTTTCAGATGCTCCGATGGAAGTGCGAGGGCTCAACACAATCCAAAAGCTGCAGCTTGGATGAATTTGTCGAAAAAACATGTCCATCGCAAGGAGAATCATTTCACCAGCAGCTCTTTCAACACACGCTGAGTCGATCCGCTGTCGTTGCAGGATCTACTTGCAGGGCAGAGGTGGCTTACCCCTGCAGCGCCATCAAGCTTATGGGTCGCTCTTGGTCCGGCATCCTGCCTGGATCACGGAGTGGTATCACGGAGTGGTGTGCAAAAGAATAGGATGAACATGATGAAATGGGTTTGAAGACTGTTTAAAAGATACTGAAGATACTGTTGGAATGGATCAGAGCGGGAACGGAAGGGAGCAAACCACTGAGCACCCGTTTCCATCTTCTCCTCCGGCCATGAAATCAGGACTGAGACCTCAGAAGGTAGCAGCCTTGACCTCAGCTACCGCGAAGTTGGAGTCCATCACATCATGGTGTTGCTAAAACAATAGGTCCATAGGGATAATAGAATTAATAGAATAACCGCAGTTTCAAACTGAAACCAAGCTTCTGCGGCACATTGTAACCAGTAGATACAGCAAATTAGCATTTTGTAGACATGGAGCCCTTCAAGGGATTTGTCATGATTTGTCTAGCTTGAGGAGTGGTGTTGCTGAACAGCGGTGCTGACTCGCAGCCGATGCATATATTGAACCTCTTCCGCAAGCGGTCGTTGATCCCAGAACGTCTCTCGGCTTCAGGTTTGCAGCATTTGCAACTGCAAACAGATGCAAACAGCATCAGCAAGGCTCGATGAATGTCAACACTCATGCTTCAGAGGGTTGACAAGGCATTGGATAGGCATGGAATGTTCATGAATCCCTCAATGGGCAAACTCTCAAATCTATGTGCATGCTGACATTTTGTGACGCCCAGTGCCAGAGAAACCTGAGAGGGACAAAGGCAGAATCCCACCTAAGGGCACGCTGAAGGCGTTTGAAGACTCTGTCTGAACACTTCGCCCAACACGCGCACGGAGTTTGCAATGATTAATGTATTAAATACGCTTGCCCATGCTTGCTCTTATTTCCCCCCCGTTTAGAATTTAGCTTTTTGGTTCCGTTTGCAGGCTATTTGAACGGAAGCTCCTTGCAAGAGAGCGGCGATGTGCCGGAAGTGAAGGGTGACCACGAACCTCCCGTGTCATGGCCCTGTACCGTACCTCGATGTCACTGAGCCAAAGTGCTCACGACATCTCACGACTCCCTTTGAAAAGATCCATGCAGGCAAGTTGAAACTCAAGAGCACATATATGTAATTGGATGTACACAGGTGGCGGAAGTTTCAAAAATAGGAAACCTATAGGAGAGGTTGGTTGTCATTGGAAAAACACAGTGTTTCGCGACTTTCCTACCTTTTCGCGCATCTGCATCTTCTTTCTTATGACTCTTTCTCTTCTCTGATCTTCTCTCTTCTACTCTTCTCTTCTCTCTGACTCTTCCCATTTCTGCTTTTCATCTGTCCATATTGTCGGAAGTTCGACTTCTAAACTTCCTTCGATTAGTATAGTAACTGCTGGGAGGGCTTTCTAAGTTGTCTCTCTAAATTTCCACATGGGCAACGCTAGGTGCCACCATTTCGCTTGACCAGGCGCATGTCTTTTCACCGGACCTCACCCACACATCCAGCAGCACAATCGCGGTTTTCTTCGGCGGTGTTCCCTTGAAATCCCTTGAATTCCCGGAAACATTTGACATGTTGCGTTCAGCCTGACTCGGCTCAAGCAGTTTAGGTGGAGCCGATGGTTGATGATGGTTGATCCTTCCCAGAGTCTATCATGGGGATGCTACACATGCCGCCCATGTTGCAACTTGCTGTCAGGTTCACTGGCAGTGCCTGCCGGTGACCATTGCGCAGCCGAGTTCTTGTTGTTCGACACCAAGGATAAAGCTCCGTACCTCTGTCGCTATGTGGACGGCACCAATGCGACTTGCAGGGTGCTGCGCTTGGAGATGCGGCCACAAGCAGCTGCATTGTCCAGTCCAAGGCAATTGCTGCTGAGCGGCCGGCTGCGATTGTTTGCTTCTCTGGAGGTTGTGAGTGGCGTCGCTTCGGTGTCAATTTGGCGCTTGCCAGATGCAGAGGCAGAGTGTCACCTGGTGGATAGGGTTGAGCGGCTTGAGGGCATCCAAACAGCCAAGGCTATTTGTTGGGCAAGCCGTGCGCTGCCACCTTTTGCAGAAGGTGAGTTGCTGTCAGTGCTGCTTTCGGACCGAGTGCTGTTGATCCCGGTGCTGCCTGCAGATGGGACCTTCTCGTTGCAGCCAGCCATGGTGCTGCAGATTGGCTTCCCATGCCGCTGTTTGTGCTGGTCCAACGATGGGTCCCAATTGCTGGTGGGTGGCAAAGGGCAACTTCTTTGCTTCGCTTGGAGGGCTGGTGCGGCTGGTGACAGTGAACCTCTGGTGCGACATTTGCTCTCCTCAGGTGCGGATCAAATTTTGTTTGCCTCCAGGCTGGTTCCTGGTGACGATTTGCAACGAAACCTTGTCCCCGGTATCATCAGTATCCGCGAACAGTATCTTGTGATATTATTCTGATATCTTGTGCCATTTTAAGGTGGAATTGCGTGGCTTACGCCATGAAGATCAGCCGATAAAGAAAATTGATGAAGAATCCTTTTCCGCTCGTCCTTTATCAGCAAGCTTTTATGAGATTTGACGGGTTGGGGTTACACTCCTGCTGCGCCAACAAATTGTAACCGCGTGAAATTGAGGTGAGTGTGTGGAGATCCATGCAGTATTTTCCAATAGCTTCCTATGTCGCATTGACCAATGCTCACAGCCGGCTGAACCGGAGTTGATGCTGCCAGGGCAGGCTTTGGGACCCAGCTCCCGACCTTTGGTCCAAGTCATTGAAAATCCACAGGATGGCCCATCAGAAGGACCAAATGTATTGAGCATACCTGGAGGGGCTTATTCGAACTCGCTTGGGTCGCTTGGGTCAACTTGGCAGAATCCGGTGTCTGCAGAAGTTGCAGGAGCAGTCGGTCTGCAGGTGGTTCCATGCCAAAGATATTTGCTTCCAATCCGATGCTCCTTCACAAAAGCAGCTCGGCTGTTCGAGAATTTTGGACCAACATGCGTTTAACAAGGAATTGCCTCGCACACTGTCACATACTCACATACTGTTCGCACACTGTCACGCACTCACATACTGTTCGCACACACTGTCACACACTCACATACTGTACTTTTTAGTCTTGTTTGGTTGACATGTTGTGCTGGCGCTGGTGTACAGTACTTGCAAGTTGCTTCTTTTCTCGGGTGTGCGGTGTAGCCAGGACCGTGGACATTCCGCGCTTCGTTTGCAATGTGGAGCGGAGTGCGAGGCCAATGAGCTGGTGGCCGTGGCTGAAAGTGGTGGAAAGGCGGTGGTGCTACACGGCAGCTTCACCAGCAGTGAGGTCTGCTGTTGGAATTTGTCACCGCCACACCAGTGGGGCCGATCGGATTGGCATCCGGTTACCACACTCAGCTTGGCACAAACCTTGAGGCTCTCAGGCCAGACATGGACATCATGGACCATGTTTTGATATGTTTTGAGATTGTTTTGATGTGATATGTATGATATGTCCTAGGACTCAGGCGCCTCAGCGCAGTTTGAAAAGGAAACCAGTGGGTGATATGATCCCGGCGGATCCCGGTCCTTTCATGTCAATGCAACGGCACTCAACGGCACTCAACGGCATCATTTTCAAACCATCTCAGGAATCTCAGCTGCGGTCGGCACGCGGTGGATTCCATGTGGATTCCAAAACGGTGATTATTTCATATTATTTCTATCTCGTTTGGACATGACCTTATCCTCTGGGGCATAGTGGTGCAACGACATTTGACCAGTTTAAAGATGTTTAAAATTTAAATCATTTTAAGTCTATGCTGGCGTACCTCTGTGTCGCAAGAACCTGTATATACTCTGACATAATATTTACTCTGATTATCTCTGATTATCTCTGATTCATTCTTCATTCAGCGTCTGCATCGTTCCCGTGACCTCACCCAGTGCAGGGCTGGCCCTGTGGCCGGGCGCCAGTCTCGAAGTGCACGCCCTGCTGTCGGAAGCACCAGCACCTGGAGAGTTCGGACGCCCGAAGCGGGAGTTGTTTCACAGGTGCCCCGGTTGCGTCGCTTTGCTCCGAGACGTAGGCATTGAAAGCTTTGCGGACTATTTGAAGTTTGCCACGACCACAGTAATTCCAACATATTGTGTATTTGTTATTTATAGATTATATATATATATTCCAATACAAACATTTCTCAACACATTGCACCACAAGGCCTCAAAATCATCCAACATCCAAGAGTGGGGACTCAGGGTGGGTGGTCAAATGGCCATTTGTTGTAGATGATTCAAGGGACAATTCTCCATGGAAGGTAAGAACTAGGAAAGGCATCCCCGAACCAGCAGCGGACTAAAGGGAACTACCCTTTCGCAAACTTTTTCTGTTGGCAAGGACTGAAGTCGTGTCAGACTCTCGGCTCAAGTATGGGGTGGATGAAACTGATGAAAGAGATTGAGATCATTGATCCGTGTATGTCTGAATCGAAAACAGATGTGAATTATTCAACCATATTCGAATCATTTCGGATCATATTCAAGCTATGTCCAGCTATGTTGAGTTGGTGTTGCAACCAAGGAGTCGCCGAGGGTGGAGCAGCTGCTTCCTGAGGAGGTCGGGTGGGCCAGTCAACCAGTCATGGCTAGTTGTCCAAGGTCGGGGCCATTTGAGGCCAACAGCTGAAACCACACCGAACATCGAACTAAAATTCCGCGGAATTTCTTGTTAGGAAGTGGATGGAAGTGGGGGAGTGCGACAGGGGCTGTGAGTTACTGTGAGTTGTGACCAGACAGGTGGAGACAATGTTGGAAGAAAGCTGATGATGTGTGATGGTATGGTAATTGTTTGGGGTCTCACCAATGCTGATCCGTGCATTCCTTGCCATATGCATCGATGACAGGAGCACACAGAGACCCTCCATGGCAACGGCCGGGATGAGGTGCGCACGAAGACGTGGACATTCGTGGCGAGACATTCCACATCATTCCATGGAGCTGTCAAGAAAGATAGCTGCTGTATTCTGCTGTGGTTTGTAACATGGATACTTTGGTGTAACAAGGTGGATCCATTGGATACCCGGATACCCATCAATGAATATCAATGATCTTCAATAGCATTCAGACAATGGCAACCAGCCACTGACAGATCCCGACATCACTTCCAATGGTTTGTGCAGTAGGGACAGTAGGGACATATTCTGATATATTCTTAAGATTGACTTGAGATGTCACGGCTTTAGCTGTGCTTGGCCACTTGTGACAGCTGTCACATGCTCGCAACATTGGGTGACACGGAAAAAAAGAAGATCGTGAGCCTAAGATGGCGAACTCATCGTATCTCATCATACTTTTCTAATCTTTTCTAGTTTGTAGTTTTCATTAGTTTTCCCCGAAAACAGGTTGAATTCCCGTCCAGTCCTTATAATTTTCAACTAGAACCGATACGGCCTATACGTACCGGTCGTACCGGGCATTGCTGGAGCCAGGCTCTTTGCAGCATCGCCTCCAACGTGGCCGGAATCCGGCAAGAAATGGGAAATCTTCGAGAGCCTTGACTGAAACAGGTGGAACATGCTGAAACCAACATTTGCATGTTCCAACATCTATAAAGATCCATAAAAGTCATTAAAGGTCCTGCAGAATCCCACAGTTTTGCTTATTCCAGAGCTGTAGTCAACGACCATGGACGGCTTTCATTCAGAGGAAATGGTTGAAGTTGGGCTCCTTCAATTAGGGAGCTTCTTTGAGCCCAGATTGTCATCGCATTAAAAAAACCATACGTTGACTGCAAATGATCGAAGATATCAAGCTGAAATATCCATTGCCATCCATTGCCATCCATTGCCATCCATTGCCATCCATTGCCATCCATTGTCAGTTTTCGAAAATAGCCGTGTATCATCATGTGTCAGTTTAGTGATGTTTAGTGGAAGGGTTTTTTTTTAGGCGAATTGCAACCAGCTTGCTAGGAAACCTTCGAAGGCTTCCGGAACGACTTCTCCCGCTTGGTAGCTGTGATCGAGCAGCTGGCGAATAAAAATTCAGTCTGAGCAAATGGAGGACTGATAGCGGCTACTGATAGCGGCGGATTGCTGCGATAGCTGGGAGGATCTGGGAGGCTATTCGTTTGGTCCGCCTTCACCTTGACAATGGGCCAACCAAAAGCCAGTGCAAGGCTTGACGGTCTCAGCCCAAAGACTGGCTGAGCCTTTTGGAGCAGAAAAGGTCGGCTCTGAAAGGCACATGCAATTCCATGCGTCGATGCACATTTGTCAGCTGGTAAAGGCATTGTGACATAAAGTGTGTTTCACCATGTTTCACCGGTTTTTTTGAATCTCTTCATGGTGACATCATGAGTGATAGTGATGTCAGCACTGCTGCTAAAAACACACGCTGCACATCTCCGACAGCTGGCCCAAATCGGGGGCACCATGGCAGGCGCCAAGCAAATGCTTGGCATTCTGACAGTCCCTTGACAAATGCAGAGGGAGACTTACATGTCCTCAATCAAGGAGCCTCTAGGAGCCTCTAAGAGCACAAAGCAATGAGAAACTGAAGGGTACAGGCTGTACAGGTGGAAGGAGGTCCGTTTCTTTGTAGATGGGCAGTGCATTTGGGGCCGGTGCTTGCCACCTGTAGTTGGCTTGCATTAAGCCCTGGCAGTGGGCCCCGTTATCCCCCTCGTTTCATGGAAATGACCTGCTTGATCCACTTTAAATCCACTTGGTCCCAGATTGGCTCTTTGAGGTTGCCGCCCTTATCCATGGGCTTCCGGCACTTCCACACAATGAAGTGACTCAGACATGCTGACTGGAACGGTTTGGGTGATTCAATGCCATTCAAATGGCTAGCTGATGGGTACCAGAGGTCAAGCCATTGGAGACCCAGTGATGACGCGACCTTTACGAAGATGACCAGTGTCTTTCAATGTCTTTCCCTGTCCCTGGTAAGCCATGCTAAGCCGTGGAGATGAGCACAGCATGGAATCAAATAGCATGGCAACGCAGCGAAATGCATGGAATAGCATGGAAATGAATGAATTTCGGAGGATTTGAGGTACCCAATGTTTCTCTTTGAAAGGCGTTTGCCGAATGTGTAATGATCACCCCCTTCTCTCATTGGTTCATATCTGTTCCCTACGTGGAATGTCGAGTTTGCCGAGCTTGGTTCCATGGCCATGGCTGCTTTCTATGCGATAAGGTGGCCCTCTCGGAGGTCCGAAGGGTGACACAGGACCCGAGTTCAAGCAGAAAGAAATCGAATCCTCTGCGGCATTGTATATCAATGGATGTAAGACAATGGATGTAAGACAATGTAAGATGAGACTCATACTGTATATGACTCATACCCATGCTGGTATCAGACGATAAATTGTGGATATTCAAGAGAGGAGGGATGGTATTGAGATGTATTGAGAACATGGGTTCAGGTGAAACTGAGTAGAGGCCCTCAAGCATTCGACTTTAGAACCCAAAGGGCAAGAAGTGTCACACGAGAAACTTTTTATCTTTTTGTTCCCGATTTTGGATGATTTTGGACCATTGGAATTGTGACAGTGGCAGGATAGCGTCTTGGAGCAGAGCAGAGCCTTGGCTAAAAGTAAGCAGAGCAGGCCTTCAAGGCCTTGAAATGACGGGTGATACAGGACCAGCATGGACCAGCGGTAGTGGGAGCCCTGCAAGATGCGAACATTGCAGGGAAAGCCGGGCCTTTACAGGGTAGACTCTGGGTAGACCATGGTAGACCATCCACTCGGTTCCTGGTGGAAGTTCCAGCTTGTCAAAATGTGAATGTGCTGATCTGCCAGTCCAGTCAGCACCAAGATGAAAATGATGAAAGTGGGGCATGGATTGAAAATCATCCTGGAGGCTGTTGTCGCCGTTGCCACTCTTAAGCTCCCAGTGAGGGTCAGGAAGTCTGACCGTCTGACCCCGGCACCAAAAATGAGTCCAGCTTGCGCAGCTCCAAACCCTGCTATCCAAGGAGCTGAACTTTTCAGCTTGACCCAGAGGCTCCTAACCCTTCAGGACGGAGCCAGTGGTCCCAGGTTTGTAAAGTCAATGACGACTCATGCACGTAGGACCTACGTAGGACTTGACGTAGAGTTCACATAAGCCTAGCAGCTAGTAGTCACTTGAGTTACTCGAGTGTTCTTCTCATGCCGGCCCACAGTTGGCTCATAGTTGGGCCCAGCACTCAAGGAGAAGAAAGCTGAAGAGGAGGGAGAGCTCGAAGTCCTACAGGTTGGGCCCTCAATAGTGGCACCTAGTGGCAACCAGCTGTGGGCTATATGGTGTGGGGAGGTGTTTACACATGCTGGGCGCTGGCTAGGCTCAAGAGAAACAACTGACGGAGCAGGTACAAAGGCTCTCGAAAGAGGCAAGCATTGGGTGCTTTTTTTTTGGCAAAATCTGGGCAAAGAAGGGCATGTGTCAAATATGTGTCCTTTGTTATTTGGTTACGTGGCCTCTGTCGGGGAAGTGGGGCAACTTGGGGGGCAGAATATGTAGAACAAGCCCCTGGCCTGCATGGGATAGTCGACGGTTCAGAAGGAATCATGCCAACCTCCAGACAATGAAATGCTTGTTGGGCAGTAATCCTTTACCAACACCTGGATGATTTGGATTTAGGGTGATTTAGGATGATTCCCTGCCTACTGGACGTTGCTGTATTGGTATCGCTCGTTTCCAAGCTGTGCATGCAATTCCACTTGGTTTCCCGCTTGAGGCATCCCGGAAAAAAACTAAAGGACCACTGTCCTTCTTGCAGGCCGCTGGGACCCCAAACGCATTGGCTTACCCTACATATGTCACATTGGAAAAACATGAAAAAACCATAACATGATTTTAGCTGATGTTTCTTGTGTTGAATTCCTGCGCTATATATATATACACTGTATATAACTCATATTATATATATTGTATATGTATATATATATATTATGCATACATACAAACATATATACTGTGTATATATATATATAAATGTGCACATATAATGTTTATCCCAATTTGTCCTTTGGCATTGTAAGGGATTGACATTGAGTTCAGCATGTCAGTGTGGCTGGCACGTTCAGGTCAATCCATCAAAAGAGGCCGACTATTTCCATCAAAACGCAGCGAAAGCAGAGACAGTCTTCGTAACAATTGGTATCACCCTGTCTCTTGAGTGTCTTCATGAGTTTTCATGCATTGTCGGGAATCTTTCAGGACCTATGATATGTTGATGTGAGCTCGAATGGGCTCGAACTGTTTAGATACCACTGGCAAAGTCACCTCTTGTCACCAGGCCGAGTCAGTGGCGGAGCTGGCGCTGCTAAGGGCCCAACGTCATGCTAGAGAGGCAGGGATCCGAAAGGACCATTTCGGATTCAGATCAGCATTGATTAAAAAATGAAAGAGAGAAAACAATGAAAACATATCAGAAACTGCAGAGGAACGCAAATAGCATGAGGTCGAACCCACTGTGGTGAAAGCCAACTTCAGAACCCTTGATTTGGGCTTGAGCATTTCCATTTGCATTGGCAGACCTTGAAGGCTTGAGCCAGAATGTGAATTGATAGCGAATTGGGTGCGCAGTGAGCGGTTTTTAATTTTTGAGGCGCAAGAATCTGCAGCACTGGCCAAACATGCCTATGAGCCTTGGCTTGCAGTGAGGTGATGCCTGAATTGATGCTGTGCCAGCAAGTTCTTTGGGGCGTTGCCAAGCGCTTGAGCAGGGGTCCCTTTCTTTGCAGAGTATGTTTGTATTGACCTCCTGGAACATGTTGAAACACTTTCCCCACACCCTCTCAGTTGAACCAGTGGCAAGATCAAGTTCGAGGGATAAGAATGGATGAGATTACGAAAATGACACATCCACAAGAGACCGATATGGCAGGCGGATTTTTTTTTTGTCGAGCTGTGCAGCATGGGAGTTCGCTGCCTTAAGTTTTCTTTAGTCGGTGCCCAAACTGCCACGTCCTCCCCTTTGCACGTGAGGAAAAGTTGGCAAAGAGTCGAGATGTGGCGGTTGAGACTGCTGGAGATGCAGCTTTGGAGGAATGACTGGGCACAGACAGCAGACTTTGGGCTGTCCTCCATTTGGATCCGTTTGGTAGATCTAATATGATCTAATTGTATATATAGCAGTTGCTAAGATATGCTAAGGTATATTCATCCTTCAAAACATGTCAAAACGCTTCTCACCTTGGTTTTATTTGGTTTTCCATGTTTTGCGTGTTGTGAATGGTTGGGGGCTAACTGGATGTCGTATGATGTCGTTGTGGCATGGTGCAGGACGTCATCAAGGATGCCCGCCAGGATGCCAGCGACGCTGTGAAGATTCTCAGAGGCGACTGCGTTGCCATGGTGGAAAAACTGTGGGGACGCCACTCTGACGTACCTGGAAATATCTGGAATCATTCGGCCATCCTTTCAGCTACACCTGAATTGTTTCCGCATGCTCCACCTGTCATCCGTGTTTTACCTTTCTTGGTTCGGACACCATGTGACGCCGGTCACCTCTTGATGCAGCATTCCATGACATGGCTTTCTTTATCAGCAAGGCCCCTCCATCCTCTATCCGCACGCAGCTCAATCTAGACAAGCTCAATCTTAGCGTAACCAAGTAACTAGCAAGGAGTATCCTCCGGCCCCCGCAAGCATGTCATGGATCGGTTTGCTGCTAGACATTCTCGCCTTTAGCTTCTGCCTAGCGGCATCATTTCTGGAAATTATGTTCACCTTTGGTTTGGAATTCTGCATCTATGTCTATACTGCATATCATATCCTTGTGCATTTACAGTATGATGCAGTTCCATTAGCTAATTTTCTGATGATCATGGTGATCATGGTGATCCTAGAAAATGTCAACATTGACCTCCACGGTCTAGGGTCACCCTTCGGAGGCAGTGAAGGCGAGCATGCACAGGCCGCTGTGGGAGGATCCATGGGCCATGACAGTTTCCAAATCAGCATCTCACCAGAGCGTCTTCGGCTGCGCAATGGAACGGCTCTGGAGATTCATGGATTCAAATCGAAGAACATATATAAATATGAGAGAGAGAGAGAGAGTTGGGAACAATAGTTACTCGTACTTTGATTTATTTTGATTTATACACAAACATCCCTAAGTTATAAGCACATGTTCTTAGCACTTTGCAGATCCGCACAGCCGCCATCGAGTAATTTGAGGGTTTCGATTTGCGATGACGCACCGCGACTTCCGTCTGATCTGAGGCCCTGAAGCCAGGTTTATCCTTCTTGCAGGCTGCAAAGATGCTGACCTGATTGCCCGGCAAAATTTGGTAAATTTTCGCAAGTTCTGAGTGGAGCTGAGCGGAGCTGAGTGGAGGGTGAACTATGGGAAATGCGGCAATGCATCAGTTTCTGCTGAAAGTTGAAGTGCTGGCCTTCATGCCCTGTGTTGGGCTTGGCATGCAGGAGGCTACGGATGCGCACCATGCAGCTTTGGAGAGGGTGCAGGAGACTGCTTTGGTGATCTCGGTGTTTGTGGGAAGAGGATTGAGCAGATGGGAATTTATATATGTTGATACGAAGTGAGATGTCTGACTCTGATCAAATCCTTTAAGGCTTTGAGGTATCCCCCTATTTTTTAGCCAGATCCAGCCAGGGAAAGATGTCACCATATGTCGCCATATGTCACCCACAATCAAGTTCCCAGCCCAGCAGCATTGGGCTAGGCCAGCCTTGCTAAAATGCAAAGCAGCACCAAGATGCCGACAGCTCACATTTCAGCAGATTTGGTAATATGTGGTCTGTGTGGTTGTTTGTGGAGGGATAAACGAGGCGAACAGTGAACAGATTCAAAGTCATGAAAGATCATTTAAGCCATTTCTTTTTCTTTGCGAAGGTCGCGGGAGCAGCTCCGGCAAACAACCAAAGAACTGCTTGACGTGGAGAACCAGATCGCTACTCTCCAAAGGTGGGAGTTTTATTTTGTTTAAGTTTAAGTTTATTTGTTTCTTTATTTTCAGGGCACACCCATTTTCACCCACCCTATTGCAGCAACTGGGACAACGTGGCACCGAGACCTTTTGGATCCAGATGCGATCTGAGGCAACAGGCAACCATGAAGAAAGAGGCTTCCAACAAAGAGAAGCTTTTAGTGGAGACGCACCAGACTCTTGACGCATTTGGATGCATTCGATTTTCTTGGAGCACCTCCAACCAGAATGCCATGGAAGGGTTCATTTCGAAGGACTCTTGGTGGACCCATGCAAGTCATGATGAAGAGCCCCAACCACGCCAACGTTTCGCCAAGGATTCTGGCTGGGCCCGTAGTTGGGGACTCAAAATACTGGACCTAGTCATGCCTTGGCCCAATCCCGATCTTCGGGTTGGCATCAAGTCAAAACAGAAAGCTTTGAAACGCTGAGTCCTTTTTGTACCGACTACTGGCATAATCTTACATCTACTATCATCTACTTGCTTTATTTGCATTTTGCCCTTCCATGCTTTTCCAAGCGTCCCTTTGAGGATCATGACACCCAAGGACTAAGGACAAATCTTTGCACCAATGTCAACATATGTCAACATATGTCAACATATGTCAACATGTGTCACCAATGTTGCAAGTGCCCAGACGATGCAACGTCCGGATTTGCATTGTGAAATCAGCAGCTGCCTCACATGTGAAAGGGGGCTGAAACCGAGGCAGCTGAAGCTGATGCCATGGGCCTCCCAGGTTCGTTCACACAGCTGTCCAGCCAGGAGCTGGGCGCACGCAGCGTGAGTCTTGCCGCCAGTCCTCAAGAGTTCTATAATCCAATGGCTGGCGCGTACTAACATTACCTAACATTCACATACATCTACAGATATCTACAGTATTACATAGTAATACTGACCATATCCATCTTTGCAACACTGTTACAACATGTTACCATGAAACACCCATTGCCTCGTGCCAACCGGGATGGGCATGGCTTGGATCGGCAGGAGAAGGCTCGGAGCACAGGAAAATCCGGAGCACAAAAACTTGCGATCGCAGAGCAGGCGACAGCGACAGCCTGCTGTTGCTGGAACTCGGGTGCGTCACTTTTGGAGTTTCGCCCCTGAACAAGCTATAACAAGCTCCCATAGAACTCCCCACTGAAATCCACTGAAACAAAACATATCAAACATCATGGTATATCATGGTGAAAAAAGATGCAAAAAGTGCAAACAAACTCCATTATGGATGATTAGGGCGATTCTGGTCATGTCAATGTCCCCGTCCTTGCAGAGCTGCCGCTACCAGGCCCTAACACGCCAAAAAGCTACATTGGAACAGAAACGCAGGGAGCTCGCCAAAGTGCAAACTGAAATCCAGGAGGTTCAGCAGGTGCGGAGGGCAGGAGTTGGAGGGACATATGAAGAATTCTGACGAGTCGATAACGAGTCGATAACGAGGGAGCAAATGAAATGGGCAAATGATAGCAAATGCGATCAGCGCTGAAAGCACGTGATACCGCATTCTGACTGCATTCTGACGACATACGATCCGCAGAGCAGATGCAGAGCTGACTTGCGCAGGCTGCAGCACAACTGCGTGATGGAGACGTTGGGGCCGCGGTGAAGGAATCACTGGAATGAGAGGACAATGAGAGGAGGCTCTTATAAGGCTCTGAAAAGGCTGATCTGGTAGGGAATGATAAGTAAAGACAAGCCAGTAGAGCTTGTCCTGTTGCATGTTTCACCTTGTCTGCACCCTGTGCATCGAGGTTGCAAAGGTGAAGAAGCAGAATGTGGTTGGATCCTTGTTGCCTAAACTTGCCTTTTGTTGCGCCTTCTTCCAGGCAGTACTTTAGTCAATAGGCATCTATAGGCATCTATAGGCATCTATAGTCTATAGGCATCTATAGGCATCTATAGGCATCTATAGGCATCTATAGGCATCTATAGGCATCTATAGGCATCTATAGGCATCTATAGGCATCTACAGGCTATAGATGCCTATAATACTCTATAGATCCCTATCGTATTAAATACATAGTATTATCAATATCAATAACAGCCATTCAATTCGTCACAAGGCATTGCTGGAGACCTTGCGGCGCACATCACATACTGATAAGGCAGGGTTGCGAAGCGGATTGGACGCAGTCATCCAAAACGTCCCCTTGCATCATTCATATCATTTTCATATCATTCCATAGCTGACAACAAGCAAGTCAAGCTACAAATCAGAAGTGCAGGCTGAACGGCAACAGGCGGAGGCTGAGTTCAGAGCTCAGGTGTCGGAAGAAGGTTCAGAAAACCCACACCTTGTCTACTGAGTCTACTGAGTCTAGTGTGACTTGAGATGACTGAGGTCCAAGCGCCTGATGTCCACCACAGCATCCAAAGAGCAGCAGCTAAGCCGTGAACGACAGGAGCTCGCATCACAGCAGGCTGAGGTGGCAGCTCTTCGGGAAGAGAACCAGAAGAAACACAGCCAAGAGAAGCAGAAAAACATCGAGGCGCTTCACAAGTGCCTTGAATCTTTTGATTCTTTTGAAACGCTCTCTTTGAGTGAGTTTTTTTTGGGGGTGGGAGAGATGCTTACTTGGCCTGCCAACCATCCTGGTTTAGCCATCGGTGCTTGACAGAGTTCTTTGTCAGTCAAGACATGGCAGCGCATGGCAGGTGAACAGGCAGTCGATCCTCCTTCAAAAGGCTGAGGATGGGGCCAGATGGGGCCAGATGGGTCTGGATGGGGCCAGATGGGTGCATTTTGCTCAGCTTGTGTCTCCAAAGTGCGGATCCTTGCGAACGTGAAAAACGGGACTCATCCTGGTTTGAAGCTCACCATCCAACGGTTTAGTCATACTCGGTTGAGTGGTCAGCTGTCCATTGCACTCTGCAGGAGCAGCTGCATTCCACACAGGAAGAAGTCTCCGGCCTGAAGAGGAGCCAATGCTGAAAACGGCAGAGAGAGAGAGAGAGAGAGAGATGGTTTGTCCTAGTTCGAGGCAGCTCTCAACATTTCTGATGTCCTCCTATTCGATACCGTGGGATACCCTCGACTTTGGATCCCACGCAATGCACAGGCTCGAGGCTCAGTCGACTTTTGAGCTCACAGTCATCAAGGAGGAGCGCCGCACTGCGTTGTTGCAAGTGAAATAACAGATTTTACTTGACTCGGTTCCATATGGTTCAACCGTTCAACCCCACTTCGCTGTGATTGTTGGGGCATGTTGGGGCGATATTTTGAGGCAGCCGTGCCACAGTAGATTCATTTCGGTTGGAATTTTGAAAGAGGTCGCAGGTTTCAATCCCGCAATCTTATGAAGCAGCCCCCAGTTTCAAGTCTCCTGTCTCAACATGTTTGGTCACACGGCCATCTTTGGTCCAAATCATTGCACCGACGCAGGAACAGCTTGGCACGGCCATTGGTCAATTGCATTTGTTTGTGCCTCAGCATGCCGGGTCCCAGATGGTCTGGCCACGTGCCACGTTTGGCCCGGCTAAGGGAAGATCTGAAGGCCGCGCGAAAGATGCGACAGGAGCGAGTGGAGGCCCCTCATCCCAGCTCTGGTGCAATGAGCTGAGCTATGCCAGCTATGACTTTCGAACGTTTCGAACGTTTCAAACGTGAGGTGTGTAAATGTTTGCGCTTACAGAGACTAGATGAGACATGATGAGACTAGGGACCCATGCCCACACCTTCAGAGTATGTGTGTCTTGTCTCTTGTCCTTATGTGCACTAACGGATTCATTCAGTTTAGTTTATATACGGTGCCCATTCTGTGTGTTGTTCCCATCTCTCTCTCTATTTCTCTCTCTTTTGTTTTGACTGATATCATTTCAGCTTCCACCGCAGCTTTCAGCCACAACTAGTGAGCCTCCGATGCCAGGTACTAGAGAAACTGGTCGATGCTGAGTCGAAGTCGTGCTCTCATTTTGCTCACGTCTTGGGGGACCTTATTGGTTTTCTACTGGTTTCTGCTTGGCTATCCCTTCTTTGTGCGAGGAACATTTCTGACCTGAGCTTCGTGCGGGCCCTTGCCGCCTTGCCTTAAGTGCTGTTGCAAAGGTGGTCACAAGAGCCACAGCCGGCCACAGCTGATCTGGCAAATTTATGCAGACTGTCACAGACTGTCACAGACTGTCACAATGTTATCCATGTTGTGAGGCTTTGGAACAAGAGAAGTCGCGTCCCGAGCTGCAGGCCCAGCCGAACCTTGTTGGAACACCACCTGATGCCGGTCCCAACACCTGCAACCGCTCCGTGGCAGCGCCAGGAACTTCGGAAGAAAGCCACAGAAGCGGCAAAGGTGTCTAAGGAGTGAGACAAAACGACACAAAACGCATCAAAACGCTACAAGTATTTACAAGCATTTACAAGCATTTACAAGCGGACTTTGCAGCACTGAAGGACATACACCGCAAGCACGTGTAAGCACATGTAAGATCATGCAAGCACGCGTATGGCGTATGAGCAATTATGAGCAATTATGAGCATTGAGTATCATTGAGCTGTCTTTTTCTTTCTGACATATACCAGGACAAGGCTAGTGTGGACAAAAAGACCATTGGGCTCTTGCAACAGCAGGCGCTCCACAGTGCTACTGGTATCACGATCTGAGCACAGCCGGCATCGTGATGTGGGCAGGTGGCTCAACAGACGAGCCAACTCCGTGCCAACTTTCGATCAAAATCCGTTGCAGCGCAGGCAACGGTCAGAGAACCATAGGGAATGGAAAATGCCTTTTTTTCTTAACCTCTTTTGAACTCTTTTCACTTTTTGCAAGGGGCAAGGTGTTGGATCAAACTGCACAGTTTATACTTAGGACATGATTGAATGCATGTGCGTACTTAGGCACTGCAGATATTTTCAGATGGTATTGGTGATGGCATAGTGTGATTCTTGAAGCGCCCAAGATGGATCAAATAAAATACCGTGCAGTTCACCACGAGATTTGTGATTTTCTCAGGGGAGATGGCGAAACAGCTTCAAAGATGTCCAAATTGCAATTCGAGTGTTTTCTCCGAGTGGAATGAACCTTGGGAGGCCAACAGGCAGAACGCTTTGATGGCGCTGGAGGCAAGCAAATAAAAGAACAAAATGGCAGAAAAACATTGAACTCACTGGGGAGAATTCCGAAATATCAATACAGGAAGTTCTGACAGGAAGCCCTATTCTTGGCTATTCTTGGCTATTCTTGGCTTTTCTTTCTCCTTTCGGCATAATTACCCCTGAAAGCTCAGCGTGTGGCGCCCAAAGAAGAGTGAAGAGGACCCGCCTCGAAACAACAAGCAAAGCTGTTAGGGCCAAGCGCATCCTTGAGCTGCAGAATGTTATTGGTCCGGAGTTTACATACTTGCTGTATGTTTACATATTGTTTACATATTGTTTACATATTGTTTACATATTGTTTACATATTGTTTACATATTGTTTACATAGTGTTTACATATTGTTTACATATTGTTGACATATTGTTGGCATATTGTTGGCATATTGTTTACATATTGTTTACATATTGTTTACATATTGTTTACATAGTGTTTACATATTGCTTACATATATTGCTTACATATATTGCTTACATATATTGCTTACATATATTGCTTACATATATTGCTTACATATTGCTTACATATATTGCTTACATATATTGCTTACATATATTGCTTACATATATTGCTTACATATATTGCTTACATATTGCTTACATATTGCTTACATATTGCTTACATATTGCTTACATATTGCCTACATATTGCCTACATATTTACATATTGCATATTGTTGGCATATTGTTGGCATATATTGCCATATTGTTTACATATTGTTGCATATTGTTTACATATTGTTTGTTTACATATTGTTGTTACATATTGTTGGCATATTGTTGGCATATTGTTTACATATTGTTTACATATTGTTTACATATTGTTTACATTGCTTACATATATTGCTTACATATATTGCTTACATATATTGCTTACATATATTGCTTACACATATTGCTTACATATTGCTTACATATATTGCTTACATATATTGCTTACATATATTGCTTACATATATTGCTTACATATATTGCTTACATATTGCTTACATATTGCTTACATATTGCTTACATATTGCTTACATATTGCTTACATATTGCTTACATATTGCTTACATATTGCTTACATATTGCTTACATATTGCTTACATATTGCTTACATATTGTTTACATATTGTTTACATATTGTCTACATATTGTTTACATGTTGTTGGCATATTGTTGACATATTGTTGGCATATTGTTTACATATTGTTTACATATTGTTTACATATTGTTTACATATTGTTTACATATTGTTTGCATATTGTTTACATATTGTTTACATATTGTTTACATATTGTTTACATATTGTTTACATATTGTTTACATATTGTTTACATATTGTTTACATATTGTTTACATATTGTTTACATATTGTTTACATATTGTTTTGCATATTGTTTGCATATTGCTTACATATTGCTTATATATTTCTTACATAGTGTTTACATATTGTTTACATATTGTTTACATATTGTTTGCATATTGTTTACATATTGTTTACATATTGTTTACATATTGTTTACATATTGTTTACATATTGTTTACATATTGTTTACATATTGTTTACATACTGTTTACATATTGTTTACATATTGTTTACATATTGTTTACATATTGTTTACTTTGGCTTCTTATGATGGAATGGCCATGGCATCGCCTGGCGCATAGCCAGGCCAAGTTGGAAAAGGAGACGAGAGAAGAACTGGCCACGTTGGAGGCCAAGAACAGGTCCCTGTCGCATCAGCTCGTGCTGCTTCAACAGGAAGATGAAGCGCAGGCCGGCTACATCCGGCTACATCGAGCTACAGCTGCACCTGTTACTGAAAAAAGAATAAAAAAGAAAGCTTGCACAGAACATTTGCTGAGAAAATCTGAGATCATGAAGCTATGGGATGCTACGCTGATATATGCTGATGCTAATGTCATATAATATCATATAATAACGTCATATAATGTCATAATGTCGATGAGTCCCTTTGGATCCCTTTGGAAGGTGGAGGTTCTGAGGCACAAAGCCACAGCCCGTGCTCTCCAAGAGGAGCTCGACCAGGCCTTGACACGCACAGATCCACAGACAACATCAGACAACGTTACGTGCAAAGTTATACATGTTAGTTGTTATACGACATTAGTAGAATCATAATTGAATTTATACCATTTTATACCAATCATATTAGATCAGAAGAGATGACATTGGCATTAGATCAACAATCGGATCGGCATTCGACAGCCAGCAATTTCTCGGATCAGTGCCACATCAAAGATAATCCAAGCATGTCCAAGTAGCCTATTTCCGAGAAGATCGTGGAAGATCGTGGAAGATCATGGAAGGTGAAGTCAGAGGAGGCCCAACTTCTCGACAAAGCTGCCAAAACGGCCTTCGACATGGAGGTGGTTCATTTGTTGAACTCTGTTGCGATCGGTTGAAGCCTGGTGAACTCAAGCGCAAGGGTGCTAGAATAAGAGATTCTGAGATAACAATTTAATTAGTTACCGTATATAATCGTATATAATTATATACGTATATTATACGTATATATATATGCCATATTTATCTGTATATTATTCAAATAGGTGACAAGTGAGCTGCTGAACATGTTTTCACAGAGAGTGACTTGGGCCAGCCTCGGCCCAGGCACGGCTCCAAGAGAAGCAGAAGTCCTTGGAACAGGACCTGCAACAGAAGGAGCAGTCTGCTGGAGTCTTATCGCATCCCAAGTTGAACAACAGTCACAACAGTGTTTGTTTTGGGCTATTTCGGGATATTTTGGGATACTATATTTAACAATATGACTTTGATGGTTTGAGCCAACAGAGTGAACCCGATATTTTCAGCCTTTTTCAGCCCAGCCGCAGATCAAACCATATGCTGAGATCCTGAATCTTCAACAGCATCGCCTGGAAGATGGTGAGAGGATTCAAGCCATGCAGCAGGAGATGGCGGAGGCTATGGGGGATCTCTTGGGATCTCTTGTTATTTTTGAGATGTTTTGCATTGTTTTTTGGATTGTTTTGCTGATTTTTGGATCCAACCCGGAACAGGCACATGACATCCACAGATGTTTCCATTCGTCCCAGCAAGACTGAACTGAAAATCGTAGTATGTTCAATCCGTCAAGGCCAGCTTGAAGGAGAAAAAGTTGGCTGCGGAGTTGCGCCAAACCCAGGTCGAAGCAGCTGGTTGCATCATATTACTTCCGGCCTGATGCCGGCCATGACATGCCATGCAATGCCATGTCATGCTGACGCAGTCAACATCGCCAGGAACAGCGGGCACGACTGGTTCCAACCTCAGTGCTTCAGCCTCTCAGACGATGAAGCCTTGTCGCTTTGTGGCTTGGCTACGCTTCGCTGTGCTTCGCTATACTTGGCAGTTGGTGCGGAAAACCATGGCACTCCATGGCAGCTAAGGTCAGCACCGAGGAGGTTGAGCTGACGCACACGGCCCAAAGACTGCGGAAGGCACGGGCACAGGGTTTCAACATGTTTCAACAACGTCGAACACTTTTCAATATTTGTCATCTCCATGCTAAACCTGGTCAAGCAATGTCAAGCAGATCATTCTGATATCAGTCTGAAAGATTCTGAGCTGTAGATATTTAGGATGTTTAGGTGTGTCTGGAATTGTGGAGTCGTTTTGCCTTCTACGAGAAGCTGTCTCAGCCCAGATAAAGGTTCGATGCGGCAACCGGTGCTTGCTCTGGGGGTTCCAGAGGTTTCGGGACACTGGTTCCATAGGTTCTGGTGTGCGCGGTGGTTTCAGAGGTCCTGGTGGTTCCCGGTGTTTCGAACGTGCTGGTGTGGTGGTTGCGGAGCCTTGCCAGGCTCAACAGGAGGAAGAGAAGCGACAGGACGAGGAAATTCAGGGCCTGAAGTGGGAATTGGAGGCATTGGGAGCTACTCTCAGCCTTCGGGGCACATCGTGTGACATGACATCTCATGACATCTCATGACATCTCATGACATCTCATGACATCTCATGACATCTCATGACATGGCAGGCAGAAAAGGCCAAGAACGACCTTCGAAGATCTCGGAAGGTGGGGTCATGTGGGGTCGGACCAACACAATTGCATACAATTGCAACATATTGTCATATTGCAACATTGTCATCCAAACTCCAAACAGTAGAATTCAGCTATTTTCCGGAACCTTTCCGAGTTCAAAGTGAGATATGAGTAGAATATGAGACTGCTGCGAGACAGGCAGCACAGTTGGAGAGGGAGATCCAGCAGTTGCCAAGAGCAGAGGTGGAAGACTCAGAACGTCAGTGCTGGTGGAAACAGTTTAGCTGCAGTGGCAACATCGCTTTGGCCAACGGTTTTGGTGGTTGACAGACAGAAAGCGCCTGTGCTCCATACCAGATTACCACTATTGGCAGTTTATGCATGTTCCACTTTAGACATCACTGCGGACAGGCATTAAAGATATTTAACAGTAGTATACTGTATGTGTATATATATATATATGTATATATCATATATCTATATTTACATACATATACATATACATACACATACACATACACATATACATATACATATACACCCCCCATCGGAGTACCTAATAGAATGAGGGGGCAGGAGCCCCTTTAAAATAAATTACTTCACTTCGAATGATCCCCACCATGGCATTTATACATTTTCTTACTGGCAAATCTTCTGGCATTCTATCTGACATATCTTCTGGCATTCTATCTGGCATTCTATCTGGCATATCTGGCATATCTTCTGGCATTCTATCTGGCAAATCTTCTGGCATTCTATCTGACATATCTTCTGGCATTTTCTCTGGCATATCTTCTGGCATATATCTTCTGGCATATCTTCTGGCATATGTTCTGGCATATCTTCTGGCATATCTTCTGGCATTCTATCTGGCAAATCTTCTGCATTCTATCTGGCATATCTTCTGGCATTCTATCTGGCATTCTATCTGGCATATCTTCTGGCATTGTTCTGGCATTCTATCTCTCGGGCATATCTTCTGGCATTCTATCTGGCAAATCTTCTGGCATTCTATCTTCTGGCTATCTTTCTGGCATTCTATTCATATCTTCTGATCTGGCATATCTTCTGGCATATCTTCTATTCTATCTGGCCGTTGAGGTCCGGCAGTGCCCACTGGGATCTGGAGCTCGCGGTTGAGGTCCGGCAGTGCCCACTGCGATCTGGAAGTCGCGGTTGAGGTCCGGCAGTGCCCACTGCGATCTGGAAGTCGCGGTTGAGGCCCGGCAGTGCCCACTGCGATCTGGAAGTCGCGGTTGAGGTCCGGCAGTGCCCACTGCGATCTGGAATTCGCCGTTGAGGTCCGGCAGTGCCCACTGGGATCTGGAGCTCGCGGTGGAGGTCCGGCAGTGCCCGCTGGGATCTGGAAGTCGCGGTTGGGATCCGGACTGCGAGGAGGAGGACGCGGAGGAGATGGAGGAGGAGGATGCGGAGGCAGAGGAGGAGAACAGCTCTGATAAAATCTAACAACCCTCACCTGGCAGGTGGGGAAAAAATAAAAAGAAACTGAAAATAAAACGGGTCAGACCCCAGCATTTCATTTTGTGGGCGCATTTTATTTTTTGAGGTGCCCAACCCAGCAAGTTAACTGACAGAGATAGCATGATAAAAAAAGATGCACAGCTGTGAGCGGTCTGATAATTTTGTGAAAGCTTCCAGAGATTGGGAATCACTTGGACATTAACTTCGAAAATGGGTAGGCCCCCTCATTTTCTTTTGCCTCCCATGGCCAACAAAAGACACACAGGCAGCTCACAGCAGCCAATGAGATTTCTTCAGTTTATTTATATTTATTTGTATGTTTTCTAGAAACCATCCAGATGTCAGAATTGGAACCAATTATATATATATAATATATATATATATACGTATATTGGTCGAAATCCTCAAGATTTTTCCTTCCTGTTGGCACGTGACAAATGATGACATTTACTTCGCAGATGCTGGGATATGTTGGAGGTTGGGTCCATACATATACATATCCATATACAATCCATATACATATACACATACACACATACACACATACACACACATATCTTATATATAGTAGATCCCGTGTTTCTTATTCGTTTCCTTGACACCGGTCCCCCTTTCAGGATGGTGAGATCTCTCAGCTTGCTGGCTTGCTGGAAGGGAAAGAGTCAAAGCTGCAGAAGGACACGTGATCCATGTGTTTGTTTGTGAAAAACTTCCAGTCAGTTCCAGATTGCATAGCGAATGCCTATACTGACGTTGGTTATTTCCACGAGTGAGATTCGCGATGCCTGTGCTTGTGACATCCATTCTAAGATCGCCCTCCGTCAAACGGGCAGCAACGGAGTTCCACGAATTTCCCATGCCCAATTCTGAAAAATTGGCCAATCAAGTACTCCGTCGTACCCTCAATGCCCCGGCAAAAGGTCGGGCTCAATCAAATCCAATGTCCAATGCGTTCCGCCTGAATTTTCCTTCCAATGCATTTCCTTACAAGAAGGAAACTGCTGTATAGCAGCTAGGTGCCTTTAGAATTCCTTCGGTTCACAGTTTTTTGCATTTCGTAGGATTCACGCCCCACCCATGCCCACCCCGACGTCCACCCCGACGTCACACAAAAAAGAGAAATGAGGGACCTGGACTAGCCCTGCCGGTTTGAAGGCTATGTCAGTAGAATGGTTTGACACACAGAACCCCATCACCCTGAGAGAGAGGTTAGAGATGGTATGACATGGTGAAAGTGCAAATATGTGCAAATGTTATCAAATATTCATTGATGTTGACTGTTGTTGATGTCCAACATGCGCGTGTAATTTTCATTAGCCATCTCTTGGCAGGTCCGTGAATTTTTGACCTCTGAGGGGCGACTCTCCTCAGCCGCGAAGGTCTGGGCGGACACTGCCGATTTTCGCGGAAGCCCCGCGATCAAGCTTTGGTGATCTTTGGTCTTAGGGAAAACGATCGTTTGGATATGACACTAAGATAATTTTGGATTTCCACATGTTACATATTGTTACATTTTGGAGCCACACAGCTGCTGATTTGCATTCGTCCATGCTTTGTGACCTTTGTGGGGAGGTCAATCTCGCCAGAGGCTCTTGATATCTCTTGATCAGAAAAACACTGCCACATCGCCACAGGCAGAGTTGAAGAACCTACGGGAGCACTTGCAGCAAGCCTCATGACCATCTCTACTTGGCTTGCAAAAAAGGGACGTGTCAACCTGTCAACGGCGCTTGAAGTCTAGATGCGTTCTGTGAGTTTCTACACACATGTCTTGAAGAGCAGGCTTTCTATCAAGAATCATGCTGTCCATTGACAGTGTAGGCTATAGATGCTGGCAACCCCCTCAGAAACTTTCTGCACAATCAACCAGTTGCTTTTGATTTGGGATTCCCGCCGGAGGATATTTGTTTGTTGGCCCAGCTGAAATTCATACATAGTCACCAGAATGATGACAGATGACAGTGAGAGAAAACTGCTGCAACTGCAACATGGGATGTTAGACCCGATCTCTATTCAATGGACCCAACAGCTGGCGGAGACGCATCTCCAACATATCCACACCAACATATCTTTGAAAAATGTCTTGTTTGCATCTTCCTGAACATCCTGAACCTTTCGAAATCGACAAGGCGGTTTAAACACCCACAAAGAGCAAAGCCAGGGCAGGGTGAAAATGCGCTGAAACTCAGACCACATCGAACGAAGTATACGAAGTTCAAACAGATCGCCAAGATTCTCCAAGCCTTTGAGCACCTTTGAGCGCCTTTGAACCTGCTGAATCCTGCTACTGGTATCTACTGGTATCTTCTGATCTTCGAACACATGACATGATGGAGCCATGGCCGGCAGACCCGAGTCCGGTCGCAAGGTTTGCGGCAAATGCCGAGCGCGGTCTGTGGAGTCACAGCCACGGCGAGGAAGAAACGGTGCTATGGCATGCTATGGCGATCTGAGATCGTTTTGAAAGTTTTGTTTTTTCCTGTCACACATTTTGAAAGGGCATGGAATGAACATGAATTAGCCTGTTATGACCCACAAACAAGAGCAATGCCCGATGCTTCACCCAAACTTTGTCCAGGTCCAGGTTTATTTTCAGTAGTTCGATTTGATCACGCCAGAAATTTCAAAGTATCAAGCCAAAGAAAGATAAAGAAAGCTACCCATGGCACCCATGGCACCCGCTACTCCCACTCCCAAGTTCTGCGGCAGGTGCCACAAGCCGTGGCAGGGAGAGCCAAGGCTTTCACCAAGGCCCCCAAGGCCCTCAAGGCCCTCAAGGCCCTCGCCATGTCCCACGACGCCCCGAGACGAAACCTGAGTGGCGACATGAAGATCCTGTGCCATGGCAGCTGCAACATATGGCCATCACCTGTGAAGATGCAGTTAGGCGGATTGATGAACTCTGTGCTGTTACGCAGCACTTGTTGAAGGAGTTGGACGTGTATGGATGGGAAATGGATGAGAGACATGAGAGGAATAGCGCAGGCGCGGTCAATGGCTACCAAAGTTACCAACTGAAAGATGCGAGGGCTGCGAGGGGCTTTGCGCAAGCCGTTCCTGTGCTGCCGCAACGCGAGGCTGAATTGGGAGAACCTCCCAGCACCAGTCACCGTTGTGTCCCAGAGCCCCATCCGGAAGTCAACATTGGCCAACTACACCCCTCACTGCCCTCACTACACCTTAGTTTGTCATCGTATTGTCCCCCACCTCTGGGGACTCGGAGTGTGATGCTGCCCTGTGATCGTTGCTGGGTCGTGGTTTGGTTTCTTTTTGCACCATTTTGAACTTTGAACATCTTTGAACCACTCATTATTTGCATTTCTTTGCGCACCCAGAAGTGAAAAGGTGTGAGATGATTGAATCAACCGGCCTTTTCGACTATCCAGGTTGCATCGATTTGGACGCGTTTTCCTCACAATTTTCTCCTACGGCAGCGAATGTGGGCCAAAGGCGGAGGATAGCTGAGGAGTTGCATTCTGGACGGCTCCATCAACGGCTCGGTGCCATCTACACTCGCATGGCCGGAGACGAGACGGGCTTGACGTGGTCACGGGGGCGTCTGCGCGACTTCGTACGATGTTGCTTTACAGAGCTGGGGGTGCAGAGCCCAACAGAACCTCAGATCTATGTGGCTAGGCTGTGAACATGCCATGAACATGAGATTGTGCGAGCATTCAAATGCTTGTGGTGCAAAAGTTTGCAAGATCAAATGCCATGCTCTATTGCTATATGTCCGCAGGTGAGGGTCTTGTGCTTCTCTTATCCTTCGGATTCCTTCGGTCTGTAGGTATCTGTGGGTACTTGGTTTCCATCTGGAATCTATCTTTTGCCATTACTTTTCTTGGGAGGCTTGGCTTGTCAGTCAGTTCCTCAGTCCTTTTGTTCCCATCTCAGCCGTAAAAACAACCCCACTTCAGATGCACAACCACATTGATCAAGGCTAATGATGTTAACGAACTACAATAAAGGCAATGACAACAACAATAAGTGTCGTCGTCGTCATCATCATCATCATCATCAGCAGCAGCAGCAGCCTACAGTACCCAACTCGAACGTGCGCGTCAGCCAAGTTTTTTTTTGGGGGGGGGAGGGCGATCATCCCAGCATTTTTTTATCATCTTGACGAGTCCCCGAATATATGCTCAGGGCTTCGCAAAGCTGATCCCAGTCCCAATAATAGTTGGCAGGGTAAATTGCTCTATCCGTTTAGGTTTCTGTGTGCCTAACCAGTATGCTAATCAGAGCTTCAAGCTGTATCTTGTTTGATCCTGCGTGTTGTATTCTGAGACTTGTCATGCTCATGATGCATTTGATTTGTTGTTTTTTCACCCAACGTTTAGGCAGGGAAAGTGGGACAGAGGTCCGTAATGGGCAGTATGTGGGTGTAGTGAAAAACTACTGCAAGCCCCACAGCTGTAAAAAGCACCGCCATCTTCATAGGAAGTCTACAGCCACTTTGACCCGGAGCTTCGCTTGGGTTCCTTAACGCCTTTGGAATCCGTTTGTTTAAGTGAAACGTTGCTGCGTGCCACGTTTCACGCAGAGCTGGCGGAATCTGAAGCAGTGCCGACCTTGAGTGCTTCTGCTGCCGATCATCCCACCAAACTGGCTGAAAGATGGGTGGCGGACTATGTGCCGTTACCTGTGGATGGCACTGTTAGCATTGCATATTCCACAGGGGTTGTGATACAATTCTCTGAGTTCACACCTTTGCTTCAACCACTGGCAGTGGCAAATGCAGAGCACAGAGAGAGAATGCTGAAGACCATTTCAAGCTGTTACCGGCTGGTGGTTTCAGCAATGTTTTTTTTTACACATTTTCTATGTCTGTTTTGGAACGAGCCTACTCACTCTACATCTACATTGCATTTTATTTTCCTCTCCCTCAGCTGGAACAGCAGATGCAACTTGAACTGAACACTACTTGGGCACCACTTGAGCTGTGTGAGGTCAGCTCTTGAAGAACGGTCTTCAAACTTTTCAGCATTTCGATTCTGGCTTTGGGTACCTTGCGTGGCCAAATGAAATCATGCGCTTTGTCCTCGAGATTTTTCACCAGGAGGGATATGTACCTGCCTCGCAACAGCACGTGGCACCGTTCTTTCAGAAGTGTCTGTTTGGTGGTTTCAGCTATCGTTTTGAATATGTTTGATAGGTAACCTATATCAGTATACTGTATACTGTCGTATGACATAATCCAGGACATAAGGCTTGCGTTTGGACCTCAAAGGCTTGCAAAACGCCAAGATTTCCTTCTGAAGTGGCATTCCATATGTTTCAATTATAGAATTGTATACTGTTTGAGAAACTATCTGTATTCTAATGATGTCTGAAGCAATTGATTGATTACTTCAGCAAGCAATAACAAGTGATTTGCGAAACAAGCAGCCCCTCCACGCAATCCCCAGGTTCGCACAGGGGAAAACCAAGCTGAACACCAGCGAGTGCCTATGCCTCATCGATGCCGTTTGCCGTGCCATACTTCACTGTGGCCTAGGTGGCCTAGGGCATTCGGATCGTTCTGATGGCTTGGTCACCCCGGGCACCCTGGGCACCTTGGGCACCTTGGGCACTGTCTCAACCACGTGTTCGGATGGCCAGGTTTGGGGCTGACATGAGCGGATCGCAAACCAAACTTGAGCAGCTTCAACATCAAAGTGCAACAAGATAACACAGGATATACCAAGATAAGTCGGGCCGTTTTACACCCATCAAATTCCATTCATCAAGTATATCTTTTTATCATTTTTTATCAAGTGATCCAACAGCTTTTGGGAAATAATCGTGACTTAAACACATGTTTGGACTGAAGGCAAGAACAGCAACTACTCACTCATTGTGCTCATTGTATTCATTGTACCATGTGTTTGTGGCAAGACGCTTTGACGAAGCAAAGTCGACCTGCGAAGGCTCACCTAAAATTCCCTCTGCAAGGTGCCGCCTGAACAACGGCTCCAAACATCCCAAGGCTGAGCGGCTAAAGAATTTCGTTGGAGTACCCACAAGACCAGCTGCCTGTCGACAGAGTAGACGGATATAGACGGTATCTAACAAAAGTATTCATGCATCATGGTAATGTACAGTAAGAACATAGTGATGACATGTTTGACAGCAAAAATCAGCTCTGCCTCACATTGTGGTTCGATCAGTTCGATCAGTTCGATCCCTGTGCTCCCAGCAGAGCTCTAAGTCTCTAAGTTGTGCTTGACTCGTCCCTGGCGAGGCGCTGCAAAGCAGGCCGGGCCCTCGTCTGTCATGGTCAGAGCCACCTGGCCTGCCTTTGTTGATTTGTTTGACGTGTTTCCACAGTTACATAATGTTACATAGTTGCCATATGTTGCCATATTTTTTGTCCAGTAGTCAGTAGCCTCTCTTTCCTTAGGCTGACTTTCCTCATCAAGGCTCGCTGCCTGAGGTTGCAGCCATGACGAACGAGGCAGCGCTCTGATAGAGATAAACAAGGGCAGAGAGAGAGAGGTTGTTCCGAACCACACAGGTTGGTGTTGTTGTATTTGCAACAACATGCTCCAATTTGGCTTGTTTGGACTTCAACCAATACTCGAGCTGCTTGGACTGATGGTGGCCCTCGGCGAGACATTGGACTTGTTTTCCAGATGATTGTCAACAAAGAATTGCTTGCTATACTGTAAGGCTATATACTGTAATGTTTCACTTGAACTCAGATGAAAGATATGATATGAAAGGTGAGGGCAATGGAAGACAATGGAAGATCCTGCTTGATCATGTGTTTCATGTGCCGGCTGCCAGGTCAATGAACTACTGGTGGCCAAAGAAGTTGACCGTGGTGACCTGCCCAAGGTGGGGCAAATCAGAATCAGACTTTGCGACTCCATGAAGCTCTTGTTACAAGAAAGCCATTACACTTGCAATATCTTGCAATGAACGAATGTTAAAGTTATCCCAGATTAAAGTTATCCCAGAGAGAGAGAGAGAGAGAGCTCATGAGGAACTTTCTTGAACTTTCACCATGCATGAATTCATCCTGGCTGCCTTGTACAAAGCCGACTGGAAGTTCCCAAGATTTCATCGCAGCCTATGGCAGCCTCTCCTGAATTCTCCTGAATCAGCCCCAAAGACTTCTAAAGATTTCCGAAGACTTTCGAAGCTCCAGGCCTATGACTCCGAGCCCAAGGCTTTGAACACAGCAAGGGCCTGGCTGGAGAATGCCAAAGATCTTCCAGCCTTTGACCTCGGTGCCCTCGGTAGCCTTGAGGTAGAACTTCCTGGCGGCGGCCCGCAGCAGTTTGCCAGTATGGCTCTCAGAGTCTACTGCGAACATTTCGCTGGAAAGGAACGGCTCTACTACCGCAAGACTCACAAGGACGGCAAGGAGAGCGGGAAGAAGAGCGGCAAGGAGAGCGGCGACGGCAAGGATGACAAGGACAGCAATGAGGTGCTTGACTTCGTTCAGGCCGTGTTCCTATCGGTGACGAAAAGCAGTCGAGTGGTGACCATGGCCATCAGTGCAGTCAGCCCTGTGGCCGAGCACATCGACTTGAACGACTTGGGATATTTGGACATCACGCAGTGCCTGTTGCTAGTGGATGGCGTGTTGCGGTGGATCCTCACTCACCGTAGTCAGGACATGGGTTGAGTTTCAGGGATGAGACCATCAGAATTCTAATAGGATGGTAAACCAAGATGGTAGAACACTCAAAGGATATCAAGTAATTATGTCAAACAGTCTGTCTGCAATTTATTGCAATTTGGCAAACAACTATGCCTATGCAGAAGCAACTTGGCCAACTGCTACCGACTGCTTGTACAAACCTGTTCAGGACACCGCCACCACTGCTACTACCTCATCCCTGCCACTCTTTGGCACGTGGACACCTGAGGTGTTGGATATGATGGACGCATCATGGATATCCAGATATCCATCAATAGTGAATGTTTGTTAGGAGATGTCGGGAGCTATGCAGCCTATGCCGGCTATGCCCAATGAAATATGTTGATGGCTGACACAGTGGGTAGTGGGGCATCAACGTTTTTTATTTTAAATGGTTTGAAGGGGCCCAGATTTTCGAGGCTAATCCATTTATTTGTCACTAGAGGTCAATCTTCCTTCAACCGCGTGGAGATCAAGTTGGAGCGGCAGTTGCAGGCCTTGCCGGCATCCCATACGGTGAAAGAGCATAGACATTTCCATAAAAAAAAGGGCACAAAGGAGTTCTTGTCTATAGTCAAGAAATAAGGAGTGTGAAGATATACCAGGTAGTGCCCGGCACGTGCCAGGGCGGAAGTTTCGAAGAAGTGAAACAACTATTATACGAAGAAGATGGCCTATAGGCCTATAGGAAAGTTTTTGAGATGCACTAGCAACGAGTGTTGAAGTTGTGAGATGCATCAACGAATGAGCAAATGGTTGTTGAGATGCCAACGAAATCACATGAGAGATTCCATGCACAGCTGGCTGAATGAATCAATGAATCAATGAACCAACGAGTCAATGAAGCAATGAATCAATGAATTAAGGAGCCAACGAATCAGTGAACCAGCGAATCCATGAATCAATGAACCAGTAAATCAATGACCAGTGAATCAATCATTGAACCAATGAATCAGTGACTCCATGAATCATTGAACCAATTGCCCATGAATCATTTAATCAATTAGTCGGTAAATCAACGAATCAACAAATCAATGAACCAACCATTCAATGAACCAATGACTTTGTGAATCAATGAGTCGTTGAACGAATCAGTTAATCAATGAATCAGTGACCAAACAAATGAACGAATGGATGGATGGGTGGATGAGTGAGCTACTTTTCTTTGTTGAGCTACTTCTTCACTGAGCAACCTCTTCGCTGAGGTGCCCCTTCTCTCGGCTACTTCTTCTCTGAGCAGCCACTTATCTGGACTACTTCTGCTCTGAGCTGCCTCCCAGCTAGCTCTTCTGTAGCTTCTGCAACCCAATTATTTCTTCACGCAGCTGGCGCAATCCGTTTAGCAACATCCAGCTGCAATCCCGCATGCAGCATGGTCAAGAACTACCTTTCGTGCGGCTGTTACTCTGGGTTTAGCAACTTCCAGCTGTAATCCCGCTTGCCAGGATTGTCGCAGCATCACTCATGCTTTTCTGTGCGCAGCCGTGCCAATGCGTTTTGCCACAGCCGATTGCAAACCCGCATAGCAGGAACGCCGCGCCAAATCAACCAATGTTCGCGCAGCGCTGACAATGGAGACTCGATCGGGCAAATCCGGGGCTGTTCCGAACGCTTCAGTTTTTGCTTGCGATTTTTATGTGAAACCAAGCTCGCAGTCTCGTGCGCATTTGCCGACCTCATCTTCCAAAAGTGCCCCGCGCACCCTCGCTTTTTGAACATTTTGAAGCCTGCGGTCGCTGAAAGCGTGCCAATACCAGCCAGTAAGTGTAAGCTGCTGCACCTTTTACAGTCTAACGTTTTGGTGCTAGATGTTTCGTACCGTGATGATCTTCGCATGTTTTTTGCATGGCGTTCATGCTCGGCACTTACGCCTGATGTTGTCCGATCCTGGGCATGGGTACAGTGGCGCCAGCGATTTGTTGTTGGCACGATGTCCTTGGATAAAGCGGATGACAATGTTTTTACAGGTTTGCAGGTTGCTTGGGATGGTGCATATATCTCTTTGCGGCCCTGTACGTCGGATCCCTGGGCTGCCCACTGCTATGGGGAAACTGACAACTTTCCACTCAAACCATGGCAGTCATGGGCACCCCCACAGCAGTTTAAAACAGCTGTAAGGGGTTTGTTGTGTAGGTCCTGGTATTTCTCCACCTCACGCGCTGCACTGCGCGAAGCGCTATGGGAGGTTTTTGTGGCACTTGTTTATCGTGCTAATTTCCCTTGGCATTTCGTCAGACAACATTCCAAGGTTTGGGCGTTGTCCTGGGTGCCGAAGGGTGAGTTGCTGCCCACCCCCACTCTTTTTTCTGATGTGGAATGTGTTGTTGGTCGCTTTGAAAACTCCCTGGTGGTGATTCAACCTTGATTTGTTTCTGCGAAGCAAAAGCACGGTTTCACACAGGGACGGCTTTTTGAGGGTCTCCACCCCCTAAGCCACGTAATACCACTTTGACAAGTTTTTTGCACGTCGTCTTCTGCCAGGTCCGCTACTCAGGGGCTCGGCAGCAGGGAAGTGTTTGATGAAATTTTTGGTTATGTTTGGCTGAATTTTGGCCCATGTGTTTTGATAGGGTTTCTTTGAATCAATATGTTCTGCTGGTCGCTTCTTGAATTGGCTGGGGTTTTTTGGCCGCGATGCCAGTATTGGCAAAAAAATGTCCATTTTTCTGTGTGTAGCTAAAAGGTTTTTAGCTGCGCGTTTGACATCTGCAGGGATAGTATCAGCCCAAGATTTGATCTGGTTGCGTTAAGAGCTGATACCTGATGAGTATTTTTCCATTTTTAAGAGCGTGCCAGTGATAGTCTTGACGAAATCCCTTGCTTTTTTCGCAAGCTCATGGTGGGCTATAGCACACATGTTGTGTGGTAAGCGGGCCCTTTCCGTTGAAGAGGCTTTCGATTTTCCTTTTATCATATTTTTTGCGCCTGTGCCCAAATTTGTGGTATTGTGACCCTTGGGACCCCAGGAATGGTCCTGGTGTAGGCATTTCTCTTGCCAATGGCTTGGCAGTACTAGCGTTTTTTCAGTCTCAAATTTGTTCTCAGGTCGATGATTGATCTGGAAAAATAGACACGTGATATTGGCATGATTGCCTTGTTCGCAGTACGTATTTTATTCACAAAGGTAAAAAATTGTTTCTTAGTTATCTAGTTTACGTTGATGGTCTTCACCATTGGATCCTTCTTTGCAGGTGTGGCTGGCATGTTTAAGCGCGCTATCCCAGAAAAAGTTTCGAGCTTCTTCTCTGAATGAGCCTTGGTAATTCTAGCAAGAGTTGTGAACTGTAATGCTGTCCTTCAGCAAAGGTTGTCACCCCGACATGTGATCAGTTGCAATCTTCCTTCTGCAAGATTTCGCCTTGGGTTTTTTCCTGATTTTGCGGCGGCATTTTTAAAGCTATGCATTGTGGTCATGGCACTGCGCCTCCTCCACCGCCTCCACGTGCTGAATTTCATCAGGCTGCGCATCCCGGTTTTCCTTTGCAGCAGATGAATCAGATGAGTGGTGGGTACTTTCTTCCTCAGCACATGATGGTCCCTCCTGGGGTTTGGGCACCTAGCCATGGAATGCCAGCTACGCACCGTTCACATGAGCGGTCGCGGTCACCCAGAGGATCGCATGATGAGGTGGCTTCCTTGCTTTCTCGGCTTCCCCCTGCTGAGTTCAAGAAGGTGTTCAATGATTTGCCGGCATCTCTTCGAAGCGTAGCCTTTGATGCTCCTGATGGCATCATCACGGACGTTAAGTCCATCTCTGACAAAGAGTCTCGCATGGAAATGTGTCGAAAAATCAACAATCTTCGTCGAGAGAGAATCCAAGCTCTCGCGACACCCCAGGCAGCCCCTTTTTATGCCGAGGATGGCATGAAGATTGTACCTATGAGCCGATTGACTGAGCGGCATTTCTGGGATGTCTTCCATAGGATCCCGTTGAATACCACGGATCCAGTCAAATGGAAGAGCATTCTCAAATATTTGGATGCATGCCCTGAAAAACCACGTTCATCACCCAACGCTCGTGATATTGAGTGGGCAACCCCAGATCTGCCCTTTGAGGCTGCTCCAGGTGCTGCTTCGCCTCCCCGAGGTTCCCTGGATGCATTGAGGGCCATGGCTGTCGACTCACCTGCTCAGAAAAAGGAGGATACTACCTCCCCAGATTTCCATGACTGGGTGAAGCGGCGAGTCGACACAGACACTGCCAGCCTCACTATGGCCAATTTTGAGTTGGATACCAAGGCGCACCGCATTGCTGGGCGTAAGACCCCGGCCGCCAAGGCCTTGTTGGCCCTGTCGCCCTTGGAAGCCATGAGTGATCTATACCAGACAGTCTTCCGCATTTATTTGCGAAAGCTGGAGCGAATCATGCCGAAGCTCGGCGCAAAAACAAAAGAGAACACATGCCTCAACAAGCTCTTGGATGCTTTGAATGTCAGCCCTGACGAGAAAGTTCCGATCCTTCTGGCTCGGCTTCGCGCCCTTGACATTGTGCGAAGGCCTTCCTGAGTTGAGCTATTTTCTGCTGATCCTGACCTGAGTGCTGCCCTGAAAGCTGCCCTTGATGTTGTTTTGTTGTTGCGTTTTCGTTTGTTTTTAGTCTCACGCCGTTCTTGGGAGGACCAATTTCTGCTGATTAGCCTGGCAGGGAGTCTTTGGCTGATGTTGTTACAGGTTTTGCCTTCAAGGAGAAATGTGCGTTTATTGAAGCTCATTGGCTCTGACCCGTGGGCCCACGGATGGCAACTTCTCCATCAGTCACCATGCCTTTATATTATTTTTCCTTATCCTTTAAGATGTTCTCGTTTTGGGCCCTTGTTTTACATTGGTGAAACAACGAGCTTTCGGCGGCGTATGGTGGAACACCTCCTTCGCCTCATTGCTCAAGATGGTGCGACCCAGCAACCGTTTTACCAGGTTGTTCGGCACAACTGCTGTCAAGGGACACAGTTGCTTGCCGCCCTGAGTTTTTTGATGATGTTGCCGGTGCATCTCGCTCCCGTGGATACTGGCGAGCGGCTTTTGGCTGAAACCGCCCTTTGCCATAGTCTGGGCACTTTGAATCCGCCGACGGTGTATAGTTTGCTTCCAAAAACAAAGCAGCGGCAAGTGCAGGGTCTTCGTATCTTTGATTCTTTTCGCTCTTTGTGTAGGCTCCGCCCTTCTCAACCTGCTGCAGGGGAAATGTCTTTATCCTCTTCTGTGGGTCTTATTCGGAAAGAGTGGCGTGATGGTCTTCAAAAAATTGCTGCCGCGCTGGCTGGGCGGCGTTTTGAAAAGTCAAACGCTGCCGCTCTCGCGGCATGGAATTTGAGTCCCAGTGCCTGGGCTTATGTGGCTCGCCGAGTTGACCAATTTGAAACAGGTTGGCGGCGAAAGCGGGGCCTTCATCTTTTAGGTATCATCTCCAAGAAACGGAGAGACCTTTGCCCTTTTGTGTCATCTGTTGCGGTGTCTGTCCCCTGGATGGGCTCCACATCGGCACTGCGCATTTTGCG